GATTTGTTGCTCGTCAATTGTTCTTTGGCCCTTCGTGATTGTACGAGGGCAAGAAGGATCCCAAGGCTGGGATGAACCCTAACTCGATCCGCAAGGAGGTTCAAACCACCGGGTTCCAAACATCCGCTGAGATCGCTCAAAGCCGGGCCTACTCTACAACATCGTTTGCAGGTACTAAACGATCCCGGTCTGAAAATGAGATTTCAACAGCATTCACCTCCGCTCGCTCTTTACTACAGGCGGATACGGGCAACGCGGGGCACCGACGGATAGGCTCATACCATCTCACCAAGCCTATCCAACCAAATAAGAGGCGGCTGGTGGCCAGTGACATACACACGTTACCGGATGCGGCCTCCCCAGAGGATGACATTGCAACATATTCTCAGCGTAAAGCGGTTTCCAGCACCCCTGGACCTTCGCAGTATCCACTGCTTTCTCTTCGGCATCCCAAATACGGACTGCCAGAAAGCCTGGTGGCTAATTTTGAAAAATTGGGAGTAAATTGCATATATCCTTGGCAAGCGTCGTGCCTTCTTGGGCGCGGGCATCTAACGGCGGAGAAGAATCTAGTCTATAGTGCTCCGACCGGTGGAGGAAAGTCATTGGTTGCTGATGTGTTGATGTTGAAGAGGATTATTGATGATCCTCACAAGAAAGCCATTCTTGTGCTTCCGTATGTGGCCATCGTTCAGGAGAAATTGAAGTGGCTTCGCAGGTTGGTGGAAGGGGTGGACAAGCGCATAGATGCGCTTGTCCAGGTTGATGGATCATATCCTTCCCGCGCAAAGTTTCTGCAAAGCTCGATACGTGTCACGGGGTTTTTTGGAGGAAGTAAATCTAGGGCCACATGGTCGGATACGGATATCGCAGTTTGCACTATTGAAAAGGTTTGAAGATCTAGGCCTAACTAAAAGGCTTGCCGGTCGATGCGTCATTGGATTGTGCGGCTGACAGTGTTGTCCAGGCCAACATGCTAGTAAATGCTGCCATTGAAGAATGCAAAATCGATGAACTGGGTGTCGTTGTTTTGGACGAGCTTCATATGCTTGACGATGAGCATCGCGGTTATTTAATTGAGATTATGATCTCAAAGCTGATGCTGCTTCAACAGGATATCCAAATAGTTGGCATGAGTGCCACCCTGTCGGTACGTTATATATCCATTTCGGGCAATAACTAGAGTTTAAAGCTTAAAGTGCCATTTACCTCATGGCTTAGAACACGGAATTGTTAGCGAAATGGCTGCATGCGAATTACTATATCTCTAGATATCGTCCGATTCCAATTCAGGAATTCCTAGTTTATGATAACCTAGTTTATCCTGCTGGAAAAACAAAGGATTTTTTGAGAACAGCAGTGGTATTGAATAAATCCGGTGCGACGAAAACTGAAGCACTTGCAGCAAGAATAATCGATAAGTCTGTATACAAAGAACTGGAGAATCCAATTATCAATGCCATGGTATCCTTGGCCCTGGAGACAGCAATGTCTGGATATGGAGCCTTGGTGTTTTGTGGCAGCCGACAAGCGTGTCACATGAATGCGCTCATCATAAGCGACGCGATGCCCGACGACTCCATGTTGGATAGCGATGTTCTAGAAAAACGGATGGACCTAATTGCCGGTCTACAGAGCCTCCCATGTGGTCTGGATCCCGTCTTCGAAAAGACGGTTATCAAAGGGGTTGCTTTTCATCGTTAGTATTTGCATTTTCCCCTATACCGGTTTCCGTACATCGAACGGAATTTCTTATGTGCTTCTATCGTAGATGCCGGTTTAACCGCCGAAGAGCGAGACTTGATTGCTGAAGGCTATGACATGGGGATTCTCAAGGTGCTGGTAGCTACGTGCAGTTTGGCCGCCGGTATTAATCTCCCTGCAAGAAGAGTAATTCTATGCGGAGCTCGGATGGGGCGTGATTTGGTCGGACCTGCTATGTTGTACGTATGACCATTTCGCTCCTATAGATCCCGTACCTACTACTGACGATTAAATCAAAGGCGGCAGATGCGTGGACGAGCAGGTCGCAAGGGCAAGGATGAGATAGGAGAAACGTTTCTATGCTGCACAGCAGACGACCTCGAAGCAGTCCTTGATCTGCTAGACGCCGAAATGCCGGCTATTTCTAGCGGTCTATCTCCGGAGAAGCGAGGCATTAACAGGTGTTTTTAATTTCTACCGGATGAACAGATATCATAAGATAGACCGCTAATTAGCTTATAGGGCTCTGCTCGAGGCTGTTGCAACCCGTCTCCTCTCTGGACGCGAAGCGATCAATGACTACGTTAAATGCTCCCTGATCTACCAGACCATGGGAGAAAAGGAGCTATTCTCACTGGTCGATTCGACATTGAACGAGTTGGTGGACGCCAACTTGTTGAATCTGCGGTTCGATGGCTCGTTCGAACCTACGCAGCTCGGACAAGCCATCGTAGCATCTGCCTTCAGCCCTGAGGATGGTCTATTCGTCCATGACGAATTGAAACGGGCGCTGCAGGCATTCGTTATGGATGGTGAAATGCATGTATTTTATATGTTCGCTCCACTCCAATCGGGAACAGGCGTTGATATTGACTGGCCTACATTTCGCGATGAGATGAACAAACTTGATGATAGCGGGATACGGGCCCTACAATTCATGGGCGTCAACCCAGGTTTGGTGAATTCTATGTATGCCTCTGGTATCCTGGCATGCGACCCATCCATTTCGACTAATCATGTGGACGTGTTTCAGGGCCCAGGGGCGCAGTAGCATTAAGGACCCAATCCTCGCCCGTACGTACCAACGTGCATACACAGCCTTTCAACTGCGTGACCTCAGCAATGAAGTCCCCGTCTCCGCAGTTGCGCATAAATACTCTACGCCCCGCGGCAACGTACAGAACCTCAGTCAGATCTGCCATGGGTTTGCAGCCGGGATGGTTAAATTTTGCCAGCGAATGGGCTGGGAGATGCTAGCTGTTGTTCTTGACCACATGCGAGACCGACTTCAGGCAGGCGCGAGAGCAGATCTGTTGGAACTCGCACAGGTGACGTATGTGAAAAGCCGAACGGCGAGATTGCTATGGGAGAATGGGTTCAAAACCCTGAGAGCTTTGGCGGAGGCCGACGCGAGGGATTTAGTACCTGTGCTCATGATGGTGAGATTCCCTTATTAATGAAATTTGTTTTACGTTCGTGTAGAAAGTAGTTTGCTGATCACGCATCCGGTATTACATAGGGCCAACCCCGAAATGGAAAATCTCACCAAAATAACGCAAAAGAGGCAGAGCGGTTGAATGCTAAACTTCTTGCCAAAGCTGAGACTATCATTGGATCGGCGAACAAACTCTGGGGTATGTCTTGTTCATGCATCCGCTATACGTTGTCGGTTGGCCATTCAATACGGGCTCTCTTGGCTTTTATTGGATGCTGACGAACTTGTTTCGCAGAGCGCCAAATGATTGTTGAAATTGATGAATGAGCCTGCCTCTCATTCCGGCGCGTAAGTCTAGTCATTCTTCATCAACTTCATTGTCCAACCCAGGACCATAAACCAGCTATCGTATTGGTAGATCCATATGGACGGATAAAGAAAGTATTGTGCTCTTGGTGCCAGCCTATCAACAATAATGTGTAACGAACGCCTCAAGCGCCCAACAAATACTTCGTCAATCAAGCTGGAGGTTGCAAGAAGTTGCGCAGGAGGTCCCTCGACCCTTGCGAACAGGGTATTATGCAAGGAGTCAATCGGAGGATCGATCTCACCGGAGTATTAATAGAAGTTCAGCCCAACACCTGGGAGGTCAAAATACACAGCAAAAGATCTCACAGGCTCTATTGGCCCGCGCCGGCGCCAAATCATTACAATGCGAGAGCCCGGTTCGGCGACTGCCAACTCCAAGCAAAGCGCTGCAATTGGTCCATTGTCATGAACCCTTCTAGAAAGGCTGGCGAACAGGCGGCGCAACAGGATCCACGACAAGGACCAAAAGCCAGTCTTTTTCGAACCGTCCAACCCGGAATGGTCGTAACAGCGAATATTGATGCCCAGTACCCCCCAGGAATATGATCCCAGTTTTCCAGGTCGGTGGCGACGAGCCCTGAGACGGGACAAGCGATGGGAACGGGTCCCGTCAGTATGAGAAGAAAATTCCGATGTTTGAGATTCTGGAATTTCCGTCAATACTAATATATCCGGGGCGTGGATCGAGAGTCGGCCAGGGGTGTGAGCAGTCTAGCCCGACCATGCAGGAGAGCCGCGTATAGCCAGCCTTATCGTAAACAAATCGTGGAAAAGTTGGGTTTTGTGTGGCTGGGTACCCTTTTTACCCTCAAGGTTGATTCATACACACACAGGAGAAAAAGCAGGCTTTTTCCAAACAGAAAGTTGAATACTGACTTTGGACGAAAACGTTCCCCCAAGATCATGAAAACGGCATCCAACATACCCTCAAATACCGGCGCAAGAGAGTGGAAGGTCAAAGAGGGAGCACTGATCGCTGATTATTATTTGCTTTTTGAAACTCTGCGCGGTTTTCCTCTCTCTTTTGACGCTCGCTTCGTGTGGCGTTGGAGTGGCGCCAATCAATGTTTGACGATGCAGCGTTGGGCAACCGACCATGATCGACAGGTGGGGTAAGCTAGCTGTATCGCTGTACGGAGTATGTATTGTCTCTATCGACGGGCTATACCACGTATGTACGGCGTACGGGCCGGGCTGGAGGGGAGACGGATGGGCGCTGGCACTGGATCGCTGTATGGACGGAGAGTGCACTCAACTTGAACGAAGTCCAGATCGCAATCGCCAGAAAAGGCCTTTTTACGAAGCATGAGGTTAGTGCTTCACTTACGGCGATGTCTCTCTCGACTTCATTACTGTATGGACAATGCGAAATACTCCGTACAGCCCTCCCCCTCCCCCTCCCTTTTTTTTTTTTTTTTTTTTTTTAAAAAAAACACCTTCAAAAAGCCTGTCCACGGCAAATCCCTATAGATCCCATTCGGCATTTCGACTACTACGTCGTAAAGCAGCGGCAAAATCGATGGAGTTGGCCAATATGGCATAATGGATAAGAGCAAGGATGCTCTGGACACCGGGGCAGCGAGTCCTCCATTCCCGTTCCAGTAGCATTGAGCGATAGCGCTAATAGGAAGGCTTCTGGAACGTCGGCAGAAGGCGGATGGAACAGTCGTCGAGTGTTCGCTTGGGAGGGTTGGAACTTTCGAGTTTCTCTGCCCCCCACGTTCCCCCGTGGCAGCCGCGTATTTGACAGGTAAGTTTGGTATGTAATTACACGTACAGTTTGGGCTTGGATGGTAGCACGGCAGGCGAAGCACTTCAAGCTCACTGATGTAAACGACACTTTCCAATCCTCCGAACACATCCTCTGTGCTTATATGGACGGAGGACGGAGCTTCGGTTCTCTGTCGGTGCGATTACCTTTTCATTATTCGTTCTCGGGAAGAAAACCTCGGATCGCCTGAAGGTTTCCGTCATTTTCCAATAGACTCCGTTTTATACGAGGATCCCGGGTTTGGATATGAGCTGAAAAAGGTTGGATTCGTCGGAGATCGACACGGCATGAAACCGCTTCCAAAGCATCGCATGATCATTGATTTCCCGCCCTGCCCGCCGCGCCTTTTCGCGAGTTAAAAAACAACGGAGGGCCGGCATGCCACATGAACGGCCCTAAACATACGCTTCGCAATCAGCTGGAAAGCCAACAGCAATACCCGTTTTCACATAACATGATCAATCAGATTCGTTTCGAAAGCAGGAACACCACGTGGCTCGCACACCTGGACTGCTGGGGTTCAGACAAAAGTCCGAGCACGGAGGATTCCTTTCACTCTTCGAGGAGAGAGAGGATAGACCTCCTGACGGGTGGCATGGCTCAGAGACCACTCCATCCTTCGTTCGGAAGAGAGCTGCGCCCTATCGATGGGCAGGCGAAGTCAGCATCACGCAATTGATTACTAACGCCTTGTTAGTTAGTTAGATCATCTGTGTGGTGGAGCAGAACGGTTCGAAATGAACTCGCGTCTGGAGGACGGAGTAAGCTTGTTTCAAAGATGTCAAACTCCCACGATATGGAATTAAATAGGTGAAAATCCACCGAATACTCAAAACGAACGCCATTTCTATAAGCGCATATCAAGGAAACCTCCTGTCCATAAATAGTTATTCCAGCCGCCTGGAGAGATCCCGGCATTCTGGGAATCTTCGAAGCCGAAGGAGATGGCACTGCGATCAAGGCCCGCTGGCTTTCCAACCTTATTAGGGTTCAGTCCCAGCCAGCCGATTCTAAAACTTACAGCGCTAATTGAAATATTACCGTCGTGGCGCCCGCGGCTTGGACATACGTAAGTATCATACAATACCGAATACTCCGTACATCGGGACTCCTTTCGAAGTAATTCCTTCAGCGAAGAATTCGAACATCGGGTGTGAGAAGCTGGCACGCCCCGATTTCATGACAGTTATTCCATTCGATCACTCTCTTTACTTCTCCAAGACCCGAGATTGAATCACGCTTCAAGTTTGGACCCATGAACGATCGCTTCACTCTCGGGTACAACATGTACCCAGACGTCTTTGACATGTCAATCGAGGGGTCACCACCCAATGCTTGAATCCCTAAACCCTCCACTTCTTTCTGCACATCCAGCGTACGCCGAAATCGCTGGCGAATTAGCTCATCCCAGAACGCAGGCCTGCTAAATAACAAGCTTGGGGTTGCAGGGGAAGGGGAGGGGAGTCAATGGAGCTCCACGGTTCCCATGTGCTTTACAACGGATGAGCTGCCTGATCTCTGGGATATCTCGGGCTCGATGTTGCCGGGATGAATTTCTCCCAATCCCTATTACTATCATCGAGACCTTTCGTTCAGCGCTTGGATTTTATCCCAACATGTCAGGATGCGAAACTTGGAACTGGGAGTGGAACGTGTACCCTTCCGCAATCCCGTGCTGGGATTGGGAACCCTAGCTCCGTTCATGGTGGGATAACCACATATATCGAACACTGGCGGAGGCTTGATGAAAGGGTTACAGTTCGTCTTGGCCAGAGTTATAAAAAGATTGCGGTAGCTTGTGGGACAGCAGGTATGACAACGGAAAGACCATTCACAATGCCCCGAGGACGGGATTCCCTGCCGGTTGAGATGGGCTAAAATTTAAAGGAGCGCTCGGGGTATGTTTCCGGGGATGGGTGTTGATCTCGTGCTGCCAGTGACTGAGACAAATCTTAGTAAAGACAGCAAATGCAAGCGACGAGTGTGGTATGGTTGTCTCAGTCATCGCGGCTGTGAGCTTGGGTTCGAATGATGAGGACAAAGGTCGTAGGGCATCATGCAGAGTCGTCAACCCGTTATTAGGTGTGGCTATGCCAATACTACTGGGGGATTCTGACACATTCAAGTTGTTACTTGGCCGCCGGCCGGTATGGTGGGGTGCTGGATCGATACGTAGAGGCGTCCGTTTCCCATTCCCGAAGCTCTTCTCGTCTGGGAAAGTATACGAGTTCAGAAAGTTGGTCCCGGCGAGAAATGCCTCCCATAGAGCCTGAAAATACCTCGATATCAGCGGCTTGCAAGGTATCCATGTCGTGCCCAAGTATGGACAGGTCGAGCTGGATCGCACCAGGGTCCGGCATGCAACGTGCCTCCAGAGAGTTCAAAACGGGGTACTCCATATACGGTGTATATAGTCCAATTATGATTGAAGCACTGAACGAAAGCACAGGTATAGGAGATGCAGTTAAACGATCACCACACCCACTCTGTTCCGTCAGTCGGGGACGTCGAGGGGCCAAGGGGAGGTGTGTCGTCTGCCTGTTTTCTGGCGATGTAACAGTACATTGTAACGAACCCATGTACTCCGTACTGCAATACAAATACAGTATGGAAAGGTACGTAAATTTGGGTTTCGGCACTTGATTTGGCGGGATAAAGCCCGACCCTTGCAGGGCCAGTGGTATCGACATTATGATCAGCCCGCTAAGCGTAATAATACCACCGCACCCGGGAATCCTTGTCCTTCGCTGCGAGCCCGGCCTTCTTTAATTCCATAATCCATGCCATCGAATGTCTTGGCATGGAAGTCTCTCCACGCCGGCAGAGGTGGCAGTCGTGGTCAAACTACCCCGTTCTGCTCCAGCGGATTTGCCTCTTCTCCCGCAGCGGAGCACGTTACTCAGACTGCTCGTCGCCAATCTCGGGTTCGCTATCACACACACACACGTCCTTTCGCCATTCCTTTTTTTTTTTTTTCTTTTTGTCTTCGATTGTTGCTCGTGCATCTGTGATCCATCGAACACGCCCGACTGTCCACTCCCACCCATCTCGACTTGCAATTCTTCCCCCTCCTCCCTTTCGTCGTTGCCAACGTTGCTCGCAAGGCAAGTCTCCACGTTGTCGACAGTGCCCTGCAGCGCTTCGTTGGTCCACAGTCGGTATAACCGTGTCGACAAACAGATAAATCCCTTTGGGCGACATTCTGCATCTCGTATCTCGAAGGCACGTCACACTTATTCCTAGCATCTCGCAGACATTCATCCAACCTCCCGACCTCCAACGCCCAATCTCAGCTCTTTCGGGTTCTTCGTCATCCCGATGTATACATAGTCGTTTGAGTTCCCCGCAGCCCTCGATCTACCATCATCCTGGACTGTTAAAGCTATCCACATCCCACCTCTTCTCATCCGATATTGTCGCCTTTCAAGCTCGGTGCGCGGATGTTGCGCATACCCCTTCGATTCATTTACGGGCGACGCTGGCGCCGCTGGAATTTAAATACCAAGCTGCTCCGCCCCGGTTAGATTGTTCAAGGTGAACTGTGGGAGCGGATAAACGGAAGGAGGCGATAGAGGCTTGGAGATCGTGAAAGAAAGATCGTTGTTTGATGCCTGTTGACGCGAAGTTGGATCTCTTGTGTGTGCTTCAGCAGGAGCAGAGATAACCCGTCGTTAGAGAAAGATATCCTTGCGACTTCCGAGTCCAAACTGTGTGGACCTCTGTTGTTGAAGGCGTCCAGATTGAGGTTGTCATTCTCTGTGAAAAGGGATCAGGGTACAAAAGCTTTTCAGAAGGATACTGTAGTTGAAGGAGGACAGAGAGAGAGCGCAATTGGGGATAGTGTGAGTATCCTTTCTTTTATGAAACCCAGCGTGTCTGAAGCTGGATTTTGTTCAGAATTGTGTTGGGGATCTGCTGTCACCTCCACAGGTCTAGCCTCTGTTTCAACTTTCAGCCCTCTACCATCTTTCTTCTCCTCATCTCGGCCAGAAATAGTGAGCATGCTGGAATGCAGGAGCTGAGCTTCTGCGCCTGATGCTGCACCTGCTGCTGCACCTGCTGCTGCACCTGCTGCTGCACCTGCCTCTCTGACAGATGTGCTACAGTATATCCTTCCTTTCAAATAGTGATGACCTCTTGTTTTCGTCTGACAATCTCAGACAACATCCCATTGCCAATCTGGAATGAGTCTACACCATGCCTCTATGTATCATCCTGTTGCTTCTGATCCAATCCCCCAATTCTAGATATCGCCATCTAATGTTTTCCATCCAACAGATAGATAACCACGCTCATATAGACATAACTCGTTCCCATTATGGATCGAGAACAATGTCGCGCCGTCTATATCGATGAACGAGTCGGTTATGACCGCTGGATTTCCAAAGAGAGTTTATCTTTGCCAGAAGATGATTCGGGTGGTGCTCCCTTCCCTCTACTTGATGACCATCCCAACCTAGCGAGCAACATAGGCCAAATTTTGGGCATTTGCAAACAAGGTCGGCTCCCCCACCCCTGTCTGAATATGGTGGACTTTCCTTTCAAGTATCGAATTATAGAGTACAGCTAATATATGCTTGCAGTATACCTGTGTAACTCCGGAAAGTCGTTCGCGAGCAAACTTGCTGAGTTACACGAAGAGTCAAGTAATACTTGTGCTCCAATCTTTGCTTTTATTGATATTGCAATCAAAGGCGACTCAGAGTTGGTACACCGGCGCTCCATCACCCAGACTTCTGTGCAACTTTCTGCGTCACCGCCAAGTTTGGCGCGTAGCTTAACTTTCTCCACGGAATCGGAGGAGCTCTATGGTTTCCATCTCCTTTCCAGATTTTCTGCAGATATCCACGCCCAGGACGAGCCCAGCATCATCGTGCCCATTGCGATTCTTCGGCATGCTGATGGCGATGCTGATGGTAAATGTGCTGAGAAAGGGATCCACGAGGACGGAAAACAGGGATTGCGAACCATCTCAGCCGAAGTGGAGTTTAAGCAGATCCGCCGCTGTTTGGATGCTGGAGCGATCGATGTGCTCACATGTCCTTTCGAGGCTTCCAAAGTAAAGGGACTGGTCCTTCACGCGTATCGCACGCAAAAAGCTGCGCAAAAACACAGAGCCCGATTTCTAGCCAGGCGGAAGGTACGGCGCCAATCGTGGGTTGGTGCAGATGACCAGCAATCCTACGCTTATCTTCGAGAAGCAATGGTTTCAAAGTTGATGAAACGGATTTGCAGTCCAGAAGAAGCAGTTGAGGATTTCCAAGTGGGCGATGTGCCAGTCATCCAGGAACGGAGAGCCTTGGTGGAAAGGGAAGTTGCGAAATGGAACTTTTTATCTCACGAGTTCTCGGACGACGAGCTGGTTCATGCTGCATGCGTGATGGTCGAGCATGCCTTGCAACTCCCTGAGCTGGAACAATGGAGGCTTTCGCCCGGTAAGATGATATCAAACCGCTCCTTTTCCTAGATTCTCGGCTAATATAGGAAATAGAGGAGATACGGTCCTTTTTGCTCTCCGTCCGTGCTTCGTATAACTCCTTCGTTCTCTACCATAACTTCCGCCATGCTATCGATGTCCTTCAGTCCGTTTTTCACTTTCTTGTAAAGATAGGTATTCTCCCACCGTTTCCTTTGGGAAGTGAGGAGGTATCTACCCGGAGTGGGATGTCTTCTATTTTGACGCCGTTTGACGCCCTTACATTGCTTATCACAGCGATTGGACACGATGTTGGCCATCCAGGTGTCAATAACGTTTTTCTTGTGAAGTTAAATGCGCCACTTGCACAGCTCTACAACGATAAGTCAGTACTGGAGGCTTTCCATTGTGCAGCCTATTCGCAAATCCTTCGTCGTCATTGGCCCTCCGTTTTCAAGGATAATCGACTTCGAAAGTTGATGATCGATTCTATTTTGGCCACTGACATGGGCATCCATAACGTATTTATGGAGTCACTAGGGAAATTGCAACAAAGTTATCGTTCTAATAACAGAACCACTTGGGGATGGGAACCCAAGGACATTGACACCTATCGAACTCTTCTATGTGCTTTGCTGATTAAATGCGCAGACATCAGCAACGTGGTAAGCACTACCCTTCTCTCCATTCAATGAGCTAAGTCACCTTTCTCACCGTTATCCCTCTCATAGGCACGTCCCTTTCATATAGCGGAGAAGTGGACCGATATTCTCCAACTGGAGTTTGCCAACCAAGGGATGATGGAAGCAGAGATTGGAATGGAAACAGCCTTATTTGGCGGTCCTCCAGAGTTGGGAAACTTTGTCAAAAAGGCGAACGGTCAAATAGGATTTATGAACGTATTCGCCCTCCCTCTTTTCGACGGGGTTGCCGACGTCCTCCCGGATATGGCTTTCGCCGCTAATGAAATTCGGCGCAACAAATGCAGATGGCAAATGTCGGTTGACCGTCAGAACGATCCAGATGCGGGAGAGAAAAGTGGAATTCAAATTTCTCCGGCTCAGTCGACTGAAACCCGCAATGTACGGAGACACCTGAAAGCAGAGGATTATAGCCTGCCGTCTGTGTATTATACGATTCCCAGCCGAGCGTCACCTGATAGTTCTGGGGATACCTCCCCTGGGCCATCCCAGGGAGATTCTCGTTCAGACAATGAAGCGGATGACGGGACTGTTACGAACGCAGAACATAACTCCCAAGAGTCCTCGACACCCAAATACCACCTACCTCCCATCTCATCCCTAAATAATACAAATGGAGCAAATAGCCACAGGGGTTATAGCTACAACCATACAGACGCAAATTCCGCATCCCAACGGTTCCACAATGACTCGGATAAACATCAGTTTCGGGAAGGTTTTGGAGGTAGTCCGGTTTCGGCTGTATTCAACCATTCGAGCCAATCCACAAATGGTGTCCGGAACCAGAGCACTAGCACGTATACAAACAACACGGTAGCCACACCAGTCTCGTCTACTTCTCAAGCCAGCAGCTTGGTCACAGCTGAGAGCAATGGTTACGACGACAAAGGGTTTGGCAAGAGAGCATATGGTCAGGGTATTCGAAGTGGTGGGCCTAATAGTTACGAGTCCAGTCTTGGGGATGGCGCCTGTGATGACAACCTTGGCTGTAGACGCCCTTCCACAGCCGCTTTACCGGTCGACTCGAGTTGCAACCGTCGTCAATCGGAGCGTGACCGCCGTCCCGCACTTGGGAGAACTGCGAGTTTTATGTCTACTCTCCTCGATAAGAGTTTCTCGACCAACCACCACAACGGTTTTACGCTTAAAAATCCTGCATCCCCTACATGTTCCGGACATTCTAATACTCCAAGTCATCACCTCTCAAATAGCCAACACTCATCCGACCCTGATTATCCTACTACGAATGGTGCCAGCGTCCCAACTGGGCGAACTGTGCCTCGACGACGATCCCGACTACGACTTGCATTCTGGCGGCGAAACAAGCCGTCTTCTCCTCCCCTTCCCCACGAGCAGCATCGGTGACTTGTTATTTCCAGATAGAATGTTATAAATCCGCTTGAATCGATTTATTCGAGGACGGCGCTCGGTCTTTAAGGCGTTTGTCAACGCTTAGCCTTTCATGGGTTATGGTTCTCGGTTTGGGTTGAACGGAATGGTGGTCCACTGGTTCTCATATTTCCTTTTCTTGTGATACCAGTCGAGTGGTCAGAGCGCCTTTCTCGATACCATGGCATTTTATGACTCTTTTCGGTTTGCTACTTGCATATTATACGACACGCATGAGTAGCTCTTCATATTCTCCCTATCCTCACATTCGCCTCATCATTCATCTATCTTCGATATTCCTCTTTTCTTCGTGGTTGACATACCTTTGTCCGAGCAAGTTCTGCTTCTATATTTGTACATATTTTACCACACATATTCACATGTATGCATTTTACATTATCAGCGGGGGAGGGTACAGGCGAAGAGAAGTCTTTTTAAAAGGGATTCAGACTCGTGTGTGCACTTTTATCTTTCTCGGTTTCTTGTCCTTCAGCCTTTATATGTTCTCGCAAAAAGAAGCTGATGCCCAGTTACTTGATTTGGCCAGAACGAAGGAAAAAAAAAACCAAAAAAATGCAATCTGGTCTGGCCTGCTTTCCCACATTGCAAAGCAATCATTATTCTATATCAATATATACATACAGAGATGTCATTGTTGTTCTTGTTCTTGTGTATTTCTATAGATGGGCTTTGATGACAAGACTATATACAATGCCTCTCCCCACTTGACATGCATTGGAGAATTTATCTGAGCAGAATAGTCGGCATCAAACCAAGACAGGTACATTGGAAGGTTGTACGAACCACTTCGTGGTCAAGAGATGGAGATAGATAGTATGGAGTAACCGCGATAACGCCAGGATTTGCCTTTTTATCCCTATGAACTCAAGCTTTCAGGTACACATAGGTACAGAAGCAGTCACATACATGAAACGAGGATATCCATATCCCCCGTACAAATTTATTTTTGACGAGGTTTCGACGCCGTCGAATGCAGGTTAGGTGTTTAGAGGGAATGTACTTCAAAGTTTCGTCGAGAGAAAGCCGCCCCTTACTGCGTACATTCACTGGCAATCCTCACATGCTTCTTTCTCTGGGGATGCCTCTGGAGGATCAGGGCCTGATCTGGCCGTTGCCGCAGCCACAGCCGTTGCTCTCGCTGTTGACGAGGAACCGGAGCCACGTCCTTCTGTGTTCTCTTCGTCTTGCTGGTTCTGCGCCTTGGCTAGAGCACGATCGATGTGGCCCAGGTTTCGAGACGGGTCGATGATGTTTCGAACTAGGGACTTGAGTTGTTTTGTTTCTGTTTGGTTGCAGGTTCTCACCCGAGAGTCGGGCCCAGACTTTGGTGTTAGTTTCACTTTATATGTTCTCGTTCTGGATTTCAAAAGGGAGGGGGTGATTGCTGGGTTTGTGATATATTGTCTTTAACAGATTTCGGCTCTTCTTTATTTTGGGTATATGAAAGGGGAGTGTTGAGGTGGGCACTGCACAAGTACTGTACCTGGAAAGCCACCCAGGGTTTTACGGTCCCAGAGGACCGTTTCCACAATTGTGGAACCTGCATTTGATGTGTGGAAAAGGGTGACTGTGAAGATTCCACCGGTGCTAGGGATGAGAGCTACTTCGCCTAGGGAGGTAGAGAAGGTGGATAGAAGCTCTTGCGCAAACTGTTAAGGAGACTGTTAGTACTGTGATATAACAACTATGGTATAAAGAAATGGCGGCACGATACAGGGGGATTGAGAGCGTGTCTGGGGCAAAGAGAAGGATATATGACATGCATGCAACTAGATACGACCGCGCGTATAAGATGTCAGATTGGTGAAAAGAGGGCTGTGTCTCCGGTAAGTGCTTGAAATGCAAAATGCTTTGAGTCATTAACAATTGCATGTTGCTCAATTTTTTGAATTCCACACAGTTTGGTATCCTGTACATACATAGGCAGCCCTCAGCATCCATCGACATTGCGTGCAATATTTTATCGTCACGCGTGGAAGCTGTGCTTGTACTGGTGCACAGGAACTTGGGATATCCATGGATGTATGTATGGATTATTGGTACCTCGTGAGTCAATAGAGCCTTTTGACCTCTGAGAATCTAAAATAATCTTTGTCCGGGTGGGAATTTGAACGAAGCCCTTTGGCATAATACAAATGCTTGATTGAGTTGGTTAAATAACGAGGAGGGAAAAAAAAGTAACAATGCGACACCGGCAGGATTCGAACCTGCGCGCCCGAAGGCAATGCCTAACTTAAGGAGGTAGCAGGGCACCGCGTTAACCACTCCGCCACAGTGTCAATTGGCGTGTTTCATCCTTCAATTTATCATGAACCATTATATGAATTAGTGGGCAAAAACAACTTGACCTCTCTGACACCTCCAGTTTGTGCGATGAAAATGAACTTTTTCTTCGGTGGGGATAAAAAAAGGGGAAAATGAAAATTATCTCAACCCTGCTTTTCCATCTGGAGTCTTTACATGCCCAGGGAGAGTGCCAGAAGGCAGCTGTCACATAATAGTCACATGTGTTTTACAACATCTTCACTAGAGAGCATGGCCAAAAAGCAACTTTTCCAGCCTGGCCGATGTCGATCTTTGCAACAGAAAGGCCTCCAAACTCCCAAAGACACAGTTGGTTCTTTTTCTTGTACTCCGTACTCATTTGTGCAACGACTGGAGAGTTGTCATTGCGCTAAGCTGCTGATGGATCTCTGGGAAAAGCACAGCTATCCGTACTTTTTTTCTTTTTTCTTTTTTTTTTTTAAATAATTTAATATTTTGGCCCCCTATCCATGGAGACATGGACATACGGCAGCGCGCCAAATGGGAGTTCAGGCGCATGGACGAGCGATTTCAAGCGATGATATAATGCCACTGCAGCGTCTCTATTCTCGACTCACTTTGAATGACAGGCTCTGTATCCAAAAAGAGAATAGGGCGTTTGAAAAGATAAGAAGTTTTTCTTGCTCATTGCTGACTCTCCCTTCTCTGTCCCAAAAGCTATTTTTACAACAGAAGATTTCAAGGATACACTCAATCTGACCGGGCTTTCAAACCCAAGGCAGTATAAAGTGGGCTGATGAATGCAAAATTCGCAAAGGAAACGGTACCATAAAAGAGGAAATGGAACAATCAAACAAGCTTGTGAAAAATGAGGAAAGTGTCTGAAACGGGACAAGGATTATTCCGAATAAGAGAATAACTCAGAAGAATAGGTACAGAAATGAAAGCCGTTAACGAAACAGGATCGAGTTCAAAGGACAAAAGGAAATTGTGGCAAGGGTCGGAGGGCCCAAGGGGATTTTGATGGAAATCAAGGTCAGGTGGTGGAACAGTCCTTGGAAAACTAAGTGAGGTAAAATGCCGGATTCGGAGAACGGATCGCGAAAAAAAGCTCCTGGTTTATGTAGGACGGGGGAAAACGGGCCACGGAAAACGTAACGTGGATCAAAAGGAAAGCGCCTCCCTTCGTCCCCGTGGGAGATGCCATTTCACATGCTCAACCATGCGCGGCCTGACGAGGAAACCCATCACATCTGCAGTTCCCATGAAGAGCACACGGAGAGTCCTTCCAAATCGTTCTCATTTCAGGGCGAACGTAACATGAGTTGAGGCCGGTGAAATGCGTTTGTATATGAATGTGCGTTATAAAAGAGAATTGAGAGTCATTAGAGATATCGGTCGTAGGGAGCAGAAATTAGGATATGACAGATGAGGAGAGCGAGTAGGGATCGAAAGGCCGGGGACGGTTGATGGGAAGGAGAACGGTGGGGCGGATATCGATGAACGGGCATTCTACATTATTATACAGCAGCCGCCAGACTGCTGAGGAGCGTAAGGGTCTTCTCGTTTCTCGACCTGGGAGGTAAAAAAGTGTTAGGGAGAATGCGTTATCGCACGTTGACGTCGAGAAGGGGAGAGAAAGCATACCTGGCCCCACACTGAAGGTACCATGAAATCCCGTGTGTTGTTGCAATAATTGATGAGCCTGTTGGAGAGGATGAACGCAGTTATTAGTGGTCCATCAAACTGGGACAAAAGGTACGGGAACCGGGAGAGGACGGGACTCACGACATCGAAGCCTCTGTCACTTTTACCCTCGGCCTCTCCAGGTCTTCTCTCAGGCGCGCATTGAGCTCAGTCAGTCTCCTGAGCTTCAATTCGGCCATATTCTGCCGATTATTCCTCGCATCCCCCCTAGGCCGTAGTTGTTCGTAGGCAGCGGGCATGTTGCGCGGCTGGTAGCCCATCTGCCAGTGACGCCTATGTAAACAACCAAGCAAAGAAGTCCCGCGGGCGAGTGCGCGGATGGACTGCGACGAACGACGGGAAAGGGGGTTTGGGACGATGAGGACCAGCTCAAGAAGGAATTGTGGATGGTCGCAGGATCCAGAAGGGAGGATTGACAGGATGGACGGCTCGCTGTAGGGCTGAAGGAGTGGGATTCGAGGTTGTTTCTAGGAGGGAGACAGGACGAAGAGAGAGAGAAGCGAGAGTCGATGAAACAAGCCCAAAAAGCATACCTCGCTCGGTACGGAGTCCTCCGTAAAGGGGGCGAAATTAAAAATCTGGCACTGTTACCGATTAATACCGCCTAAATACTGGTGTCAGCCAATCATAGAGCGTAATTTTGACAAGCTTACAAAGCAATACGGTCCGTACCCCACAATTACCAGAGCTTTGGCATGGAAAGCAACTTGCGCTTCCCGCTTCCCATCCTCGAAACGGGGTCCTTTCACGCCTTTCCCGGCTGCTTCCCGCCTCACGTCAATTGAGATTCGAGAACGCACTCCGTCCGCTTCTACAAAGCAGCATTATACGGCACCTTTCGTGGATCCGAAAGCGCCCTCGGGTCCGATCATGAGTCTACTCTGAAGCCTCTGGGCTCCTCTTTTTCTTTTTTTTTTTTTTTTTTTTTTTTTTTTTCACTTTTTGACATCAAGAAGGACACTTCGCGCTTAGTGATTATCCGCAAAGGGGAAATGAAAAATTACCCCGTCCCAGTTTTCAGGAACTTTCAATACGGTCTGGTAATTCGACCATTCCTAATTGGTCAAGCTACAGACCCGTGGGCCCGGGCTGGCTTGGCGATTTCTTGGCAAGATTCTCCCCGCGTGCTTGGGCTCAGCACATCCTTCGTCGTCAGGCTGCTAAGACGTCCAGCGTGCTTCGGATTGCTCCCTCGCACTCGACGAGGAATACCTGCCAGGTGATTGCTGTATTCAGTCGCACAATCTTATTTTCCTCTCTTTGCCCACGTACCACCACTTTACCTCGTTTCCCCTCCGACCACACAGTATCTGGAGTGAAAGCCCCGCGCCTGAACTAATGCAAACCTCTACTTGTTTCTGATAACTGCTTCATGCAGAATCGGATGTTGATAGGCCGCTGCTGGTGCCTGGTTCCGTGGTTTTATTCCTGTCTCGGGGAGTGGCAGAACCCCCAGCAGCCGTTTCACCACTCTCTTGTTCAGTGATTTCGGCGCCTGCACTATCAAGACTTAAAAGGCTCCGATAGTTTGAAGAGGGTGTGACTCGCTGGTTAAGTTAGCTATGTGTTGGCCACTTTTGTCTGAGCTGTTAAATATGGAATACCCTCTTCGGGGAATATCTTACATTTGTGTAGGTATGGAACCTGGTCACAAAAGGGCTCATGCACCGAGTCACGGGCCAGTGTAATGGTTTGGTGGGGCAGTTCCATGCTTCAAATGTTGGCCTCTGAGCGTTACTATTTCTCTCTCGAGGAATAATATGCATATCTACTGCAGACTTCGAGCAGGCTTCGACCATACCTTCATTCGCGTGCAAAGGAAACAATTTCACCATAGAATCTCAAGCCATTTGTCAGCCTCAAAAAATTGTTTTTTGTTGCTGCAGGGGTAGAATAGGCCAGGTTACATATGCATATGCACCTCCTGCTGCAACATACTTAAGAGATGTCGCTCCATTGGTACGATAGACGCTGATCGAGCCATCCTGATGGCCTGAGTAAAAAATGGTTCGTCCGGAAGATATCCAGAGAAATGGAGATATCTGTGTCTGCTCCACTGCTTGGAGTTGGGAACGAATCAACAGCTGTCATACTCTCTGGTATTGCTTAACTATGTATGAAGTACATGGGATGGGGGATGGCAGTTCCTGACGCATGTTGGTATCGTATAGGAACCCCGGTTGGTATTCTGAAACCGCTCTGTAGGTGCCTGAATGAATGTTGGCTGCTTCCTGCCCCGGATTCCACTCCCATCTATATATAGAGCGATACGTAGTGTTATGCCCTGCACGGTTAGCTTTTCATGAAGGCCACATTCAATCTATCGCATAGCATTAGCAGGTGCTGCTGTCATCGCGCGGAGGGGAGGTTCCACGTGATCCCCGTTCTCGGTCGCTTACTCTGTGCTATGCTGACATAAGCGGCCCAGGGTCCACAGGAAATTTTCGCCTTCTCATTATCCCACAACCATCACAACGGCCAAGTGTGAAACTTCTGCCCGTCGAGACCCCCGACTCTCTACCGGCTATCATCATCGGGAAAGGCCCTGCACTCGTCTGTGCATCGTTGAGGCCTACATCAACCCAATTTTCGTCGAGGAACTGCGTCCATCGAAACGCAAACGAGCCCAACCTTCCTCGAGTGGCCAGATTATCCTCAGTCTTCTTAAGTCAGGGAGAGCTTGCCCAGCATGCCGCCTATACCTCACGTTAGGCCTGAGAATGTTCTCAGGGTGAGACTTCTGTCCTGGCTTCACGCTCTATTCCCTACTAGAGATTCGCGACTGACGGTTCTTTTGTCTTAGCGAGCCGAAGAGCTCATTGCCGTGGGCCAGCCCGCCGCAGCCTTGTCCGTCCTTCACGAACATGTCACCTCGAAACGATCTCGCAGCAGCCCAATTGCATCTCTTGAACCGGTGATGCTTCTTTTCGTTGAACTATGCGTCGACTTAAGGAAAGGGAAATCTGCGAAAGATGGCTTGTATCAATATAAGAATATTGCGCAAAATACAAACGTGGGAACCATTGAGGTATGCAGGATGCAAATCACACCTCGACTTTTTCATGAATAGTGCTGATCAGAGTGGCTCTAATGTAGATGGTTCTGAAAAAATTCATTGAGCTTGCTGAACAAAAAGTCACCGAAGCCCAAGCCAAAGCTGATGAGATCCAATCCTCACTCGAATCAGCTGCCCCAACTTCCAATGTCGAGGATCTTGATGCTATTGAGACTCCAGAGACAATTCTTCTTGCCACGGTATCGGGTGAACAGTCTCGCGACCGCACGGACCGGGCCGTTGTTACCCCGTGGTTGAAATTTCTCTGGGAAACTTACAGAACCGTCCTAGAAATCCTGAAAAACAATGCGCGACTCGAGGTCATGTATCAGGCCACCGCACTACAGGCTTTCCAATTTTGCTTGAAATACACCCGCAAGACTGAATTCCGTCGCTTGTGTGAGCTCCTCAGAAACCACGTTCAAAATGCTGCCAAGTACTCAGCTCAGATGCACGCCATCAACCTAAGCGATCCAGACACACTTCAGCGCCATCTGGATACACGCTTCCAGCAGTTGAATGTTGCGGTCGAGTTGGAACTCTGGCAGGAGGGCTTCCGCAGTGTTGAAGATATCCACACTCTCCTTAACCTTAGCAAGCGACAGCCCAAGAATATCATGATGGCAAACTACTATGAGAAGCTTACAAAGATCTTTATGGTCAGCGACAATTACCTGTTCCATGCTGCTGCCTGGAACCGCTACTATAACCTGTTGCGACAATCCGCCATCGCCCTCGCTGCAGGACAGGGATCTAAGAAGGATAGCCCATCAGTTACCGAAGCCGATATGACCAAAGCCGCTTCTTTCGTCCTCCTTTCAGCCCTTTCAATCCCTGTCATCAGTACTTCGCGATCCCGTGGTGCCTTGGTCGACGTAGACGAGGTGCGAAAGAACAAGAATACCCGCCTCACCAACCTTCTGGGCATGCCTCAGCCCCCCACTCGAGCGTCATTATTCAAGGACGCTCTTAACAAGGGCCTCCTTAGCCGCTGCCGCCCTGAAATCCGGGATCTTTACAATATCCTCGAGGTCGACTTCCATCCTTTGTCGATTTGCAAGAAGATCTCTCCTATTCTCAAGGAAATCGGCGCCGATCCTGAGATGGAGAAGTACGTTTTGCCCTTGCAGCAAGTTATCCTTACTAGGCTGTTCCAACAATTGTCTCAAGTTTATGAATCTGTTGAGCTTAAATTCGTCCATGAACTTGCGCATTTCCCAGAGCCTTTCCAAGTCACCTCGTCCATGATTGAGAAATTCATCATGAATGGCTGCAAGAAGGGAGATTTGGCAATTCGTGTTGATCACGTGTCAGGTGTTTTGACGTTCGAATCGGATATTTTCTCTTCTGCTAAGGCTCTTCACCCAGGAAGTGCCGCTGGGTCTGCGGAAAGTGAAGTTGGTTCTGTCCAACGTCTGCAAAGCACTCCAGCAGAGATTGCCAGATCTCAACTTGCCCGCTTGGCTAAAACTCTTCACGTTACCTGCATGTATGTTGATCCATCCTACAATCAAGCACGGATCAAGGCCAAGGAAGCTGCACATGCAAGAGCTCGCGCAGGAGCAGCAAAAGAGCACGAGGAGACGCTCACTCGCCGTGCCATCATTGAGAAGCGGAAGGAGGCATTGTCAGATGCCTTACAGAAGAAGCAGCGTGAAGAAGAGAATCGAAAGCGTGCGCGCAACCAACAGCTTCAAGAGGCTGAGCAACAGCGTCTTTTGGATGAGCATCGTGAACGTGAGCGCAAGAGAATGAAGGATGAACAGGATCGTATTCGCCAGCAAGAATTGAAGAAGCAATTGGAGGAACTCAAGACCGGAGTCAAGGGGATTGACGTGAACCAGATCGACCTTGAAGAACTCGACTCCAATCGCCTTCGTGCCATTAAACTCGCCCAACTCGAGAAGGAAAAGAATGATCTAAATGAGAAGATCAGAATTACTTCCAAGCGCATCGATCACTTGGAGCGAGCTTTCCGCCGAGAAGAACTGAAGCATTTGCCGGAAGATTACGAAACACAGAAGAAGCAAGACCTCGAAACTTACGAGCAAACCAAGGAAGAGACTTTGAAAGCAGCTCGTCAGAAGCACAAGGAAGACGTCGCACTTAAGCACCGCCTGAGTCGCTTGGTGCCATACTTCAATGACTTCAAGAAGAGTGTGACGGAGAAGAGACATGAAGAGTTCGAGCGCCGTCGCAAGGCTGCTGACAGAGAATTTGAGCAGAAGAAGAAACAACGTATCAAGGAGGTTCACGAACGCATTCGACGTGAAAGGGCGGAACGCGAGGCGGAGGAGCAGAGAAGACGCGAAGAAGAAGAGCGTATTGCGCGCGAAGAGCAAGAGAGAATCGCCAAGGAAGAGGAGAGGCGACGCGCTTTGGCAGAAGAGAAGGCTGCTAGAGAAGAACAAAGAAGGCAAGTATTCATTCGTTTTCATATTCGGGCTTCTCTAACAAAGAAAACAGAAAACTCGATGAGCAGGCTATCCGTCAAAGGCAACGTGAGGAGGAGGCTGAGCAGCGACGAGCTGCCCGAAAGGCTGGCCTTGCAGAACCGAGAGGCCCAGCGCGCGAAGCATCTCCCGAACGAACTGCACCGCGTCTTAACCTTGCTGGCCGAACTGGAACTTCATGGAGAGATCGTCAAGCCGCCAAAGCTGCTGCCAGTGCCGGCGAGCAACCGGCCGCAGCCCAAGAGGCCACGCCAGCACCCCCGGCGAAAGCGGGCAGCTACCTCCCTCCACATTTACGGGCAACCCGCGATGGGCCTTCTGATAGCCGTGATCTTTCCCATGCTCGGGAATCCGCTGCTCCGCCTAGACAATTTTCTAGAAGCCCTGTGCCTCCCTCTGGCGCTCCCTCTTCCCAGGAAAAGCCTGGCCCATGGAGACCAAGATTCAAACAACAGCAGTAGGTGCTACGTAAGTACGGTTAGTGGGTTGGTATAGTATCGGTGGAGGTTTAGGGAAACGTCTTGATCTCTTTGCATCACGTTATGATCCCTATTTTTGGAGAGTTCCGTTTAACTACATATATTCGGTGGCTTCCTACCTATCTATGTTTCGTCCTCTTTGGCCCTCTATCCCTTCCGAGAATTCGGTCAGGGTGATTGATTTCCATGCTTTATTTTGCAGATCAAAAGTGCATATTGCTTGTGCTTTAAATTCAATTTAATATCCAAATTCTATCCCTTTCCCTCTTCTCGTCTCTTGTGCCGTTGTTTCCCTTACCTCTCGGCACCGTTCGCATGTCGGCATTTTACAAGGCTTCTTCAGAGCATGTACGCATATGTATGATGCTTTATGTATGAGGCATGTTTTCTTGCATAGGCCCATCCCCCCATCTCCCCAAGCCTGTCGTGTTTGTTTCATGCGTGGTCCAGTTACTTGTTTTCGGAATAGTTTGGGAAGAAGAGTGTGATGACGATGGATGATGATTGAGGCATGGAGGGTTTCCTTTTGTTTTGTTTTGCCCTGGATTTGCAGTTTGCCTTGAAGTTTTCTTCGTTATGGCCCAAGTTTTTATGTAGAATGAAGAGAATGAGAAATGAGTTTTTATTCAGGATTAGAAGCGTTTTTCAAGCTATCTAGGGGTTTTTGGACAGCTTTCTAACAATCTATCTTAGTTTTGATTCAAATTAGGAGGCAAAAGTTTCTCATACAGCGTTGCCGTGTCTGGAGGGTTTGATGAAGCACCCAGAGTCTGCTACAACAAAAGGAAATAAAGACCTGGAAAGGGACACATGACAATCTAAATACTTATCTTTTCTTTCACCAGGAACCCAGGATTGAATTATGCAATCAAAGGAAATGTTCTTCTGAAACCAAGCGATGGGTTCCCGGGTCAAAAGGGTCTATGTACCAACCACCCAATCCACTGATAAGAACAAAAAGAAATATACCTTGAAAGAGGTAAAGAGAGAGTGTTCGTGTTCAAGAGACCGGAACCTCTGCCGGCGTCGCCGTAGCCCCTGCGCCCGCCGCCGCCGTCCCAAACAGCCTATTCCTCCACTCTCCACAGACTGCTTCAAACCCGCTGACCACGCTCTGGCAAACCGTTCCAGCCTCTCTCGCGGCTAATTTCGCATCCCATCCACCTTTTTCAATCCACCGAATGCCTTCCTCGCGCGCTTCATCTTCGCGTCTCATCTCGATGACGAGTTCGCGGACGGTCTTGAGGCGTCGGGATGCGGTGGAGGTGAGTTGGCGGGATTCGTGGAGGGTGTCGTTCAGGGTGCGGAGAGTGTGAGTTAAATCTGAGGTTTGGGAGAGGAGGGATTGGAGGGAGAGGAGCGGTGTGGTGTGAGAGTGCGAACGGGAGTGGGCGGATGAGTGGTCCGGATCGGACGTGGAGGTGGAATCGGTGCCGTGGTGGGCTGATTGGTGTTGATCGGGGAAAGGGAGGTTGGGGAGGATAGAGTCGATTAGGGGAAGCAGGTCGTCGATGGCATCTGGGGAGAGGGTTGGAAATGAGGAGATAAGGAGCGGGTGGGTGAGGGTCTGGAGGGAGCGAGTTTGGTGGGTTAGGTGGGAAACCAGGGAGCTATGTGCGGTGATGAGCCTGGAGAAGCTGTTAGTAGACGGAGATGGCAAACAATGAGCGTTATCGAACCTCGTAGTGCTATTTTCAATCCCAGCTTGTCCGCCAAGTTCCCGTAGAAGGCCAATAAACTGATCGATGAGCTCGTTGCTAGTCTCGTCTGCCTTGCTCCATCGTACCAGATCGTCGATTCCAGCCATTTGAGCTTCTAACCCCGGTGGCATATCCCCGGGCTGATCAAAATCAGAATCATTCCCATAATCGGAGCCATCATACAGGGATTCATGACGCCGATGCCGAGAGTGGCCTTTTAGCCTCTGCCTGGGTGGTTTTAACTGATCCTCCCCAGAGTCCGAATCCCCGTGCGACAGTCCGCCCCCCATACCTATCCCCATATCGTGTATTGATTCGATATAGCCGGCATTGTCTGATGTCGGAGAATCGACGCCGTCTATAGTCACCATACCCTCTCCATCCTGTAGTCCAGACGTATCTTCTCCTCCGTATCCATACTCGTACCCATCATCCCATGCGTTCGCCAGCTCATCTGCTAGACTCCCCAATCCTCCTCCGTCGCCACTATCGGCATTCACATCTGGAGTAAAATCGCCCGAATACCTGGCCGGTCTTTCCATTCCTCCTGAAGACGAGATTCGCTGCCTGGTTGTCACGGGTGAGTGTGGGATAGACGTGCGCGGTGTCTGTGGCGAGTACGGAGGGCTCTGGCCGTATCCGTTCCTTGTAAAGCTACTCGGAGCTGCGGAGGAGAAGTCGAGATCTGAGAGATTTCGTCGTCGGCGGGTGGGAGAGTTGGGCGAGGATGGAGCTAGCGGCATTTCGATGCGTTGTTTACTATCAAAGAGGGACGGCACTCGGCGTGGGAAGAGATGTGGAGATCCAAAGTAAATAAACGACGCAGAACCAGCTCTGCCATGAAAGAAAGGGGAAAATAAAAAAAAGGAGTGAAAGACCGATTTTCAGAAAAAAAGGGAGGGGCTGCGAAGGAAGGCTAATCCTCGACAGCGAGAGACTTCGCTGAGGATTTTTAGGTTGGGATATTAACCCTCCACTTAGCCCATCAGGACAAGACGGCCTGGAAATTAATTGAATGTTATGGCTTCTCGAATGGCGCCAACACACCGGATGTTCAACTGAGGAAACACTGCATTAGCATTGAATGTCTGATTGTTGGAGCAAAACCGTGTGTTTCTTTGCGGAATGCCCTGAATCGCTGAGCTTTTTGAGATTCGTCTCGACTCACGGAAGAGACTGCAACACAACAAGCTCACTTCGTAGTCTTAAACGGCGCTGCATGCAACAAGGCTAACATTACAGAACAATTCCATTGTCCTGCGTTCAAAGTACCCATACCAAACTTCAGCCAGCATATTTCCAGTCTCCCTTTTTGGCTCAGCAACAATGACTTCCATACGCCGCATGACCGCTTCCGATCTCCTCTCCCTCAATCTCACCAACCTCGATCCTCTGACCGAAAATTACGATGCTAATTTCTACCTCACATATCTCATGAAATGGCCGTCCCTCTTCAACGTCGTCGAAGACCGCGATGGCAAGATCGTGGGCTACAGTACACCCTCCCCTCCCCAACGTCTAGTCTCGCGAAAGATATGAATAGCATGGGCTAACCTCCTGCCCACGTAGTAATGGGTAAACTCGAGGCCCAGCACCCTTCCATGCGTCACTCAGAGCACTACACCCCGTGGCATGGGCACATCACCGTTCTCACCGTCGCGCCAGCCTGGAGACGACTGGGTTATGCGCGACGACTTACCGAGGCACTGGAACGTGCTTCGGATATCAACGACGCATGGTTTGTTGATTTGTATGTGCGTGCGGGAAATAAAGTTGCCGTAGAAATGTATAAGGGGATGGGGTATGCGATCTTCTTCCCGGTGTCTCTGGTGATTTCCTTCTTTATCGTTGCGCTAATCAGCTCTCTTCTCGTGCAGATACTCTGTGTTTAGACGGGTGGTGAATTATTATAGTGATGATCCTGCGGGCATGTCCGGCGGTGAAGATGCATTTGATATGCGGAAACCGTTGAGTAGAGATAAAGACTTGATACATCAGCGAGAGAATGGGGAGAAGTTTTTGGTTAGCCCGGAAGATGTATACTAAGATGGTGATTGTGATCTGCAACTGGGTATGTGAGGCCGTTGTGGTGAAGGCATCAACAGAGTCTCCTTCTGTCACGCATTGTCACCAATGTTGTACAGTTTTCTTCCACTGGGCCAATGCTGTCCGTTACTGATACACGCCCTGCAAACGTGTTTAGGTTCAGCAGGGAACACCACCATAAAAGCTATATAGTGTTACTCCATATAGGTGGATAATAGTTGTTTAACTTTGGCGTTTTGATGGTCCTGAGATCTATTATACTATATACTCCGTATATATATGCCAAATAGGAAATTTGCCCAAACATAATGTAAAAACTTTTTGATATCGTCATATTCGTGGCACCGTACTCCGTAGAACCGAATAACATGTATCCAACCTCGCGTAGGCAGTATTTCACGTCGACCCAATGCAAGATTGAAAAAAAATAAAAATAAAAATAGACTCCCCCCCCTCTTCGCGGTTGAGATAAAGGAAATCCTAACCAACAGAACAACTATATCAACCTTAGTTGTAATAATGCGCTCACATTCGAGCAAGTAGATGGGGTCCTGTTTTGATAAATCTTGCAGTACACATTATAATACCCGAGCAAAGCAGGCAAGCCCCAGTGAATACCTTCACGCCCAGGTAATCTCCCCCCATATGACTGATGAGCGCACCGCCAATAGGGGTACCAATCAAAGCCCCCGACGCAACGAACACGAAAGACATACCCAATCTGGTGCCAAAGTCTCGAAGATCGGGTGTGATATTCATGATCACGATTGGAGGTATGGAAACGTAGCCGCCCGAGAAGAAACCGTAGAGAACCGCCAGGGCAATCACTCCCCCGGAGGAATGGATTCCAATCCAGCAAAACCCGAGGATGCCGGAGATGACGGCCATGGGGCCGATGACATTGAGAGGGCCGATGTAGTCAGCAATATAATTTGGGAGAATGCGGCCAAAGCTAGAGGCGGTATTGAGCATGGCGAGGAGGTAGAATGCAAGATGCTCGCCAATTATACGGTTATCGATTGCATATGGTTGTATATATACCATGGTGTTGTATAGGCCAGAAAATCCGATGAACTCGCCAATGCAGAAGAGCGTATAGACAGGGTCCTTGAAAGCGTGTAACTGGATCAGGGCACGTTTTTCCGTAGGCTGGAACCTGATCTTTAGAAGGCAGCATGCGACCAAGAGTGTGGCAAGGGATACAAATCCAAGCACTCGAACAGCCCAAGCAAATCCAATTTTCAGCTGAAGTTGGCGAAACATGATCGGGTATATAACACCGCCAACACCGCTCCCCGTAGCAGCAATGCCATTCGCAAAGGCTTTCTTCTTCTTAAAGTACTGTGGAATAATTGCCACGCAGGGAATAAAAAGACACCCGCAGCCAAGTCCAAGACAGAAACCCTGTGCTAAAAGGATTTGCCAAAAGCTCTTAGCTACGCTGGTCATCATGAGTCCAAATGGAACCAGAAATGTGCCCGAAATCAGGAGATGCCGGGAATATCCAGCGTCAAAGAGCGGGCCTGTCACGGCCCCGATGAAGAGCAGGAGGAAGGACTGTATGGATCCAATCCAAGATATAGTCGAAGGCGACTCCTGGGAAAGTATTGCCTGCTCATAATATGTTTGAAAAACACCAAATGCAGTCACAATTCCCCTACCACAGACCAAAAATGCAAAGTCAGCGCACTCATGATATCTGGACGCCCTGGAGAGCTTAGAATAAATGTGTACGCACCATGTATCGAAAAACATAATCCAGGAGGCCAAAACTTGTGACCATGCTTTCCAGCCATGGTCGAAGGAGAGGCTGTCGTTCTCGAACCCCGACTTCTCTACAATTTCTACTGCATCTTCGCAAGAGGACAACCCGGGGGACGATGAGCCAGTTGGCTCTGATTCTTTCCCTGGTTCCCCCATCTCCAGCATCAAGAAATTCGGCGACTTCTAACTCGGCCTAGCCTTGGTCGTGCGAGGGCAGTCGACTCTGGAATGAACAAAAAACAATAGATCAAAACAGAGAATACGCGGTAGAAGTAAAATAAAAGAAATTTAAAAACAAAAGAGCAAAAGGCCAGGCAAGCTTGCTCCTTAATTCTATCAAACCGCTGAACAGGCACCCGAGAAGGAAAGATATAACCAGGGCAATCGGCCTCCTGAACTTATACAGCCTCCCTCACAGTGAAAATGAAGATCCATTTTGGAGATTGGCGTCCAAGGGCACCCGAGTCACATTTGTGACAAAATTTCTGCTGGCATTTCCCCGGCGTACGTATGGAACGGGATTTAACCGCATCTTTCCTGGCTTTGCGGGGCAAAATTTTTTTTGGGGGGGAGCTGGACAGTCTAGAAAGTCGACCAGTGGAAACCCACACCGCTGGCCGGTCGTATTTTGATGTCCGGAAAAACGGCATCTCTGGGACATTCAGAATTTCGAAGGGACGCCCCCGTAGTTATGACTGGCTCCAAGGCCAAGGAATCTGCATCCAAGTTCCCCAATAATGACACATGCAGCGTCCGCTTTGACCGCCCAGGACTCGATCGGGGCCCTCTGGGAACGTTCATGATGGGCTCGAGGTGTTCGTCATCGCCGCGGTCCACGACGCCCACGGGGGAAAAGCCATGTGGGTTCGGGCCAATGACGGGGTCCGGTACCAGAGCCGGGACCCAGAGCATGGCAAAATCCCAAGGAAAACCAGGGCTAAAAGGCGTAAAAAGCAAAGAAACCCGATTCACAATCCGCTGGAAAGTGGATGCGAGCCACAGTGTGCTGCTGTCTCAGCGAAGTCCGCGTGAAGATGCGCCAAACTTCACGGTGGTAATAACCTTTATTTATCATTTCAGGTGACCGCCGGTTTTCCAATTTTCCCTCCAAACGGACTCGAAAGTGAGTCTGTTGGTTTTTAACCCCCGGAAACCGGATAAAGAGCCTATATTAAATATGTGCCTTGCAGGAAATTAATAACCCTTGGTATTCTCGATCCAGAGCGCCGGAAAAATACAGTTCATTCACCGAGCTCAGCTTGAGCTGCCACTTGCAGGGGACGCTTCACCCCCACAGTCGAGCTGGCAAGCTGGTGTAACACCCCACGACCGGAGCGAATGAAATACATATCGCCATGCTGAAAAAGTTGAGTCACGAAAGCTGTGCTTGTTTGTTTCGACCTTTGAAATACTTCCTGGTAATAGTTACTTGACGTGAATTGAGTGACTTCTGAGAGACCAAACAAGCCCAGATATTTTTTGGGAGTACGGAGTACGGTTTAGAGCTTGTGATCTGGGGTTCTGTATCCACGAGGGTTACTGCATCGTAAGCGGAGGCCACGGTCGACAATTCCCTGCAATGAGTCTGCGGGTCTCGAGGACTAATCGGCGGGCGGGTTTAAGATATCTGACGCCAGCCACCGGGACGAGGTAGATCACCAATATGGGTCGAATGTGAAATGTTAACGCAATTATGCCCGTTTCGATAATACCTCTCTTCTTGAGAGAAAAACATGATTAACTCCCTTAGTATTTGGTTTTTAATACTTTTCTGCAGGCAAGGAACTTAAAGTCACATAGATCAAAACCCCATAACTCAGAGATCCTCCTCCCACGTCCCCGAGATACCACACTAGGTTCACATAGTATAAGAAAAATCCACCCAAATACACCAGACTCCATGCGCTATGCCAAAAGATAAAGCGGACCTTGGAAGCGGGAATATGGCCCAGAACACCGGCAATCCTGGAAAAAAGAAGGATCTAAAGGAGTTCTTCGCATGTCCAATCCTCATACCTGCAGCCCGAGAAGTCAGAGGAGCGACCAGTAAATGCACCATAGGCGAATCAACCTACCATCCGTCGGGGAGGTATCTCCTCACGATAAGCGGGATCTTTTTCTGGTTGAGCTCCTTCAATGCGATCTGTAAAGGATCGGTCTCCCCCTCTAGATCGACCAGGATGGGCGCGTTCATGCTATACAGTAGCATTAGACCACACTTCAGGTGCCTAGAGAGAAATAAAGCAAAGTGACACAGCGCACGCACCTGATCTGTAGGGCCCGAGTTCCCAGCACACGCGCACGCTCATACTTTGTCATATAAGGCGTCGTGGTCCTCTGATCGTTTGGCACCTTCTTCTCCCGTTGCTGAAGCATGACCTTGCTTTTTGAGGCGGCGGCACTAGCATCGCCGGTGGCCGCCGCGGCGCTATCTCCATTCGCGCCAGGCGTCACGGGTTGCCCATCACCGTTAAGGACCGCATACGCACCCTCCTCCGCCTCTTGTTCGGGGCTAACGTAATCTTCCGGCTCGTTGTCGATATAGTCGTATTCCGGGGGTTCGTAATCGAAGCTGTTGATGGTGAGTTAGCCAAGTGTGCTGCTTGCAACCAAGGGCAAGGCCCGGCGGAGGGGGGGGGCTCAGATGGGGTGTTCTACCCGGTCTCGTCACGGTCCTCGTGGTCGCCACCGTAGTCGGACATTTTTCAATCACAGTAGCAAAAACGAAATCAGCAAAAGGAAAAATATAATAACTTGATCACTAGTGATGTATAGGCAAGCGAGCGTGGGGGGATGTGCAGAACGATGAACAGTGTGGTTGAGCCCTCTCGCGAAAACGTGTTTCTTGCTTCGTCCCTTTTTTTTTTTTGGGGGGAGCGAAAACGAGTGGTCTTGGCATCATGGAAGCCGCGCGCCAGATCGACCAATCGTTGGGCGGCATTCCCGCGTTTCTGGCGGCACAAATAAAGTTAGATAAGCACTCGAGATCCACACAAAAACAAAAAAAAAACAAAGCTGATCCTGCGATAGCTCGAGACAAAACGGTTCCCCCCGGAGCAGTCTTGCAACCATTAACCAGGCACATGCCTCCTCAATTAATTCCATCATGGTACAGAAACGCAAAGCTACGACTGACTTTCGGCGGCAGTCTAAAAGACTGCAAGCATCAGGGCCGGACAGTAAGTACCTACTGACCGAATTTGTGTTGGATTTATGCTAATTATCCTTTTTTTTTTTTTTTTAATCAAGACGCAAACTATTCCGACCATGCGTCCGATTCAGAATCGGTTGCCTCTTACTGCCTAAGCGATAACAGCTATGGACATCGAAGCCAGTCGAAGACTCCCATTACGCCTTTCTCGCCGACGGGATCGTCAAAGTACCCTTCGGACCTCAAAACGCACGTCTGCCCGTACGACAACTGCGACAAGGCGTTCAACCGGCCGGCCCGGTTGGCAGAGCACATACGATCGCACACAAACGAGCGGATATTCCACTGCGAGTACGATGGCTGCAACAAGTCCTTTCTCCGAGCTTCGCACCTTAATCACCATGTCAAGAGTGCACACACCATGGTTCGAGACTACGTATGTGACAAAGAAGGGTGTGGGAAGACATTCGTGACGGGATCCCGATTACGAAGACACCTAGCGGCCCACGAAGGACGGGACAAATATCGCTGTGTGGAGTATCCGCCGTGCAACGAGACATTCAGAAAGCACACTACGCTTCAGAAACATGTGATGATGGTTCATCTAAACCAGAAACCTTTTCCCTGCCCGCATATCGATCCTGCCACCGGGGAAAAGTGCCAGCAGGGCTTCGACACCGCGGGTCATCTCCGAGCGCATGAGGGCAGGATCCACGGCGGTGCGCGGTTTACCTGCACGGAGTGTTCACACTCCACCGGTGCTACAAACAATGGGGACTCGCCTGCACGAGTCGAAGCAACGTTCCACACGTACGCCCTACTGCAGGCTCATTTGAGATCGGCTCATCCGCCAACCTGTCCGGAATGTTCACTTACCTGCTCCTCTTCGAGGGAATTGCGTCGCCATCTGGAGATAGCGCACGGGAACGTCTCGCTGGACGAGAGGCGCACCCATCCGTGTAGTTATCCGGGTTGCGGGCGCAGTTTCACCAAGAAAGGAAACTTGAACGTCCACATAAAGACGGTTCATGAAGGCGAGAAGCGGTTTATCTGCGGCGAGACGGACCTGTCGACCTCCAAGAAAGTAGACGGCTGGATGAGCCAGGACGGCTGCGGGAAGCGATACGGCAGCAAGCTCGCGCTCGAAGAGCACGTTCGAACGGCGCATCTGGGCCTGAAGAACGCCAAGGCGGCGCGGCGGGAGCAGCTGGGCCTGACGTCACAGGCGAAGGACAAGACCCTGACGCTGTCGAAGCTGGCGATGCTGACCGGCGAAGGCTACGCCGAAGAATCAGGCCGGCACATCCCGTGCCTGATCGAGCAGTGCCAGCATCTCTTCCGGCGTGACTACGACCTCTGGGTGCACATGGGGTCGAAGCACAGGCTCGAGGAGAACGACATCCAGATCCTGTTCATGCGGCGGGCCATGCACGGCGGCGATCACAGCTTTGATCTTGACCTTGATGCTTTGCAGCTTGGTTTTCCGGCGCCACAGGAGTCTGGGGCGGCGACGAGCCAAGCTTGCCGAGAACAACAGAACCTCATGACCGGCGAGGATTTCTTGATGCCGGATGCGAACGGGCATGAGGAGAACCAGTCGTCTCCCGGGATGGGATGTAGCGGTCAAAAGATGATGGCGGGTTACGATGGGGATGATGGCTTGGAGGCTATTGACCCTCTGCTGACGCTGACCACGACGAAGCAGTAAGTCTAGGCGAAAATATCCGGAGAACATCCATATTTTGAAATATAATATATACCCATGAAGCTCTAACTATCTAATCTACTTTTCCCCCAATACTCTCGGTATTTCTTTATTTTTTTCTTTTTTTTTTTCTTCTTCTTTTCCTTTTGTCTCCTTTTCTCCCTTTGTATTCGGATGGATCATTCTTCATCGGTGCTCTAGAGTGTTGGGATTGCAACGAGGATAATTAATCCTAGCGGTAACGGAGTCGAGTAATGAACAACTATAGACTCCCTCATAACTAGCGTGTATGGAGTACTCCGTAGAAGGGCTTGATTGGAGACTTGGCTCGGCTCCCGCAGAACCCAGTGGATGAAGATTACCCGCCATCGTTCGTCGACGGCAACGTCAAGTCTAGCGCTTGATGGGGGACATTTCTCTGCAAAAGGACAGGGGGGGTTTGTTGGAGCGTTGGTGCGCTGGCGGTGGAGGCGCGGTGCGTGTGTGGGGGTACTGTATCCTGCAGGGAATGGAGCTCGAATAGATGAGCAGATCTACGACTCCGTGGCGGTTCCTCCTTGTAGGGTTTATTCAGGGGAAGAGCCTTGGTTGGTTGTACAGTGCTACAGGGGACAAGGTTACGGAGCAGGGAGCACAGGGGGTGAATATCTCCAGATCCCGGCCTTTTTTCTTTTCGTGTAATCAATGTGCGTGTGTCAAAAAGAAAAGAAAAGAAAAGAAAAGAAAAGAAAAGAAAAGAAAAGAAAAGAAGGGCTTGGGTTCGCACTCCGTACAGAGAGAATTTAGAAACAAATCAGCAGCACCCGAGACGAGCGAGAGAACGGGTTGGGAAGATTATACAGACATATACGAATGCACAGCTCCGTCAACTAACTGATTAGTGCTCGCCCTCGCACGCGCGTCCAGAACACGCCAATTGGCGCAGGGCGGTTGTTGTCAGACCGGAAGGAAGAACGTACCCTGTACTCCGTACTCCGTATGGAAGCCAGGCAAAAGGAACTCATCCAGGGCTGTGTGGCTGGACAACAACGCCTGCAGCCGGGCCAATCCTAGGCCGCGTCATCTGCCTCGCCGTTGTCGTCTTGTCGCTCGCTTCTTTTGCCTTTTTATTCTTTCTTATTTTTTATTTTTTTTGTTTTTATTTTTGTTTTTTTTTGGCGTGTTTTTGTTTTTTGTCGCCTAGCCGGGAAGGTGTGGCTGAGCAGACGCAACGATCGACGGGCAGCAGGCGCGTCGGATCGACTCCTTCCCTTCGACAGGCCCTTTTCTTTTCCTCTACTAAGCAATAGCCGGCTAACTAACTAACTAATTAGGTAGTATGTCTGTAGTTATGTACTCCGTATATGTAAACACTCATCAGCAGGGTAAGCACCTTCCCAACCACCCCCCCCCCCCAAGTAGCGACTTTCCTTTTCTTTTCGTTTTTCTTTTTTTTTTTCTTTTTTTTTCCCCTTCTCGAAAGAGTCGCTCCGGCAGAAGCTGCGATGCGGCCAAAAATGGCTGGTCTGCCCCTGCCGAGTCTGGGCAGCGAGAACCGTGGTTACATCGGTGGAGGCGGCCGCTGATGGCGCCGTGAGCTTCCCAGAGATGAAATTCGTGTGAGATGCGCTGAGTCTTCCAGACCCAGGAAGCGAAACTAAGTAGATATAAAAAAAAAAAAAAAAAGAAAAAGAAAAAAAAAAAAGAAAAAGAAAAAGAAAAAGAGAAATAAATAAATGGGAGGAACAGGCTGCGAAGAGAAATAAATAAATAGGAGGAACAGGTTGCGTGTTCGTCGTGGGGTTTGGTGGTTGGTGTCTCACCGTTTTTGAGGCCAGCAGGTCAAAAAAAAAGCCCACCCGTGGCCAGTAATCAAACAGGGCGTTGAACAAGGTGAAACCGAATGCTGGCCAGGACACGACCACCAGGGCGTTGCTGTGTCTCTGGAAGCGCTGCGAGGTTTTGGCCTGGATCAAGGATTGCTCCCAAAAATAGGCCCTCTCGCGTCCAATCGCTGACCGCACCCCGCAGATCGCACAGTGAGACATTTCATCTGTAGCTAATCTTTTTCACGTTTTTGCTTACTTTTTGCCTTTCCCGTCTTGGTCCCTTATTTTTCTTATTTTTTTTATTTTTATTTTTTTTTTTCTTCGGCGCCACGACCGGGGGGGTTGGCAGCGGAGCGAGCGGGTGTGTCCGGATTCGACCGCGATGGTCTCCGGGAAAAATACGCACGGTGTCAGCTTTCCTCTGCGTTAGTTCGCTCGCTATCGGGGCCTGTCAGTTTTACCTCTGGGCAATCCCGTCGGCGGTGAATGAGGAAACGTGTCTGATGCGGGAGGGCGACAAAGAAGGCGTAGTTACATGCAACGGCTGCTGTTGGGCACAAAGAACGGCGGGTAGCCGGAGGAATAGACTTAGAGAGAAGGGGGTGGGAAGAGAGAGGGGAGAGAGAAGGGGGTGGAATAGATTTGAGAGAGACGGAGTTTAGGACCAACTGATTATTGACTGTCTAGCTGAGGAATTCCCAATAGCTCTGAGCAGAAGATGGGGCGCGTGTAGAATTTAAGAGCCCACCCCCCTGTGGAGCTTGTCGGCGTCTACGGAACCCCCTCTGTCTTCCGCCACGCAACAAGGTCGTTGGACCAAAAACTGTCTCACAAACCCTCTCCCCCTCCCTCCCCCAGGCTTGCCGGCCTGTCCCCCAATGCCGCACACTCTTTTTCTTGTCACAGATCGCTGTGCTGCTTGCTCTCGTTCTGGTCTCGGTTGGTCAGATAAGCCTTCTTCCAGGTTTTTTCTTTCTCATTCTTTATTTTTTTTTACTTTTTTCCTTCATTTCCATGGCTTGCTGATCGCTGAACCGCTATGCCTCCAGTCCGCCTGACATCATCATCACCTCCATCCTCGCTGTCAGGTTGACCGTTCGCTCAACGTTCCATTCCACACCACACCCTCGCTTTCAATTCCCTTTTTATTTTATTTTATTCTTCTTATTTTATTTTATTTTGTTTTATTTTTCTTTTCTTTCCTCCTCATTTCTTAAAGAGGAGACGAAGGGAAACACTTGGCATTTCTGCACTGTCTCACCGTGACCTCCCTCAGTGATCACAATCGGAGAAAGTAATTTTAAACAAACTCAACGGTCAACTATATACTTGTTCGCTTTGTGCTCTCTTTCTTCAAGCCAAAATATATTTTCTTTTTTTTTTTTTTTTTTTTTTTCACTTTTTTCCCCTCCCCTTCTCATTGAACATGCTTCTCCTTTGAATTACTCGCGTGTTCGATTGATCAATAGGTGAAGTCAATCATGGGTCGCTTAAGAGGTACGTGTTCCTAGTGTTCCGGAACCATTCTGCATGGCCGTGTGTGTGCGTGTTGTGTTTCTATGCATGCTCGGCGAGATTTTGCTAACTGAAAGCCTCGCTCCCTCACAAACAGTCCTCTCGTTCATATCGGCAGGCCGCAGAGGCTCAAAGAACAACCCTCCCTCTCCTCCTACTCCTCAGTCCGATTCCTCCATCTCTCCAGTAAAGTCCTCATCTGCGGATGGATTCCAGGCCGCCTCCCTTCCTCAGGAGGTCCCGAACCCCGTTTCCGGGAATAGCCCCCGCGCGACACTCCAAAGACCAAACAGAACGAACGCACGCCCAGTTTCTACCGTGCTTCAGCAGCAGCAGCAGGTGGTCCCGTCCGTGGATGCGGAGAATGTGCCCCTACCGGAGCTGGAGCCTATCTTTTCATACTTGAATAGTCAGTCGGGAAAGCTATACTATGAAGGTTATTTCTTCAAGTTGAACGACCTAGATAACGGTATGCTTCTTCATGACCAGTACTCCTTGTTGCATCTTTTAAAAAAAAAAAAAAAAAAAAACCACTGTGGCTGACTGGTTGTAGAGGGCTCCCCCTGCACAGAGAGGAAGTGGACTGAGTACTTCGCTCAGCTCGTCGGGACCGTTCTCTCTCTCTGGGAACCCGCCGCTCTGGATGCTGCCGGACCAAACGGAGAGGCCATCCCCACCTTCATCAATGTTGCCGATGCCTCAATCAAAATGGTATGCCCCATTTCTTTTTTTTTTTTTTTTTTTTTTTTTTTTTTTTTTGGGATTCATCTTGCAGTTCCCATGACTAACGCTTTAAGCAGATCGAGAATCTTCCCACCCGGACCCCGGACAGCAGACCGCTGCAGAATGTCTTGAGCATCTCCACCGCAGGGAAGAACCGATACCTGCTACATTTCAATTCTCTAAACGCCCTTACCCAATGGACAGCAGCCATCCGGCTTACCATGTTTGAGAATACCCTGCTTCAGGAATCGTACACCGGAGCTCTCATCGCCGGGAAAGGAAAGTCACTAAACAACATCAAAGCAATCCTCGAAAGGACAACTTTCAAGTACGAGGACTGGGTTCGAGTACGATTTGGCCCAGGCACTCCATGGCGACGATGTTGGTGCGTCGTGTCTCAGGCCGACGAAAAAGAAACTCAAAAGCACAAGAAGGCTCAGAAAAAGAAGTCCGCATATGACCGCCCACAGCCTCCGCCGAAGGGGAATATCAAATTTTACTCTTCGAAAAAGACTAAAAAGTTGAAGCCAATCGCAACGATAACCGACGCCTTCTCCGCGTTTGCCATCTACCCGCAATCACGTCCGCTGATCAACCAGTCAACGTTGGTCAAGGTTGAAGGCCAGATTACCATCCACACACAGGCGGAAACGACCGCTGAAGGCTTCGTGTTTGTCTTGCCGGAACTACATGCTGCCGTTTCGGGATTCGAGATCATGCTTCGATGGCTCTTCCCGGTCTTCGACGCGTTCCAGCTCTATGGCAGACCTACCCGTCTGCTAGCTGACACCGTTAGCACGCGAAGCTTGATGTTTGCAATGCCGACGAATAAACGGAACGGATACCTGGACACTCTGGACGTGGCCGCACTCATCCATACAGACGGCAGCCGCCACTGGAGCGAGCGAGAATGGAGACAGCAGATGAAGGAAGCCACATCTCGACGGATGACTTCGGGCAATAGTAGTCGTGTCAGCAGCATCTCAGGCAGACGCGGGCCCAACAGGTCCAGTCTTCAATCGCAGAACGGATCATCCCTGAGATTTGAGGGCACCAATGGGCAGCCGGTCGCGCGGCGTCTGCAGAACAATCATTCCAGCGATGCGCTGCCTTTGACTCAGAGGCACAATAACCAGGGGTCCACAGGGGCTCAGTATCACTCCAAAACCCATACTCGGGCAGCGTCAGACAACACGAACAATATGTATCGCAATGGTCCCATGCACAACTCACAGCACCCCTATTTTGATTCTACTTTGCCGGAAGAAGAATCTCACGAAGGACAACTCCAGCCACCAAACCATGGGCCTCTTCAAGTTGACGGAGCTGCCGATGGATACCTATCGGGAGACCGAAGCAGCTCTGACAGCGAAATCAAGGTTGACCATCCTAACCACCAGGAAATTAGCTACGACCTCAAGCCAAGCCCTCTCCCGGTGGATCTGACAAACCCGCCTGTGTTCTCGCACAATATACATGATAAACCCCACATCCAGCCGAAGATGTCCCCCGAGTTGAAGCAAGCTGGAAGTCGCATCTCGCATGGAACGCTCTCTCAGATGGTCGCTATGAATCAGCTACAGAATATCGAGACACCGACTACGACGGGATGGGATGAAAAAGGACAGAGCATATCGATTGAGCCACCTGGTATAGCCCAAGGCCATGGAGCCTCTAGCCCCGAGAGGACGATGTATAACGGTAATGCCCAGTTCCCAAGACCAGTCGCAGCTGATGCTTCAAGCTCGCACTATTCATCACCAACAAGCCCTATACATTCGGCTCGGGATGGAATCCCGCTGAATTATCCTGATGATCCAGTGAATGCTAATTTCTCACCTAATACTCCTCGACAGTCTCCGCAGATGCACCTTCAGATCGATACGAATCGAGTGGCCAATCGAAAACCGGTTCCTACCAGGCAAGATGGCTCCGAAAGCCCCAGCACAAAGACAATTTCCAGCCTGGGAAGCCTTCGCAAAGCCATCGATATGGATGCTTTAAATCTGCTTATGACCCGCGAGAGGACCCCATCTCCGCCGCCTCCGCCCCAAAGGAGGTTCATGCCAGATGTTGAGAGCACGTATGATCAAGGTTCAACAACCACTCCAGACTACGCCAGCTCACACAAATCATCGGTATCCGGTCGGTCAGCAAAATCAGTGGCGAGACCGAGAATGGGTAGGAAGCGGGTCGTTGGAACGCCGGAGCCCACTCTAGATGATGTGATTATTGGCGATACTCGCTACGTTGCAGGATCTAATATTCCCGAGCCGAATCCAAATATACCACTGGTTGATTTTGGCCCAACTCACACCTACAGTCCCGGAACTGGAAGACCAAGCACAGGGGGCACGTTGGCGCTGTTAAGCACCGACAAGAATTCATCGGAGCCAAATTTGGGGAAGAGCGACAAGCGCTCGACCTGGTTCGGCATGGAGAATAAGCCGGCTAAATCGCCTGGACATGAAGAGAGAAGGCGCAGTTTTCTCTGGCAACCTGGCATGGTGGACAGTAGTCAGCACAGCCCCGGCGCCGGATTGACACCTGAACAGTTCGTGGAACAACGTGCATCTAGCGGAAGCAGAGGTGCTTCTCCAGTCTATAACCACTACCACCACCGTGATTCGTCGCGCCATTTGTCGTCTCGTCCCGTTTCAGGCGATTGGGCAAATCAATCCAAACAGCAACCGATGAACCAAGTGAACCATCAGCCACCGAGACCGAGTTCTCGAGGCTCAACCATCATGTTGAATCAACCAGACTTATCCCCTCATCTTTCGGCTCGAGAACAAGAACATGTTGCTCGCGTCACCGGCTCTTCGTTTTTCAATATGGATAAAGAGGCTAGCAAACGAGCGTCGATGCTTGAGTTTGGCTCGGGGCTTGTGAGTGCGATAGACGCCCGCGAGCGCGAGAAGCAAGCGATGAAGGAAGGCTATGGTGGACAGATGGTGCAGCAAGCTATCATGCAACGACAGTATCAGGGGCAGTTCCAGCCAAACCCACAGCCAATGCAACATCCACAGCTGCAATTTCAACCGCAACCGCAGCCAATGCTACACTCTTCCGCATCGCAGTATCAGCTGCCGGTGAATCAATATCCCATGGGATCCCATGCCGCAAGTGTCTACAACTTGCCCACCCGTTCTAATGCACCCTCGCGATATCATCGATTTTCAAAATCCCAGGACCGTCTACAGTTTATGTAAAACTATAACACTGACCTTTGCAGGCTGGGCTCCTCCATCAGCATCCAAATAATCCCAAATCTCGCTGGCAGGAGTTTATGGAGTGGATTGTTGTTCAACTTTGAGAATAAAGGGGGGCGGAAATTCGAGCATGTTAGAGTTATTTGATCTTTTTCTCGGTTTTTTGGTCTTCATTTCCAGGGTGTTTTCATTTTGCATTTTGTTTTCATTGTTACCCCATCACCAGCTCTTTCCATACTCCCGTACATTCATTGTTTGCTATCTCTCTCTCTCTCTCTCTCTCTCTCTCCATTCACACTTTCATTGTCGTGCATTTCAGGGACTGGGAAACACATACTAAATACATCGCTTCTTTGAAGGGTTTTGTTTCCTTTTTTCCCCCTTTTCTGCATCCAGAAAAATTATTCCAAACACAAATACCAAGCGAGGTCTGCATCTCTCTTTTGTTTTTTTTTTTGTTCTGTGCACATGCTTGTCTTTGTTGTACTCTGTCTCATTGCCCAAACTATCTTTTCTTATACTGTTTAGAGTATCACCATCTTGTTATTTGCTGGTCTCCATTAGGTTTTAACTACGTAGCTGCATAAATAGAGATGAGAGGACTGCAATATTAAGACCTAGGTCTTTTCTAGGTCTTTTCTCTTCCCCCCTTTTTTTTTAAAAAAAAAAAGGATTTGGAGAAGTTCCATTTGACTCGATCCAGCAACAGAAAAAAAATCCTTTTAAGATTTTTGTGTTAAGGATTTAAAAAAAAATAAAAACAAAAGCTTGTGTGAGCGATATTGAAGTAATACATTGAACTGGAATATATATATCAAATATCCGTACATGACGCCCCTTTTTTCCCCCTCTGAGAAGAAGCATGGGAAAAAAAAAAAAAAAAAAAAAAAAAAAAAAGGAAAAACGCCGAACCGGGGGTAGAAACAATCGTCACTACTTGCATCAAACAAACTCGTAAAATTTGATCAGCAAAGGAGGAAACGTGCTCTAGTGAGAATCACAAAAAGAGAAATACACATTCAAGAGTAACCACGATGCAGTTAGCTCCAAAAGGCCGACTGGGAGTCCTCCGAGGGGGGAGAGAAATAGGTGGAGAGTGGAAAGCCATTCTTATCATCAATGACCAAAATTGAACTCCTCCTCAGCTCTTATGCAACTTCTTCACCCGCACCGATCCCTCGTATAGAGCTCTATCAACAGCAGCGGCAACCGTCAAGGTGCCGCCAATAACTGCACACACGCCCGTTAGAAATCCAGAGAGGCTCTTCGTTCTCGCCTCACGGTTGATGACCTTCATGGGGGAGATGTCGTAGTTGAAAAACACGCCGGGAATCCCTCCCGCCGTGTGCACGCGCTCCTTGTGGCCTTCTGCGGAGTCGTCTCCACCTTCTATCGAGCGCTTATGGGAGGTCACGGAGTACTGGTGCGTTTCGATACTGCCGTATTGCCCGAGCTGGATGCCTTGCTTGCCAAGTGGGGCGTCGGACGAGAGGCGCGAATGCACCTCGGAGGAGAGAGAAGCGTCCCAGCCCAGAGGGAGGTAGGACGTCGAGACCACCTTGACAAAATACATGAAGTTGAATTTCGGATCTTCGGTGGTTTGAGAGGTGGAGTCTAGCGGATTGGTGTGGTGGTGGTCGGTCCATTTCCACTTCTGAGACAGCTCGTCGGGGAGCTGCGGACCGAAGCGAAGCTGGTGGATGATGTGGGACATCGTGTGCTTCACGGGGGTCTCGTAGTAGGTTTTTAGATCATGGGCGTGCATGTAGCCGTTTGTGAAGCTGCGGCCGGGGGCGACGTGGAAATTCCCGACGACCTTGTTGACCCGAAGGATGCCCTCGAGCCGACAGCCTTCGTTCCTCTGGGAGTCGATCTTCGAGCCGTAGCCCTCCTGTTCGCACTGTTCGACACCTTCTCCTCTCCCAAAAGCCCAGTTGCGCAAGGCGTAAGCTTCTCGGACCTCGTCGCAGGTGTTGCAGCATCCAGGCTTCTTTGCATTTGGCGGAGGGATGCCGTCATAGCAGGAGCCGCAGTATGCTGGATCCAGGTGCAATGGAGCTTGGTCTCTTTTGTCGCTGTTTAGATTTCATATAAATCAATAAAAAAGGATGTTTCAACAGGAATGGGTGTGATTCCTCACAGGTCTAGTGTCTCCACATCAAGTGCATGGCCACCCTCGGACGCGGCGCTCAGACGGACCTTGTTGACTCCGTGAATGACGCCGCTTTGTTGCTCGCCGGAGACATCCATAACATCTAGTGTAAGAAGCTGACAAGGTAGATGAGGAAAGGTTATGTTGAGGTGAATTTCCATCCGTTCCCCTGGACAATGTTTAGCGGCTGGATGGATACAATAAATAGAGGGTTCAATTCAATCAATCGCATACCTCTCCCCTTGTCTACAATCAGCTCTGGAAGCACTACAACCCTTCTGTAATCCTTCCATTCTCCCCATACTAAAAGAATGACCACGATCAATGAGACGATGGTGACGACGCCTCCTGACCTTGTCCGGATTCGCGCATCTTCCACGGTTTTGGCAAATGCATCCAACCGTGTGAAGCGGGATTTGACCGGCATCTTCGTCAGGTTTTATAATATCAACGTTTTCTTAACTTGTAAAGGAGCGGATAGGCTGCCACCTTGGAATGGGTATCAGATCTTCGCTGCCTGGTGGAACGGGCCGAGCGCGAAAGCAACTACCCTGAAGCAGCTTCACCTGAGACGTCTCATACCATTGGGCATTGTTCGGTTTGGCCAATTGAGTAGTACGACGGCAGACCCCAGCTACAGGCCAGGGCTGAGCTCCAATTGCACAAGGCTGGGAAAGTGAGCGATGGGTTTCGAAGAGGGCAGAATGGGCGCTGTCACAGTGTCTTTCTCCCGTTTGCGGAGAGGACACCTTTGACTCGCAGTAGCTGCTTCTGATTGGCTGCAGATAAGATCGCGGCGCAGATCCGGAATAATCACGTGATGGCGCTTAACTAACCAATAAGAACGGCTAGTTAGTTATATCAGACGCCGGAGCATTAGTCATGAGGCTGGCTTTTGGCGGTCGTGCAGCTGCCTGCAAGTTTGGTCGCCTGGCAAATCCGGCGTTTGATCTCACTCCAAGTCCGCCGTCCGCCCTCAAAAGGCATATAAACATCGCCATTCGCAAGCCCAATACCGGGGCAGCAGACCGGTTTTCCCACATTTATCGATTATTTTCTGTGTTGCAGCGTGATATTACCTTTATGCATTCAACAACACACCGTTTTCGCAGCTTGAATACCGGGACCTGACTTGGCCTACATCCTCGACCGCAGGCCCTTCCTCCCCCACCCCGCACCGCCGATTATACCGTGATTTCAGGCATGCTACAAATTCCTTCCGCCAGGATGAATAGTTCCCGCCCTTCGAGAGGCTCTCGAAGCCGCACTGGCACCCCGGACCGAGGTGGCATTCGCAAACGAGGAGCCGCCCAACGAGTGGATAGAGATGGAGATCTAGACATGGGCGTCGGAGGGGCCGGAAGAGGACGTGGTATAGGAAGAGCTCATACCCGAGGCGATCTATCTCGTCGAGCAACCCCGGCATCGAGACACGGAGGAGACAAAGAGAAGACGTTAGACGCCCTGCAAAAAGCCATTTTTGGGGCCTCGTCTCAGGCAAACATCAGGCGTGGGAGAACAAGTGGTATGGAAGTGGATCGAGGCCTGTCCCAGCTTAAAGTTCGTGGATGGAAAGCAAGCAGAGCCGCTTCGAATCCCGATGGCGGTGTCGAGAGCCTTATCGCCTTTCTCGAAAAGAAAGCCACGCCCCCAGACCCAAACTCTGGCGTCCGGTTAAAAATAATAAAGGTATGTGCAAGCACTACGTTTTCGCGGTCACCGGCGTGTTTCGCAGCATCGTTTTTCGGGGATGTTTTCGTCACCTGGCCAACTTTCTTTACCGACGATTGAAACCTCCGTTCATTCAGGCCTCTTGCCCGCCATACCCCGTTGGGTGACCTGCAACATCAAGGTTTTATGCCTTGCTAACGTTAACTAGTCGCGAGTTGAAGGAGACGCCCTGGTCGTCTCAGTGCGTCCTGAACAGGTGGATTGGGTGTTACGCATCAGTGGATTTTCATTCGCCGGAGCGCCGCTTACAGTTGAGAGACACGACAAATCAGGGTTTGGAGGACCTGTTGGCGGTCCTTCTCCCGGTGCAGCTGATACGAAGGCCAAAATGACAGCCTTCTTGGCGAAAAGATACTTCGAACCGAAAAAACTGCTTGACCTGTCGAAACTAGGCACAGACCCAGATCTTATTGAGATGGGCATGTTCAACACTACTTCCACTGAATCGAAATTCTTCCCGGCATTGATGAAAATATGCGAGCTCACCTTCGACAGCAGTGAGAAAAGGAGAACTGCGGTCGAAAGCGTGAGCCTAGCCGAGAACCAACTGTCAAATGTCGCCCCGGTGACATCTCTGGCACAAACTTTTCCAGATTTGAAAAATTTAGATTTGTCGAATAATCGACTCCGAAGTACAGAAAATATGAGCAGCTGGAGATGGAAATTCCGCAAGCTTGAATTTCTCGATTTGACGGGGAATGAAGCTACCGCACAACCCGGCTTCAAAGAAACGATGCTAAAATGGTATCCGAAACTCCAAACTCTGAACAACACTCCCGTCAGAACGCCGGAGGAGATTGCAGCCCAGAAAAAGACACCGATCCCTGTTAAGGGGCCTGTTTTCCACGACGAATCCTCCATTGCAGAAAACTTTCTTAAGGCCTTTTTCTTCAATTTCGATAATAATAAAGACGAAGTTCTAAACGGAATGTACGACGAGAGATCGATATTTTCACTTAATGTGAATGTCCTTGCACCACGTGCGCTGCAAAACGAGACGCCCGCCGGCTGGGACGGATATATCAAAAAAAGCAGAAATCTTCAAAGAATCAATCACCTTTCCGCGCGAATGTCGCGGGCTTATGTGGGTGTTGAAAACATTCGCAATGCATGGAATTCATTACCACGAACGAATCATCCTGGAATTTTAACGAACCCGAAAGATTGGCTTATCGAATGCAACCCCATTCCAGGACTTCTAGACATCACAGGCCAGAGCAAGACAGGCGTTGGTGGCCTTCTCATCACTGTCCACGGGAAATTTGATGAACTGGATATGAAAACTGGGAGCAAAATACAAACGCGAAGTTTCGATCGCACCTTTGTTCTCGGCCCAGGCCGCGGACCGGGAGGAGTAAGAGTCAGTAATGATATGTTGTGCTTAAGGGCTTTTGGCGACTGCCAGGCATGGATTCCCGAAGATCAGCACAATATTCCTGCAACAGTACGTGCACAAACAATGGTGCAGCCCGCAGCCCAACCCTTGCCTGCAGTCCAACCCATACCCGCAGTCCAACCAGTACCCTCCGCCCAAGGGGCCCATCCGCAAGCTAAACCTGGATATGGGGTGCCGGCACCCGGGAAAACGGACGAACAGGTGAAAAAGGAACAACTGGTACTTGAGATAAGCTTTAAGACAAGAATGACACTGGAATTCTCCGAAATGGCCCTTAGTGGCAATAATTGGAATATGGAAGCGGCGTTGAAAAATTTTGAAGAGCTAAAGGTAAGAACATTCCCGAATGCTATCAGAGTATATCTATGGATCTGCGCTAACCCAGCATTGAATTAGGCGCAAGGGAAACTCCCAGCAAATGCATTTCTACCGGGGGTGTAGTTTATGATGTGTGTTTAATTGTTGATAATCGCTGTACATACAGTCTAGAGATTGACTGTGCACAGCCCATATTCTTGATATTGTTGATTGAATAGAGATGTGGATGCCATATTAGTAGTGGCAATTGAATCAAGTTACGCCTGGGATGCTCCCTACGTTGTAAATAGCCAAGAATCTATGCACTCGTGCCCATCTACGTATAGTTAATCAGAATAAGATCTCCAACTCTTATTTTCTAAATATCGAAGTTAACTTCACCTATCCAGATGTCTATATATCAGGCTGTGATAGAGACCGAAGCCTTGTCACTTGACATCTTTGCTTTCAGCAGGTTCCCGTATTGTAGAGGCATGTTGAATGAAGTTTGAAAAGTGATGTTTGTTGATATATATCTTCCACCGTTTCAAATTCTCTACCGTTTCATGTTCTCTTAGTGCTTGTCATTCCCCTGCTCTGGTACTTACTCCGATGCATGGTTCTATCGTTTCCACTGGCTCCATTGTTCTTTTTAGTAGCTTCTACTCCGTACTCCGTAGTTCATCCACTGCCTCTTCCCTCACCATCCTCCTCAGCCAAAGTACTCCCTTTCACTCGGCTCCCTCGGGTCGCCTGCAAACATGAAGATAGCTCCATGGGCCGTCGCTGGTTCCTTTCTGCCTGTATACTACGTAACATAGCAGGGTTTTTACAACATAATTCCTCGTCTCATACGCTGGCATCTCCGGGTCTACAGCGTTTTCGACAATGCTTTCCGGCGGTCTATCAGGCGGGATACTTACAACCCCCCCCCCCCCCCCGCCGGACCGGCGGGGCCTGAGAGCTTGCATGAGTATCCAAAAGTTTGCCCAGGTCTAAGAAACCTTGAGAGCTCAGTGGAGGGAGTGGTGGCGGAGGAAGTTCTGAGGAGTCTACAAGGCATAGGGTGGTCCTGTGAATTAAATGCAAAGAGTAAGGAACCCAAATCAGAAAATTCACTGATTTTTACACTATTCCCATGCTTCTGACAATTTGTTGGGATGAATAGAGAAAACCTAGGGCTGTTCCTTAAGAAATATGTACGGAGTAGAAAGTTAACTTCCTAATCACCGCTCTGGAGTTATGACCTGTTAACTACCAGAACCTCCCCAATACTTACATGCTCCGTACTCCGTACTTCAGATAGCATCAGCATCAATAATCAGAAGCTACTAAGTTGTCTTTACTACTGATAATGAAAAATACTTTACTTTGAACCTCGTGATTCTTGTTAACCGTAATAACTTCACTGTTGGAAACAAACGCACCACAGGATGCAAGGCGTGTATTTAACGACCTCCGGTACTTAAGCTTCCCCGAATGTCAACAAGAACACTTATGCCGACAAACAATGCCCAGGTGGACGATCCGCTGGATGGAGGCAAGCTGCATTGATTCTTCGAGTGGCATAATTTGCTCTTTAGCTGACCTAGATTAGCCGACTACAATCCTATCGACCATCTGAACGCGATATTCTCCCATCCCTCTACCCTCGCCTCCGTTTCAAATACATCTCAAGTGCTCCTGGACTACCAAGATGAACTCGATCAAGATATCGCAAAGCTCACGGAGGCGCAGGTCGCCTCCAATAGAGAAAGCGTTGAACGCGTCCAAACCGCCAAAGCAGACATGGCGGAACTCTTCCAGAAGATCGACGACGTGCGCGAACGGGCGTTGAAGACTGAGCAGGCAATCACGGAAATGACGGCAGATATCAAACAACTGGATAATGCGAAGAAGAATCTGACGTTGTCTATGACGACGTTGAAAAGGTTGCAGATGTTAACGACCGCGTATGAGCAGCTGAAGGCGTTAAGCAAGTCGAGGCAGTACAGGGATTGTGCACAGTTGTTGCAGGCAGTCATTCAGTTAATGTCGCATTTCAAGTCATATCGATCTATCGACCAGATTGCTACTTTGAGTCGGAATGTGGCGGATATACAAAGGGAGTTGTTGGAGCAGGTCTGTGAAGACTTTGAGATGATATTCGCAAAGGGCGAACTTCATCAAAAGAAGAACGTCTTATTCGAAGGATGCCTGGTTATGGAAGCACTAGGGGATGTGGCAAGATCGAGACTCGTCACTTGGTATTGCAACACCCAGTTAAGGGAGTATAGACAGGTGTTTAGAGGTAACGAGGAAGCGGGCTCGCTCGATAACATATCAAGGAGGTATTCGTGGTTTAGAAGGATGCTGAAGACGTACGATGAGGAACATGCAACAATCTTTCCGACGTCTTGGAAAGTTGGTGAGATTCTAGCCAACACCTTTTGCGAAGGGACTCGGGAAGACTTCAAGGGAATCTTGTCCCGTTCTGTTCAGAGTGGGCAAACCCTTGATGTGAACTTGCTACTTTCCTGCCTACAGGAAACACTCGAGTTTGAGCAGTCACTCGACAAACATTTTACAACGGCTTCTCGAGCTTCAATCGATACGTTTACTTCAAGTGAATTGCCTGCGTTCTCCCACTCGATATCGGAAGCTTTCACGCCTTACCTCGGCGTATGGGTTGAGGCCCAGGATAAGCAGCTAGCTACGCTTATAATGAAGTATCGACAACAACCAGTTAAGCCAAAGGACGAGGAATTCACTCCACAGCTTGTCATTCAATCTTCCACCGACCTCTTTACGTTTTATCGCCATTCTCTCGCACAATGTGCCAAACTATCGACAGGAAATAGCCTGGCAGAGTTATCAAAAGTTTTCTCGAAATACCTCGATCAATATGCGCAGCAAGTTCTGCTATTTCACATCAGTGAGAAAGCCAGTGGGCAAACTCCATCCAAAACACCGTCCCTGGAGGAGCTCATCATGGTTCTAAACACAGGAGACTACTGTTACTCGACCTGCAATCAATTGGAGGAAAAGATCAAAGGCCGAGTTGACGAGACTTTCAAACAGACTATTGACTTACAAAGCCAGGCGGACTCCTTCATGGGTATCGCCAGCGCTGTTGTTCGCATACTCGTTCGCAAAGTGGAATTAGAGCTGGAGCCGGCCTGGAGGGAAATGCGAAATATAGCTTGGAGCAAGCTTGACGCCGTGGGCGATCAAAGCTCCTACGTTGAGGTGCTGTTAACGAGATGCAAAGGAAAAGCAGAAGAAATCCTTTCGATGCTCCATAAACAACAGTATGCACGAACCTTCGCAGATCATCTCGTTGAGAACGTTTCAAACAGCTTTGTTTCCAATATTTATCAGTGTAGACCGATTTCTGAGACCGGTGCTGAACAGGTCCGCCCACCTTTCCACAGATATTATCTTTTTCAAATGCTAATGATGTTTTAGATGCTCCTTGATAGCTATTCAGTAAAGAACGGTCTATCTAATCTTCTCGATCCTGCTCCTGCTGGCTTCTCCAAACGCCTCAACGCTACATTCCAGAAAGTAGATACGCTCCTGAAAACGCTCCAAGTCCGAACTGCCCCGGCGGAAGCCCTCGTACAAGCTTATCTCATTCATGTCGCCGACAAGAACGACAATAATTTCCGCAAGATCCTCGATATCAAAGGAATACGCAGCAAGGTAGAACAGAATCGATTACTCGAGCTATTCCAGATCCACAAGGCTTCCGATCGCCACGCGGCGAATTTACAGGCGAGTAACCCGCTCATTGCGCAGCTGCAGCCACAGACTTCCATTGTGGCCTCCCAGTCTGGAAATGTCACTCAGGGATTGGGGCTGAGTGGCCTTGGAGCTTCTCAAGGCCCGTCTTTGGCGAGTAGTACCCTTCAGACGAGATTCGATGCGTCAACATTTGGGTCAGCGCTTATATCTGCCGCCCGAGACGGAGTTGATAGGCTAGGTACACCAGGTTTGGGGACCTTGGGTGTTAATCCTGCCTCTGGGGGAGCTGTGAATAGCACGGGAACTCCACCCCCTGGGGAGGCAGTGACCGCTGGTGGTGAGGCGGGTGAAGGCGGTCTCGCTGCCGCTGGACTCCACGCGGCTAATTTAAATGAGAATTTGAAGAACATCGGCAAGTTCTTCCGGAGAGATTTGGGAGGGTTAGGAGGACGATTTGGAAGAGGGGATGATGGTCTGCGATGAATTAGGGATAGTGATGATGAATATACTGAATCATTTTACTGAGCAACTGTAGCCTATATTACTATGACCTGTCAATAGAAAATCATTGGAAATGTTCTGCAAGCAACGTGTTCATATCTATTTGATAGAAAATGATATGCCACTTGGCAGCTGGACTTACTACGCAACCTACAACAGTGCAACGTGTTGACCTACAATAACTATTTGAAATTAGCCTATATTTCAAGAAACGAACAAAATGGATAAAGCACGGGATATCGAAGAGGCGTCATTAAAAAATTAGAGTGTTGTTGCGTTTTGGTTGATCTTCAGGGCAGAGCTCAAGAGCTCTCAGTGTTAAAAAACCTAATCCTTCGCCAAAATAGAGGTGATGGTGAATTGTGGAGATAAGAAAAGTATTGGCTTACATGTTTAGCGAAAGCTGTGCGCTATCCGGTTAAATGGCAGCACTTGAAAATTGAGAATGATGTTTGAAGCGGTAGAATCATTATTTTTCCGCTACGAGATATCACATAGCGTATGCTATTTTTCAGGCATCCCGCAACACAGAGCCCCAATTTATATTTAATCGAAGAGACCACCGAATCCTGCAATAATGGTTAGCAAATCCTGTAGTCTTTACGATGGCTTGGGCTGGGGTTCATACCTCCATCCTCTTCACTCTCTTCCTCTTCTTCTTCTTCCTTGGCAGCTGCCTTCTCCTCACCCTTGGTCTCAGCCGGGCCAGTTGGGGCAGCAACGGCATAGGCATCGGGGTTGGCAATGCGATCTTTGAGTTCCTCAATCTCGCTCCAGCTGTAATCAGTCTCAACAGCAATAGCCAAAGCCTTCTTGTAACCGTTGACAAGAGAGTGCATAACGGATGGCAAGGTGGGGAAGTTAACAGCCAAAGAGATGGTGGTGATGGTTTTAATGGCAGATTGGAGAGAAGCAATGAGCTGCTCCTCCTCAATATCCAAGACAGCAGGGCTGAAGGTCTGGCCGTCGTCGTAAATCTGAGCAACAGTCATACCGTACGTGAACGGAGAGATGTTCAACATGTTGAGAAGGGTTGCCTCGGAAGGACCGACTTTGCCGCCAACCTCAACGAGCTTAAGATCGGTCGTGATTTCAATGGTACCACGAGCAATCTTGGTGGGGACACCCAAAGCCTGGAAGAAGGAAGTCTTACCGGGTTCCATACCGGTGTTACCAGCAGGAACCCAGACATCGGCGGGAGCGATAGCACCGGCACGAGCTGGAGCAGCAACTCTGTTGGCCAAGATCTTGGTGCGGACCTCCTTCAGGTCAGCGTTTGTGAAGATAAAGCCGACATTGCCTAAACGCAAGTGTTATTATATTGTCACGCCAAACGGTTCCCGATGAAGCACTGACCCTTGACATGAGGCAACAATCGCTCATATTCTGGGTTATCGACGATAAATCCCTTAAGAGCACGGCGAACCTGCGATTTCGGTTAATATTCGGTTCAAACGCCCGCCAATTGCGCTAATTGAGGCCTACCATAGTGTTCTTTCCCATGAGCACAACGGCCTCGCCGCGAAGGCTCAGACGGATTTCGTGCATCTGCTGGGAGCTGACATTGTCAACACTGACAATGAACACCGACTTGTATTCATCGAGAAGGTTCTTCAGCTTCTCGAAATAAGCTGTCTTAGTAGCTGATCTGCCCCCCATGTCTCCTTGATTGTGAAGATAGGATATTTAAGGGCAGCGAAAACTGATCCGGGGAATGTGAGTTGAAGGAGTTTTGTTGGTGGTTGGTTGGAGAAGATGAAATTCAATGATTTTCTGCCAAAATTGGTTTGTTCCTTGTGGCTTGGCTCACCTCGCCTAGGAGTGTTAGTCAGCGAGTTAGGGCCGGGTGCTTCGAGTCACGTGCCATTGACCTCATCGCGAAATTTATGCGACGAGAGCATATCGTCGTCAACCTGGCGTGACGGCGGGTGTAGAAGCCGGCATTGTCCCACTAGTAGGAAGCACGACAGGTGGCTCTACCTGTATTTGGCTGAAGCATGAGTCTGCGATATCCAATCTCGCGCATCCGCCACTTCAGATGTCAGCTACGGGAGCTTCTTGCGGCGGTAGCGGGGCCATCGATACGGATATTTGACGCCGGGACTGGGTCCCTGCTGTCGAGCTGGCCCCCTGCTTCTTATATGCGGCCACTGGACTCCGAGATATCACCCGATCGAGCTTCCAGTGCTGGTACCTGTGCAGAACCACCTGAGAAAAGGAGGAAATTAACCCCTCCTGTCGACGAAAGCGGGGAAGCCCAAACCGAGCAGAGCGCGAAGGCTAAAGCTAGAAAATCTCAGACTGCGGAGCAAGCATGGTCAACAATTCCCATTCTTGTCATATCAGGGACTGGAGACCATATTGTTGCCGTGACAGGAGAGGACAAGTGTCTACGGGTTTTTGAAGTCAAGCAGGATGGAAAGCTCACCCAATTGACAGAGCGGTAAGAATCGCTAATTCCGGGCAGCAATGAAACAAACGTAAAGCCCTGCTTGCTAATTTTGCGAATCAGATGCATACCAAAGCGGCCCTGTGCAATTTCATTGACCCCGGACAATAATACAATCCTGTGCGGAGATAAATTCGGCGATGTTTACTCTCTACCTTTGCTCCCCAGAGACGAAGTTGTTTTGCCATTGAGAAAAGCGGCAGAATCTTCGAAACCTTTCCAGCCATCTGCCACCAAGCTTACCGTCCACACACAAAGAAACTTGAAGGCCCTTGAGCAACAGCTCCGCACTCCCCGTGCCGCCCAGGAAAAGTTGGAGCCTTCGTTTCAGCACAGGCTTTTACTCGGCCATGTGTCCATGCTCACTGATCTCATTCTCGCACCCGTACCATCCGACTCTTCCACCAGCCCTCGTTTGTATATCATCACCTCGGACCGTGATGAGCACATTCGTGTCTCCCGAGGACCTTCCCAGGCTCATATTATACACGGTTATTGCCTAGGGCATACATCTTTTGTGAGCAAGCTCTGCATTCCGCCCTGGGACCCTAGGTCCCTGATATCTGGTGGCGGCGATAATTGTATTATCTGTTGGGATTGGCTGGCTGGGCGTGTCGCACAGACCATTCCATTGGTGCACGATGGTGACGTTGCGGAAAGCACAAAGGCTCAACCGCCCCAATCCGATGCACCTGATATAGCAGTCTCAGGTATCTATGCGATACCTTTCTCTGGGAATCCTGGTCTCACCGAGCACGCCAGCGGGGGAATTTTGGTTGCTCTGGAGGGGTAAGCGAATTTCCCACAATAACTACATTCTCATTCCGCTGACAATCTCCACGTTAGTGTTTCGAGGCTATTAGCGTTCAGCTTTGGCACGAATGGTCGCCTTACTGCCCTTGCTCCCATTGAATTATCCGGAAACGCCCTTGATGTTGTAGCTCTCGATGACAGGGGCACCATTCTAGTCTCCGTTGATAACGTCCATAAACCTGGATCGACTAAGGAGCTGAGAGACTCTGCTATCGGCCCCAAACTTCTTCAATGCTTTTCTGCGAGAAGTGACGGAGGTCTAAAATGGGAAGAAAGCTCCACGCAGGCAGCAACCACAATCAATAGCCGTGAAGCCGTAGACATTATTGCTGAGACTGAAAGCCGAAAGCAAGTACAAAAGATTTCCGACTCCCTGTACGGAATAGGGAATTTGAGGAAGTGGGCGCGGGGTGAAGACGGATAATGTGCTGCAGTTATCAATTAGCCAAACAGACATAATCCCACTGTACTCCGTACGTCAGCTGGTTTGTTCATCCCTCCCCGGGGGGGGGGGGGGGAGCTTGTCGTAAACTTTGACTCCTCAATCCAATATAAACGAAAATACAATGCTAGTATCATTGTCCTTACTCTTTTCTCCGTAGTTGACTTGATATTTACTTTCGCGGGTACAAAGTCAATCTTGTCCCAGAACTCTGATCGGGACTTGGTGGGGGTTGCTCAGGAATTTGGGGCCCAGGAACTTTGGCTCAATATATGTAATACTTCCCCCACCAAGCCGGCGAGCTTTAAGATAACAATCCAAATCCCAGCGACCATGTCTAATCAATTCGAACCACTGAAGAACGACTTGCTTCTCAAAGCTGCGAGAGGTATTTGAAGCCACCAGATTAATCTCCAACGTGATATTAACGTCACTGCTGTAGGGGAGAGAGTTCAAAGACCGCCAATATGGATTATGCGACAAGGTAAAGATTCCCCACGCTTCGTTCTCGATTCTTTGAAATTCTACAGGTAGAGAGGCCAAGTCTAATCTGCTTTAGCCGGGAGATACCTCCCCGAATACCACGAAGCGAAAGGTACCCGCGATTTCTTTGAATGCTGTCGCGACCCCGAGGTGGCTTCGACATTGACGCTCCAGCCCATTGAACGATACGAGGGACTCATCGACGCTGCGATCATCTTTTCCGACATTCTTGTTATCCCACAGGCGATGGGTATGACCGTGGAGATGGTGGAAAAAAAAGGCCCGCATTTCCCAGAGCCACTGAAGTCGCCGGATGACGGACAATACGAGAGAGTGATGACAAAAAAGGTAGATGTTAAAGCGGAGCTTGATTATGTCTACAAAGCCATTACCCTCACGCGACAAAAGCTGCGAGGTAGGGTTCCGCTGATTGGGTTTTGTGGGGCTCCATGGACGTTGCTGTGCTATATGGTTGAAGGAGGAGGAAGCAAGATGTTCATTCAGTCAAAGACATGGGTATACAAATATCCCGAGGCATCCAAGGCGCTGCTACAGAAGATTGCTGAAATCTGCGTGGAGTATTTGGCACTGCAGGTGGCTGCGGGAGCGCAATTGGTCCAAGTGTTTGATTCTTGGGCTGGCGAATTGTCGCCTGCTTCGTTCTCAGAGTTCGCTCTGCCATATCTGCGATATATCGCGGCCAACCTGCCTAAGAAGGTAGTAGAACTCGGGTATGAGGCCGTGCCGATGACCGTGTTTGCCAAGGGTGCTTGGTATGCCTTGGATGACTTGTGTCAGTCTGGATACAACGTTGTGGGGCTCGATTGGCTTCATGACCCAGCGCAGGCAACTCGGATTGCAAATGGCAGAGTAACTTTACAGGGCAATGCCGACCCAGGCTGTTTGTACGGTTCCAGAGAGGCTATCACCGCCGTTGTGGAGAATATGGTCAAAGGTTTTGGAGGAGGAAAGCAGAGATGGATAGTGAACTTGGGCCACGGTGAGATTGATCGTCAAAGGCAGGATTCTATGTTACAGCTTTGGCTAATTCGATCTAGGCATCACTCCCTTTGTTAACCCCGAAGATTTGAAGTTCTTTTTCCAAGAAATTCACCGGCTAACTGCCACCTCTTAAATAGCGCTTGCGATGGTATTTAATGAGAGGCCCTTCGCGTTTCTCCTCGGTATTTGATAGAACGGCATCTCCGCTCAAAATCTGCACTTTACACTTCTATGGTTGCATATACTTTAAGGGCAGTTTCAACAAGGGATCACGGGTGTCTTCCTTTTGATGCCAACTCTGTTGATACCCTTCTTCTGACCGATTAAATACAAGTCAAGCGATCAATCATCTTTCCAAGAACGTATTCGGTAAAGGACTATACAGCCATCTGTTGCCCCAGTAAAAGTACACAAATGCAACCCGTTTGGGTACAGCTCTCAGTAATGAAACGGGGAAGTATTATCCGAGCATGATGTTATCCAGGGCCGCCTGGGCTCTTCGAAGGATGATGCTGTAGCCTGAGGCAGCGCGACGATCAGTTTCAAGAGCTTAACCTTAAATGCACCTCGGAGCATTGGATTGTCCGATCCCGATACGCCCCAGCGGAGATAAAAATAGCTTGGCGCTGGTAACTGCGAGTGAATCGCGTCAGCGTTTGGCTAGGACGGCGAGGAATCCCCACCGGAATCAGGGGCAACGCATGAAAAAAATTAAAAACAAAAAAAAAAAAAAAAAGCTCCGTCGCCATCAGTAAGGATGCGCATGCACAGGCTACCTGCAGGCAGCAAGAAATGCATCAAATAAGCTCTTATTGCAGCCTGAATCCTGTCGAAGTTTCTGGCAGCGATGCTGGTGACGGGGGGTTTTTTTTTTGACGAGCATCGAAAACAACAGAAAGCAGTCGAGGCAGATGGAAGCCTTCAGAAGCCCAAGGAAGACTAACGCGCCACGGCCTTCTACAGTGCCTAGCTGCATCCGGGAAGGTTGTATTGTAACTGTATTGTCATATCTTTTCGATATCACCATTTCAATTGACGAATCCAAATAGAGCTGAAGAACCCGCACAGTGAATTAAAAACAACTGCTTCCTGTATAATTTTGCACGTGATGAGCCTTGAATACCAGGAATCAATTCTCTTCACTTTTTTTGTGGTTTGTAAAGAGGATATCCAGGAGTAAAATCATCGCCCTTCTGTCATTGTTGATATGTACTTCACTGGCGCAGCCTTGTAATAATACACAAGTCCGATACCGAAGCAAAACGTCAGACCCTGACCACGGTAGGGAGGCTTTTCCACCACCAACCAGCGACTTTTTTCAGGTCCAGATTTCCAAAGGCATCCATCCCTCCCTGGACTCTTTTTTTTTTTTATCAACACGCCTTTCAAGGGAATCCATCTCTTTCCTCCTCAGAACCTCCATCTCATCACAGGATCGCCTTAGCGTTTCTTCTCTTCTTGAAGCCTTGGTTTTCATTATTCAGAAGACATTCTTTTTGCAATACGGACAAGGACGGTTCGGCAACAGCACTCAAGTTTTCCCCTCAGCCTCCTCCCCTCTCACCTCCTTCTATCTTCTCTAGACTCCTGTGAAAATGGTGAAAGAAACCAAGTACTACGATATTCTAGGGGTAGGTTCTTGTGTATCCTCCTGTGATGATCACCTTGCTGACACCGACGTCTCAGGTTCCTCCCAATGCCACCGAAGCACAGTTGAAAACAGCTTATAAGAAAGGTGCTTTGAAGCACCATCCAGGTATGCTGAAAATTGCTTCATCCTCGAAGCTTTTGAGCCCCAGCTCACTTAACTGTCCCACCAGACAAGAACGCCCATAATCCTGATGCCGCCGAAAAGTTCAAGGATTTATCACATGCTTATGAGGTTCTGTCGGATCCACAGAAACGCCAGCTCTACGATCAATATGGTGAAGAAGGCCTAGAACAAGGCGGCGCGGCCGGCGGAATGAATGCGGAAGACCTATTTGCCCAGTTCTTTGGCGGCGGCGGAGGTTTCGGCGGCATGTTCGGCGGTGGAATGAGAGATACTGGCCCCAAGAAGGCAAGGACCATCCACCACGTGCACAAGGTTTCTTTGGAAGATATCTACCGTGGCAAAGTCTCGAAGTTGGCTCTCCAGAAGTCGATCATTTGTCCAGGATGCGACGGACGCGGAGGAAAAGAGGGTGCTGTCAAGCAGTGCTCTGGATGTAATGGTACCGGTATGAAGATTATGATGCGCCAGATGGGCCCAATGATCCAGCGTTTCCAAAGCGTTTGCCCTGATTGTAACGGAGAGGGAGAGATTATCCGGGAGAAGGATCGTTGCAAGCGCTGCTCGGGCAAGAAGACCGTCATCGAGAGGAAAGTTCTTCATGTCCACGTTGACCGTGGTGTCAAGAACGGCCACAGGATTGATTTCCGTGGGGAGGGTGATCAGATGCCAGGAGTTCTGCCCGGTGATGTAGTGTTTGAAATCGAGCAGAAGCCTCATCCACGATTCCAGCGCAAAGACGATGATTTGTTTTACCAAGCCGACATAGATCTTCTCACCGCATTGGCTGGAGGCTCGATAAACATCGAGCATCTGGACGACCGGTGGTTGGCGGTTAATATTGCTCCCGGAGAACCTATCGTACCCGGTACGTATTCTAAAACGTCATGGTTTTTTTGCGCCTGAGGAGTAAATATCACTAACGTGCTTTGTTTAAAAACAAAAATAGGAGCTGTCAAGGTTATCAAAGGACAAGGAATGCCGTCGTTCCGCCATCACGACTTCGGAAACCTCTACATTCAATTCAACGTGAAATTCCCGAAGGGAGAGGATCTTCGAAACCTTGAATTGCTAGAACAAGTCCTCCCGCCACGTGTGCAGCAGACACAGCCACCCCCAGATTCAATGGTTGAAGACTTCGAATTGGAGGAGGTGGACGAGGGTTCTCGGGCCCGTGCTCACGGAGCTGCCAGCCTTGATGAAGAAGACGAAGATGGCATTCCACCTGGCGCGGAACGGATGCAATGCGCATCGCAATAAAACTCTCGTATAATTCGGAACCTTGCATAGCGTGATGTGTGAAACGGGGGAGAGTTTTTTTCATCTCCCATACTCTTGGATGGAGAAGAGTCGGCTTCGGTGTTGACAATGGATTTTTCCCTTTGTTGTGATTCCATCATGAAAAAAGAGGCATTATCTTTCATCCCTGGAGACTGAAGCATGAAATACGGGTGTTCGGAAGGACATTTTTCTTCCCGGCATCGGATACGAACAACACAAAACGATCATCTGCCTTTTACTACATAATATTCTTTGCCCGCCTGCCTGTCGTCTGTTCGTTCTGTTCCTATTCTTTTTTTTTTTTTATTTATTTTTGGCCGAGCAAAGTCAGTGCTTTCTATTTCGTCGCTGGGCCTCCCTGCTATCCCTGTGTACCCTTCCCCCAGTTTCATTGGCCAGTTTTCTTTTGTCCTCTCGTATTCTCCTCGCCTTCTGATGACTATGAGACCACGATGCGATAATTCACAGACGGAGGAGGGTTTGGGAGCCACGAACGCTTACATACCATAGACGATACCAATTGCAATCATGGTTTGGGAATTCTAGTTCATTCATTTCTCCCTATGATGCCAATGTAGGATTTGGCGTTAATATTAAATCATATTAATAAAATTGCAGATAGCTTTGCCACGGGGCGCTTTTTCCTCCATAAAATGAAACCCCTGGCCAGGTCGTTAATATGAGAGCCATTGCTACCACATCTTTGGAAAATTAATTACCTTGTTTTTCTTTGGTCTTGGATGCCGGCATACCGCTCCTAAGCGTGCGAGCAACGCAGATCGCCAACCTTGCGAGCACAGAGCAGCTGTTCCGCGATCTGTAAAATTGCGATTGTTTCTCGCTGCGTCCGCTTAAGCAATGCCAAACATCGAAGCAGTTCCTTTCTTGATATGGTTGCATTGGTAGCGAGAAGTTGAGGATTTCAGCTTGGCCAACAGCTTTGTGAGACGTCTCGGCGTGCTTTCGACCATTGGCTACGGCCCATTGTTTATCATATTCAGCTGCTGTTGCTCTTTTGTTTAATGTCTGTCTTCCTATTTGGAAGTTGTCCGGTCAGGATTGCCGTATCCCCGGCAGGTTAGAAATTTCCAGACTCGGGATATTATTACTGATGGAGGTCTACAGCTTTTGACGAAGTTGCGCTGCATGTTGGTGTTCACTTTGTCTGACATTGCGGGATTTTCCTATCCCCTGAATCAGTCCTACGTATGAGGCCCGTGAGACATCAATGAGACTGATGTATAACGTGTGTACGTGCGAAAGAGGCGCTTCGGATGGAAAAATCTCCGTCCAGGGAGGGGAGAGGTAAGCAGAATGGAGGGAGACGGAGCAGAGGAAAGGTCTCGTCGGTCAGTTAGCAGCTCCTATCTCGTAACGAGCCAGATCCTTAGCCGTTGTGTATGAGTGGATAATTCAGGTTTGCGCAAGATGGTCAGGACGAGTTTTCAAGGGCTTTCTGTTACTGGAATTTGGGGAGGGACTCTCGGAAAGGAAGACGACCGCCCGAGAAAAGATATTCTTCACGGGTGGGTTTTCCGGCTCTGTCGGCAGCTTCTTTTCGAATTCTCAAGGCCAGATGAGACTGGCCGCATGAGTATTGGACGCCCAGCTCCCCCTACATCTTCAATGATTTGGTGATGCTGTGTAGCGCAACCGGTCCAGGGCGGTGCGATACGCAATTTGAGGGTTGAAACGAAAACATGCACCTTGCGAGCTGAATCTGGGACACTTAACAGATTTTCAAAATCTAGGCGAAAATGAAAGAAAAATAGCCGAGCGAGAACCCCCAGATGCTAAATTTTTTTTACATTTAAGATGCAGACTGCAGGTCTGCTTCGCATATTGCGCTCAGTTTATTTGTATGTCCGCTGTCATTGGGTTATTTTAATGAAAATTACGTTGTACGGAGAACTCCCGTGTCGTCCACGGAACCTTGACAGGTCCGGATGGATTTTCGGCGCGGGTGTCCTACGCCAAGCGGAGATAAGCACCGTCGAAGAGGCTAAGTTCGTGAGCTGAGAGGACGACACTGGACAATGACAAGCACTGATCGTCGCCGCGCCTCGGCAGCAGAAGTAGGCTTCTTTGTTACCCACAAGAGGCAAAAAGTATTCATTTACATAAACTTTTGCGGTTCGTACTCCGTGCTCCGGCGTTAACTAGGTCAGATGCTGACAACTGCTTATGTGTGAATATTTTTTTATACGAAGAGCAATACGATGCTGGATGGAACAAGTAGTGCCGCAGACTCCGGTTGTTACCGATGGCTGACTTGGGACTTCGGAGCACCTATATACCGGCTGATATAGGTTTTGCATAGAATGTTTCTCGAACAAATCGGGAAGCGAATTCAAGAGAGGGAACGAGTGGTCATAATCCGTAGGGCTGTGGGCTTCTTACCAGATGATTGGAAGAGAGAACGTGGGCTATGGAGGCCGTAAGCGGAATCCATCCCCCGCTTTTAGTCGTCGTAGGATGAGCAACTGCGCACGGTGTTTTCTGGGGATGGAGGTCGAATAGGTTACAGCAGCAAAATGCTTGATCTTTGCTCTTCGACGACAGCCGGGCCGAATGGAAATGTCGGGGTTGGACGGTAAATTTTACACAAATGACAGCATATACCTAGAGTTGGATGCTGGATTTGATGGTTACCTAACGAGCTACCTGCCATGCGGCTCCGGCCACACAGAGTTTTCGTTGCCTCAGAGCTGGTCGTTGATGTTGGCCGTAACCATGTGTACATACAGATGAAGCCGGATTGGCTGGGTGACAGGCGTCAGGTATTGAGGTGTGTCGTACTCCGTCCAGATGATCCTCTGCGGTCGAGATTTGACTTTTCAAATGGCCATGCGCCAAGTGTCTTGGGAGAAACACGCAGAAGGGCATGTCAGCTTGCAGTGCAGGTGTGCTTTTCTTCCTTTTTTCGCCTCGTTGGCGATATTGGCATAGTAGTTACAGAGATAGCGGGGCACAGTTTTATCGAATATCTTTTTTTTTAGTCATTTCTGTAGACATTTGCAAGTTTTCGACCCGGGGTCCTGTGCTGCACGCATGCCGGTCGGCACGGATGAAAATCTCGGGAGCGGCGAACAAGAGTCAGCAAGCAAGGATCAAGGAGTTTGGAAAATGTCGGATCTGTCCAGCCAAGACAACTCATTTCAGCGCTGTGACGCTTTGTACACGAGGAACTCCTGGCCGAAGGTTGCGGTGAGGCCGGTATCTGCCTTGAGTCCGTCGAAGAGAATGTGGTAGATTTACATCATTGGAGGACCCGATGGCGACTTTCGAGGTTTCCCTGATTGGCTCGATGCAGCAGTCAAGTCGCTGGCAGCAGTGCGGCGGTCGGCGGCATCTAAGCCTGTTTGGGCATAGGAAGGGCAAGTCTATCTCCTCGGAAAGCTAGTCAAAGCTCAGCCTGCCTCTCTTTGCGTCTGTTTTGTGATTGTGCGGTGGGTTCCTTTTAGCGATTGAACACAGCATCACGATGGTTGTTGATCTCAACACCATTCCAAATTTCGATGGACGGATCGAAGTCGGCATCCCGTTCAGTGGACAACATCGCTCTGACGGCAAGGGTCAGGAAATCACAAAGAGTGACCCATGGGCCAAGTCAAACCGGGAGGCCTTACCCTTGACAATTTGGGTCCCATGATATCATCAAGGGTCGGCCTGACCACCGACGCTCAGCTGCTTGCCATTGGCTTCTGGGGTAGATCTGCAATCAGGGAAAGCCTGCGGCATCCTGGTCCAGGCACGCTGTATGGTTATCAATGGCGAGAGACGCTGGCTCACGGCCAATGGATATGCCTGTTTACCCCAGACGACACCACCCATCCGATCGCACCGAATATCTGTGCGTATGGCTAACTTTCAAAGAACAGGCAATGAAGGATTTCTGACGCCGGTGCCGCATCCCATCCTGCATCGACTTTTTTTTGAAACAGGTGTACGGAGTATTGAACTTTTTTTTTTTTTCTTTTTTTTTCGTCTTCTTCTTTTGATGCTCTTTGCTGGTAGGTAAAACTGTCAAGCTTCACTGTCCGAACCTGTTGAAAAGGCTCAGTCATTTTCCAAACGTTCTTTGTTGTCTCAAACCACAGTGCTGTGCCCGCTCTTCAGGCAACAAGTGTTTCCATCTCTTCTCGTTGCTGCCGTGGCTCTGAAGCTCGCTGTGAGTGTAGCAAAAGTCGCTAAGAACAAGGTACAAGTACGACTTGTCCATGTAGCTCCCCTGCCTGCAGTTGCAATGTACCGTGACAGGATCGACAGGCTGGCGATCGAGACATGCTTGCACGAGGTACCCCGGCCCACGTTTCTCGGCCAGCGTTGGTGATTCACTAGGTTATTAACGTGTCGGTTTCGATTTCCCTGGCACGAATTTAAACTCAGCTATCCTTGGGTTCTTTGACGGGTCCCCTGCCTGGAAGCCTCTGGGGCCCGGTCCCTCCGCGCGTGGGCGATTGCGTGATCTTCAGCAGGTCTCCATAGCTCTCCCAGCAAACCCTGCTATTTCCCAGACCCTTCAACAGGTGGTTATTATTCAGGATCGACGTTTCGTCGGTCGTGTTTTCTTCATCCATCCGTCTCAGAGCTAATTTCTTTTTCGTGTTTCTCTTGGGTTTCGAATGGAATCTTGCTCACAACCTATATATTGATCTTGACTCGCACCGACAACCACTTGACTCTCGCTGTTTGCCCGGCCGTTCCTCTCAAATACCTGCTCGATTCCCTCCCCCTTCGCCTCCTCCGTTTTCTCTTTTTATTTTTCTTATTTTTCCTTCCCCCCCTTCTTTCATCCTTGGCATTTGTGACAGTCTGCGCATGATCACGCCGATGATGGGGACTAGATAAAAACAAATCATCCGCGGAAGACTGAGCTTGGGCCCTTCCTGATTCACCTGGCCTGGGGCTGGGTATTATCTGTTGGTCCCCATTGATCGTATGCTGTGCGAGGAGAGACAACATCTGCATACAATACACCATAGCAAGGTGTCCCGTGTTCCTTGTCCCAGCAATTGATCATTCGGTCGGAAGCCCGGCAGCTGTATATCATCGAGATATAAGATCTCCTTAAAAAAGCTGCGGATTTCTGACAAGCTCTTTTTTGTCTTCGTTCTTCCCGTTATTCCCCCCAATCGCGCTTTGGGAGCCACCATAGCCATGGCTTCCCAGCCTTCTACAAATGCCCAAAAGGTGGGCCACGGGCTAGCAAAGGTCCTCGGTATCAAACTCGAGAAGCCAGATGCCGACCCCGTCACTCGCGGGGAGTCCACATTCTCCACGGGTAGCGGTGACACCTTTGTCGAACATGAGCCTAGCTCTATTGATTGGCTGGCGGAATGCGTCCCCTCCGGTCGACAGGTTCTCATGTTCATTGTCAATATCTTCCCTTTCCTCCGTTGGCTCACCAGATACAACGTCCAATGGTTTCTCGGTGACCTTGTTGCTGGTAGGGCTTCCATCTCTTGTCCCGATCTTAGAATGGCTCACGGACAAAGTCGCTAAAACAAGAATTATCTGACAGGTGTCACGGTCGGAGCTGTTGTCGTTCCGCAGGGCATGGCTTACGCAAAGCTTGCAGAATTGCCTGTCGAATTTGGTCTATATTCTTCGTTTATGGGTGTCTTGGTTTACTGGTTCTTTGCCACTTCTAAGGATATCACTATTGGGGTATGCTCCTTAACCCTCTTTGAGACGCATGTTGCTAACGTGATATCAGCCTGTCGCAGTCGTGTCCACGCTCGTTGGTCATATTATAGTCAGAGTCCGTATGGAACACCCGGAATTCGAACCCCATGTTATCGCGTCTGCATTTGGAGTCATTTGCGGGGCGGTTGTGACCTTCGTTGGCCTCATTCGATGCGGGTGGCTGGTCGATTTCATTCCGTTGACCGCAATCTCCGCCTTCATGACTGGATCTGCGTTAAGCATTTCCTCTGGTCAGGTTCCATCTATGCTGGGAATTACCACCTTCAACACCAGAGATTCGACGTATAAGCTCATCATAAACACTTTGAAACATCTCGGTGACACAAAGATCGACGCTGCCATGGGCCTATCAGCTTTGTTTATTCTCTACGCCGTTCGCTCTGGCTGCACGTATTGTGCTCGAAAATATCCGTCTCGCGCTAAGCTATGGTTCTTTCTCGCGACCCTTCGCACTGTGATTGTTATTCTCTTCTATACTGGAGTTAGCGCGGGTGTTAATATTCACCGACGCGATAACCCGCGGTTTAGAATATTGGGAACCGTTCCTAGAGGTAACTATTGACATCCATAGAGCCTCGATTTAGCGTTTATTGACTTGTGTTTGCAGGATTCCAACATGCTGCAGTACCCGATCTTAACCCAGGATTGCTTTCAGCTTTTTCCGGAGATATCCCCGCCGGTGTAATTGTTCTACTGATCGAGCATATTGCCATCTCCAAATCTTTCGGAAGAATTAATAACTATACGATCGATCCATCCCAGGAGCTCATTGGCATTGGTGTCACAAACCTTCTTGGACCGTTCCTCGGTGGCTATCCCGCAACTGGATCCTTTTCCAGAACTGCAATCCAGTCTAAGGCCGGTGTGCGTACACCATTTGGAGGCGTTATCACAGCTATGGTCGTCCTGCTCGCCATCTATGCCCTTCCACCAGTCTTTTTCTATATCCCGAATTCGTCTCTATCTGCGGTGATTATCCACGCTGTTGGTGATCTGATCACCCCACCCAACACAGTGTATCAGTTCTGGAGGGTTTCTCCTCTTGAGGTCGTGGTTTTCTTTGCCGGTGTTTTCGTCATGGTGTTTACAAACATTGAGAACGGAATCTACACGACGGTCTGCATGTCCCTCGCAATCCTTCTCTTCCGTCTCGTCAAGGCTCAGGGTCAGTTCCTTGGCAGAGTGAAGGTTCATACCGTTGTCGGAGACCATCTGGCAGATAGTGATGGGAAATACAATGGATGGGGCGCTGAGACGGGTCCCAGGAGCTCTGCATTTAGAAATATCTTCCTTCCCATCAGCCATGCGGATGGCTCGAACCCCGAGATTGAAGTGGGGCAGCCATACCCCGGCGTCTTCATTTATCGGTTCTCTGAAGGATTCAACTATCCCAGCGTTAACCACTACCTTGACCACCTTGTCTCTACGATTTACAAGAATACGAGACGAACAAATCCGAATAGCTACAGCCGGCCCGGTGACAGACCATGGAACATGCCCGGCCCTCGCAGAGGCCAGTCTGAGGAGGATCGTTCCCATCTACCAACTCTCAAGGCTGTGATCCTCGATTTCTCCACAGTCAACAACGTTGACGTAACATCGGTTCAGAACCTCATCGATGTCCGCAACCAGCTCGACCTCTACGCATCGCCTCAGCCCGTCCACTGGCACTTCGCACACCTCAACAATCGATGGACGAAGCGAGCCCTCGCTTCCGCTGGATTTGGCTTCCATACTCCCACCGCCAATTCAGGTGCTACGAGATGGAAGCCCATCTTCAGCGTTGCCAACCTGGAAGGCAACGCCTCCGCAGCCGCACACGCCGAGTTCCTGGATAATGAGCGCGAGAACGGCCACGCAGTGTCTTCGAAACATGATATCGAATCACCAGCCACGGATAGCGCCACTTCTACCATTCAACGAGCTGGAGGCGTCATTGGCGCTAAGAATAGCAGCTCTGTGTCTGTGATCGAGAAGGAACTGGTCACGGCCACGGAGTACGCGAAGCACAGGATGACAGTTGTAAATGGGGTGAACAGACCACTCTTCCATGCTGACCTGACGAGCGCTCTGCAAAGCGCTATTGCCAATGCTGCTTCTATGACATAATGATGTCTTGTGCTTTTGTTTTGGTTCTTTTCTTTTTTTCTTGCAGTCATGACGGTCTATAAAAAGACTTAACTAGCGCTGGGTGGGAACCTTTCTTTCCCCTTGTTTCCTTTCTTTTCCTGTCATTATAGATTTAAGTCTTGGTGAGACACCAGGGTGTAAAATGAATTTTTGGGCTCATTGACTCAATGCATCCTCCTGAGTCCTTTTTTGCTGAAGCATTCATCGTTTTCGTTTGGAGCATAAAATGCCATGTTAGAGCTATAAACTTGCTACAATGTACTGTTTAGACATCCGTTCACTGTCGGAAGTGTCGTGTTTGTCTCAACCCTTTATGCTTCTCAGCACATGTAGATAGCGTTTTTAGAAGATGTTTCATTGATCTGCAGCACTATGATTAATGCGAAGTTTCACATTCTTCTTCTGCTGGCGGTGTTGCTCAGGGATGCCTGGTCCTTTCGCTTTGCCTTCCCGGCTCGAACGCCCACGGCTGAACAAGCACCAGCCACACTCCAGCGCTATTCCAAAAATAGATAAGCGTGAGGCTTTGAGTATCTTGGCTCCAAACCTTAATTTTGGACAGGCAGCAGACTAACCCGAAACGGCCATTTTTTCGCACTCGGTGGTCAGCGAGGTCGGCAGAGTTGTGTTTTGCAGGATGGCATGAGAAGAGGGATGAGACGGCGGCAAGGCAGATTCAACGACCTTCGGGCCAACATTCGAGGCGATGTGGCTTTGTTCGACCACCTGGTTGACTGGTGTGAGCTCCACGGGGTGTGGGTCGGCGGACAATCATAGCTTGAATGCTATGCCAACTGGCAAACCGACTATGCCACACCATGAGTTTTATACACCTATCAACGAGTCATATACCACCTAGGTCCGTCTGGTGAGACTTGGGTCTGAGGCGATGATACGATTCTTGAAAAGGAAGACGGAATAGTTATTTGATGCGTGGTGATTAGTTTACGCTGTCTGTCTTCGACGCTCGACTAAAGGATCTCGTGCTTTCATGCATGCTACCCTTCAAGCGCCTCGAGGACAACAAAATCCTTTAACCACCCTGAATATAGAGGAGCAATGGCTCTCAAGGCAAACCCCATCCTATTGGCAACTGGATAGTAGCCGTATAACTGTGTGCAAGTTTTGGGGCCTGGTAAACGGATTGCCGACGTGCCTTTTCTCGGGTGGCTTCATGTACCACTAAGAAGGAACGTGTGGTCCGGAGTTCCAAGCATTGAAAGCAGTGTCCAAGATGGCCTGTCCATGGGCGAAAGCTCTCCCTTCATCATAGTATGCATTCTGACTGATGCAAAATTCTCAAGTGTTACTAAGCGGATTGATGACCACGGATGAAGGAACCCATCATCCCTTACGGGGCCGGCAACAGGCAGAGATGGTGAGCAGACTTGTACTCTCCTTCAACTTACGGAGACGTTTGTCCAGCTGTCTTGTTGATTTTGTAACAGGTCCTTTAGTGATACTGGCACAATGTGCTTTGTAAAAGTTGAGACATAAGGACTTATATTTTAAGAAGGCACAGTGTTGCGGTGGTTAAATCCGGTGTTTGCAATTGAGGATAGGAGCAGGAATATCAAAAAAATGTTGTAGACCGCGATGTCCTGGGAGAATTCGTTTCTGGGGGGTCGATACGATGAATTGCCGTAAGCGGTTAGGCGACATGCTTTGTGGAGTCTTTACAATAACATAGTGAGTGAATATCCCTGGTCCTGATTCTTTCTCCCCATAACTTCATGGCCAAAGGAGTTCACTGTGCGCAATCAAATTTAGGGAGTACTCGACTCAGGATGTTGCACCGTTCTTAATACTCTTCCAGATCAATACTCGTCGATCGTTAATTAACTGGCCACTTTTCCTTTGGAGGTGTACATAGGCAACCCAGGATGGCTCCACAGGGCTGAAAAAAAAAAATCAACGGCGCGACGTGCCGGGACGGTGGCACGTCGAGCATCTTCATTGGCCAGGGTTGATTCGAGATACGAGACGCAAATCGGCCCGAATGCGGGAAAGGCTTAGAGGCTGGTGACGGGGGATCTTGTGGTTTCATAGCCACCACTACGGAGTACTTTCGTCGTGATCTGTCAAAGCGGAACCCATCCCCGTATTCGCAACGCTGACCCAGAATGGTCATTTCATGGAGAAGACCCATTCGCCGTCCGCAGTGGTTTAGCGTCGCAGCGGTGTTGTCTCGGTATATATACTGCAGCTTTTGCTGTCGCGACCGGGACATGAGATGATCACAATCGCAATTTTTCAATGTACAGAGTACGAAATTGGTCCTTTTTGTTATGCCTTCCGAGGATATTCGGATCCGATATCTAGTTGTTTACTTTTTTTACGATACCCTCTCCCTTGCAAGCCTTCGGGCTTGAGATATAACTACGCTCTCAAATGTTTTATGCTTATAAAAAGATAAAGGCGCGAAAAGCTCCAAAACAAAACAGCCAGGAGACATGTTCCCACCAACTGCGCCTTCAGAATTTGCAGGCGGATTCAAGACCATCCGAAGAGGCGATACAGGAGAACGATGCCCTGATGGAAGGATCGGACGGCCCCATTGTGCCCAAGCCGGAAGAAACACACAATAACGACGGTCCCTGCTCCGAGTGCAAAAAAGAGAAACACGTTAAACGGGTTTATAGATGGAAGTTGATATTTGGCCTTTTGCTACCATACTTTCTCGCATCCGTTGACTTGACGATTGTGGCCGCTGCCCTGCCATTTATAGCATCCCATTTCAGTGCGTAATGCCCCGATCTTGCTTCTTCTGGAGCTGACCGCACCGGTCCTTTGCTAACTACTACGATTTATGCATTTTGCAGATAAACTGGACGAACTGAATTGGATTGTCACCTCATTCAGTTTAACCTCGACCGCTTTCATTCCCGCATTTGGCCAGCTTGCAGATGTCTTTGGACGGCACTTTGTCCTTCAACTGGCCATGTTTCTCATGCTAATTGGAAGCGTATTGTGTGCTGCGGCGCAGACATGGCCAATGCTCCTCCTTGGGCGCGCCTTACAGGGGACAAGCTCGGCTGGAATCATGAATTTGATCCAGATAATTTTGTCCGATAAGGTCAGCCTCGCAGATAATGCGAAAAACAGTACTATTTTTCAGTTTGTGGCGGGAATTTCATACGGTGTTGGGCCAGTCATTGGAGGGTGAGTCTAGTTCCAACCCCTTTTTATTGCCCAGAGAGATTTGCTGACTTCTCATAGGTATTTGACACAGGTTTGGATGACTGCGGTAAACTCTATGAGTTCCATGCTAACATATGATGATAGTCTAATTGGAGATATTGTTTCGTGTTAAGTATTCCGGTAAGACGCGCTGCAGCTTGGTTCCTCATAGCAGTTAATTCTAATTTTGTTTCATCCCTAGGTGGCCTTTGTCGCTCATATTGCCATCTTCGTGGTTTTGCGCAAGGAACTGGTAGGCGGCACGTACTTCACCAAAGGGTCACGGCGGTCATCATTCTTAGAAGGCCTTGGTACCGTGGACATCGGTGGTACCTTGTTATTCATTTGCAGTGTCAGTCTTATTATCATCGGTACTTCCTGGGGAGGAGCAACTTACCCCTGGACCTCCCCCGCTGTCCTGGCTCCATTAATTATTGGATCAATTCTCTTCGTACTGTTCTTTATCTATGAATATCTTCTTGGGCCCGGAAGGATTCTTGCAAGATGTTTTCCATCGCAGACAGTGATGATACCCTCCGAGCTATTCCGAAAGCGAGACATGGTGGTCTTAGCCATCATTGAATTTGCTACCGGCGCAGGTTGGTCGATCTTTTTTCTCTTGTTCTGCTCACCACGCTGACCGAAGCTCTATAGCAATGTTCTCTGCCTTTTACTTCGTTGGGATCTACTTTACGCTTGTCGAGGCCTACTCACCCGAGAGATCTGGGCTTCAGCTGCTGTTCTACATTCCTGGGATAGGAGGTAATTCCCTTAAAAGTTTACTCTGTTTTTGTTATGCTTGAGACTTAAATTTTCTATAGCTGGTGTTTACTTTGCCATGTTTGCCTGCAATGTGTGGCCGGCACACACCTTCTATCCGCTCAGTGTGGGTACAGTCACAGAGAGCGTCGGCATCGGGCTTATTACATGGGCTATTACAAGGCGCCAAGTATCACTTGTCAATGGAATGATGGCCGTCGCAGGCGCCGGAACGGGAATGCGCTTCATGCCTTGCACGCTTCACGCGGCAGGTATCTGGCCAGACAAAATCGCACCCGCCATGTCCATCATGCGATTCTCTATGCCCTTCGGCGGGACTCTTGCCCTGGCAATTATGGGCAGTGTGTTCAACAACAAAATGGCCCCGGTCTTTCGCTCCATGAATTCTGGTCTGGATGGGCACGTCGATACACATGTAACTCAGAGTCTGGACTTTATTAGCGATCTCCCGGAACCTATGCAAAGCTATGTGCGCAACACTGGAAAGGATGCAGTGATGTGGGCGTTTATCTCTATCACCCCGATAATGGCTATCAGTCTCGTGGCGATCATCTTCCTTGGGAACGTATGGATAAAATCCAACAAGGCGAAGGAGGCCATGGAGAAGGCGAAGCGAGAGGGAACTCACGACGATGGAATCGTTAGCAGCGAAGTTATTGATAAGCCGTATCTCTTGGCCTTGATCACTGTGAGTCTTTCTAGCTATCATTTTGCCTGTTTTGTTTGGAGAATAAGGACCAAGTCAGCTGATACGAATTTGAATAATAGGGAAGTGTCGAGGAGAATAAGTATGTTAGCACTCCACTATCGAAGGCTGATAAGGAGAGACAGGCTCAAGCGCTACTTGAGGAGAAGGCTTTTCTACGTGCACGGAGGTATGAAAATAAGCCAAGGGATTCTTACATGGAGCAAGAGGGGGTTTAATTTAAGGGTAGCACACAACAAATAATAGATACATCTGTCCAGTTATTATTGTAATCCTATTCTGTAAAGAGGTTTGCTGTGTTGAATTGCAACAGGAATCATGTCACTTGTGGTTTTTTCGGATGGTAATAGCATGCTGGAGCTATTAATTCCAAAATCTGCATGCATTTGAACCTTTTCTAGATTTCCATCTTCATGAAGCTCGCAGCGTATTCACGACCCACAAACCTAGCTGACAAGCCCCATTGTGCATGTAGCTGGTGTACCAACTCCAAGTCGTTCATGCTTGACTTCAGCCTCCTTTTCCAGAGATATGACCAGGCTGGTATTTGGGCAAAATGGCTTCATTAGCTATACAACCAACGCAGGTGAAAAAAAGAAAAGAAGCCTCACACACAAAATAAGCCCAATATATAGTACATACAATGTCCTCATCAGCCCCAGACCACTGTATAGCATCATCTTAACACACCCCCAACCCCCGCCCATCCTAGCACGAATCCGCTCAACGCTTCCCCAGACACGCCGCCACTGAGCCAAACATCTCTCCACGCCCCTCGTCTCCTCAATCCTTTCCCCTGACCAACAATCTCTCCGCTCCCGGGGAAATACGCACCAACACCGAACCCACCACTCGTTCGCTTACCGTCGAACCCGATCAGCAACGCATGGAAGAGAAACGAGACGAATAGTGTGCCGAGAAGATAGAATATAAACCCGCCGGAGGACTGGAGGCCGAGGATGCCAGCGGCTAGGCCGAGTAGGAAGGAAGTGATGGAATGGATGTTCGAAAGCGTCTGGTGTGTTTTATCAGTAGGTCAGTCCATTGGGTTGATGATTCTTGGGATAAACAAAGGGGAGGGCTGAGAGGAGCAGGCGGGCTAGGGCGAGCTGGTACATACGCGGGTGTTATGTGCGACTGATTCTGGGACGAGAGGGTTTATAAGGAGGGAGAGCTCTTGGTTCGTTGGTGGCATGATGGATATCAAAAAGGTATGTAGTTTGAATCGGCTCGCTTTCGTCGTTCACTGGACCTTCGTTTTGGGAAATGTAGGTTGTTCACAGACTCGGTTGGATTATAGCAATGAACCGAAAAACTCGAGATTCCCAAGGAGTTCAAGGACGTTGCCAAGTTGGATTTTATACACTCTGGCGCTTTGGAGAGTGAGGAGCAGTTGGAATGGGATGCCAGTTGCAATAAAATTGGCGCTAAATATCTTAGCGCTATGACCATGATCTCTGGGGTTGCTTAGGAGGTTTGGCTAACCAATACTCCGTACCTCTCAGCTGCAAATCAACTGTAGACGGCTAATATTGAGAACATTCACACAGTACAGTTTGATTGTAGTAGAATGCCCTCCTCTATGCCCACTTGCTATCACCGGGTAATTGGCGGGCTATCAAAACAAGACAGAGTACATACAAAAGCAAGTTGAATCTCAAGGAATATTTTCCAAATGCATTATTACTAAGTACAGACTGGAAAAGAAGCAACTTGAAACAGAAAAATGAAGAAAAAAGAAAAAAAAAAAAAAATGGAAGAAAAGTAAGAACAAAATGAGAACAAAAATTACAATAGTAAAGTGAAGATGGACAGCAAAAAACATTCTTTTTAGGCATTTGCTTTCAGCAACCACTCAGCCATTGGAAAGAAGAGCGCTCATAAACCCATTTCCAACCCTGAAATGTGTTTTGTCCCTGAGTATCCATGGATAATGATAATGTGCCAGAGATTTTCCAAACTGCTCCCCAAGAGGTGGATATGAATATGGGAGTACTCCGTACATGTTTCATATATGGCTTCTTCACTTCGGTTTAAGAGATTCGTCCCAACTGGATGAAATGTCGTCAACCAGGACCAGTGATGCTCTCATTGTAATGAGAAACAAGAGGCGCAATTGGCTTTCCCTTCTGTGATTTACTACATTGAGATTCTTGATCTCTCATTATCTCACTTAGATAATAGAAGCAAGTTTCCCTGCTGCTTTTGCCTCCTTCACTTGCTCAAACACCTTCAAAACTATTAGCATTGCACAATCACGGCACGAGTGATATAACTAACCTTCAGCATCTTATTTCTGGCGCCGAGAGCGTTCACTCCCCGAGCTTCCAAGGCTTTATCATCAAGTTCAATTAATTCCGTCCACTTCAGATCTTTGAGATTATCGGTGTATTTATGTAGACGCAAAGATCGAAGCCAGGCGGGGATGTCTTGAAGAAGTTTCGTATCAGTGGGATCTTCCGGTGGTTTGGAACTACCCCGTCGACCCCGTGGGGAGCGACCACGGTTTATCTCGGAATGGTCTGAAAGATATCCTTCGTGACTACCAGCGCCAGCAAGGCCCATACCGAGTCCACCGAAGCCGTTACCCAAGAGGGCATTCGTGTCGTAAGCAGCCAAGAACCCATTGTTTTGTGGAGAAGTAAAGTTCATATGTCCCATCGAACCTCCCTGCATCGCTAAGCCGGGAGAATTCGGTCGGGAGCGGCGACCAGCCATTGCGGCTGCCTGCTGCTGCGCTTGTAGGGCTGCTATTTGCTGTGGATTGAGAACTTGGCCTGCATCATTGACCATGATCACGTTAGTTCCAGGAATACTGGTATTCGGAAGCCCAGGCGAAAGTGGCCCTTGCCCAGCATTCTTCTGGCCGTCGTTGGACCGAGCGCGTCGGTACTTGCGAGCGTCATCTAAAGCAATCCTGTTGTTAACCGTGGATAAGGCAGCTAGCTTCATAGCGGTGGCATTAGCAACCATATCGGCTTGCGACTGAGCACCCTGTTGATTAAAGGACGGGACTAGCGGAGTATTGCTCATCGAAGCCCAGCTGGCATTTCCTAAATTATATGGGGAGAGAAGGGGAGGGTCTTGCGTAATCTCAGGCGCTGTGATGGTGGTGCTCTGGATATTAGCAGAAGTACCAGGGTTCATAGGAAGCGGCGAACGCAACGACGAAAGAGGCTGGGAGAATTGGCCCATTGGCTGCTGTTCGCTCGATGACTTGGGACGTGCGATTGGGGCTTGAGGTTCGGGAGCACGCTGAGCCCACGGTGAGACTGGTGGTTGTGGCAAGGTGTCCTTGCAATCCGGTGCAGATATGGTTGGCGTCACCAGAGACGTCCGGTCACCGAAGACTACGCTGTTCCGGTTCGACCCGGGAAGGTTGCCGGTCTGCTGGGTGAACTCGGCTTTCTTTTTTGCGATGACAGCTGCGGCATCTGGGAACATGGCATTTATAGTGGAGGAATCGAGACCAGAGTTGCGCTTATTTCCGGGAGACGGTGGTGGGCGTCCCAAGGAATTACGGGACGGCTCCACGTTCAATTTAGCCATCGCATCACTCAAACGGTTAGACATGGGGTCTATATGGCATGTTAGACGGCAGGATACAAGGGGGGATGAATCTTTTTCTGGGTTGCAATCCATACCTTTTTCACCAAAATTGGCCGGCGATAAGACACTGGACATCGGGTGGCTTTGCGACATCTGCTGCAGAACTTGGATGAAGAAACGAATCTGCACCTGAGTGGTCTGCTGCAGCAAAGCGTAGAGGGCAGCGGTCCTTTCGGCTTCACTCAAAACACGAAACCACTGTTCGATGGCGCTCAGCTCGTCTTTGAAATCCTGATCCAGGGTAGCCGCAGCCATCTCCTCGAGAGTTGTCTCGTACTGATCAATGTCTGCAATCCATTGCTGTGCGGCCCTGTCCAAGGCATCTTCAGCGTTATTTTGCCCCTGAACTTGCTGATTAAAATAGACCTCGGACGATGGACGAATATTCCGTGGCGCGAGAGGAGAGGAAAACCCTGACATATCGGCAGAAGCACGGAGCTGATGAGAACCACCGAGGGTGCGGGAGGACGGAGGTCGAAGGGAGGATTTGGAGGCCTCGGGAGTACTGTTCCTGTTACCGATAATATGGCTCGCCATTGTAAGAAGCGATAACAAGGGCCCAGAGACGAGGAATCAAAAGTGGGTGATTGGTGGGTAAGGCGACGGCGTAATTAAAATGCAAAGCTCCTGCAGCACCGCTGAGTTTGCGTGATTATGAACCGTTCGGGAGCGGGACGGCGAATCTCCGCTACTATCACACCGGAGCGATTGTTGGTTTAACCTCGGGGTGTCCAATACCCAGTGGGATGAGAACGAACAGGCTCTTATTGGACAGAAGTGATTAGAGAGTGGCCAGTCCAGTGGCAGTATTGATTTGATATAAGCAGGTTGAAGATGATTAGATCACAGAATATAAGTAAGATGGAGGGGAGGAGTGGTAGTCTGTAACAGGGCTGATCAGATTCTTTTTCTCGCGGATCGAGGGTAACGATTGGAGAAGCGATGCAGTGTGTCAAACACGGCAAGGCGTAAGCACCACCGAGGAGCGAAGGGTGCGAAATCTGGGAGGCAGCCGAAGGGAAAGGTGAGAAAAGAACAACAGGGTGGGCGAGTGGGGGGAGGGGAGGGGAGAGAGAGAGAGGGAAGAGGGAGCAAGAAGACGAAAAAGGGCTGCAGGAGAGGGGACTGTGATGGTCAGGACGACGACGACGACGATATTTTCCCAGCGAGTCTGAAGGTGGAGTGAGTTCCAGCCCAATGCTGACTCAGCCATCCCTGCTCCCGTGATCCGTTTGGCCTGCCCAAGCCGGTGGTGGAGAGAAGCGCTGCTATTAATAGCCCGCCCGCCCACCACGCCAGCCAGCGCTCGATTCCGCTGCGTGAACGAGTGGAGATCGGCTGCGAAGGTCCAGCAAGCTGACGCGCAGGCTGCCGGCATCGGGACACGCCTATCGCAGCTGTCTTCGGCCTAGGCACGGCTTTGCGTCCCCTTGGCTACAGCTTTGTCCTACACAAGTTCCTTGTTCAGGGGGCTTAACTACAGGCTCCTGGAAAAGAGACACTGGACACCATGAATATGAGTGCCATTGTGGGACAAAGGTTACCTGCTGCAGTTACATCCTGTGATCGGTCTTCAAGATGGATGGATGAAAGCTTGTTCCACCCTGGGCCATAGCCGATGTAGGAAGCATATCCATACTTTTTTGATGCCAATGGCGCAGCAGCTTCAGGGGAAAAAGCTTACGTTTGACGATTGGTGAAAGCTAGCCTCATGTGTGTCCACTTGTTATGCATACTGATAGCAGCCCGCTTATTGCTTCAATCCTGCACCATCCCTCGGATCCTTCACCCCCTTCAAAAAGGCAATTCCTATCAATATCTCAATGCGCTCTCTCGTCGCATCGCTCTTGGCCGCGTCTCTCCTTGCCCGCTGCCACAACCTCCTGGCTGACTAATCTGCCAAGAAAACTGACTCAGCCCTAGCTCCGTCCGGCCCAATAAAATCCCATCCGAGCTCGAGCCAAGATCCAGAAGCGCGATGAGCACGCCTCTCAACCTCTGGGCGGCAAATGAACATCCCGACCACTTCTCGTATGATTGCTCCGGGCACTGCGTGTTATCCGTGATTGCTTATTTTGCATGCTTGGGTACTATATGACTTTACTCTGACTGCTTGGAAAAACACACTTCCTGGCTTAAAAGCAAGCCTTGAGAATAAGACACAACAAACACTGAAGGGAAAAATATCATATTAACACAAAGGCGCAGTGATTTTAATTTCTTCAGAAAAGAACAAAGAAACCTGGGTAGCTTAGCTTGTTTATCTACAGGATTTTTTTTCAAAACGGGGTTCTAGAACTGGTTATGCAGCAAACCATAAGTGAAGATGGATGAAGACAGTGTCTCCGACAGATCGGAGAGCGAAGAACCAGGCTACAGCAATGAATATGATGAATTTGGCCGCGTGAAACGCCGAAAGCTCTTTGATCCAGATGATTTCGATTCTGACGATGCCGATTTGCAGCAGCCTTCGTCGGACGAATCCTCGTAAGCACTCAATTGACATACTCTCTCCCTGGACAGAAGCAAGCAGGGACTAACGTTCCAATTTTAGCGACGCTGAGCCGTACGAAGCAAACCAGTTCATTGATGATGAGGCTGTCTTCTCATCCATCAATCGGATGGATAGAAGGCATCGTCGACAACATGACTCCGATAGCTTCGGCGGCCGACCGGGGAAGGGGGTTAAGCGTGGTCCAAGGAAGCCACTGGAGCCAAGCGCAGAGTTCAAAGAATTGCATTCCGCCGCTACATCGGCGTTTATCGACTCTGATTACGACCGAGCCATCGTTCTTGTAAAACAGGCCATTCAAATCAACCCGGAAATGTTCGCGGCTCATTCTTTGCTATCTGAGATCTTTCTCGCTCAGGGTCAGAAAGACAAAGCGTTAGCAGCACTATTTAGCGGAGCCCATACCAGACCGAAGGATCCAACGGTGTGGCTAAAGGTCGCTAAAATGATTTTGGATCATGCTGGTGATGACAGAACAGCAGCCCTGCAGGACGTGATCTACTGCTATAGTCGCGTGATTGATGTCGATGCGGCGAACTATGATGTACGCTTTGAAAGGGCTGCCATGTATCGCGAGTTAGGTCACAAGGGGAAAGCCGCCCAAGAATATGAAAGGCTTCTCAAGGATCTCCCTCACAATACAAGAGCTTTGCGGCATCTTGCCGAGACTTATATTGATATAAACGAAGTTTCAAAAGCCATGTCTCGATATGATGAAAGTATCACCTACTACTCCTCCCTGAGTCCCCAAGAGGCTACCGATTTTGACTGGTCAGACGTCAATATCTATGTGGAACTTTTTGGGTATCAGCGGAACTACTGGGAAGGTCTGAGGGCCCTTAGATCTCTCTCCAGATGGCTACTTGGGAGAAAAGATGACGTGGAATGGGATTCAATATGGGAAGACGACCGGGAATGGGATGCCGAGGATTACCCTCGTCGCATCAGTACCCCATGGTTCTCTCCTTCAAGGTATCCCGTGGAATCATACGGTGTTGGGCTTCCACTCGAGCTTCGTATCAAGCTGGGTATTTATCGACTGAAAATGGGACCTGAATTTAAGGACGAAGCAATGGTAGGCTAGTTACCTGGGCTCCACTCACTGCCTAAAACCACTGACAGATGGTAGTCTCATTTTGTCTGGCTAGCACCAGAAGAGACGGCTCCTGGTTCGAGATTGTATGATTATGGGGATCTTTTTCGAGAAACCGCGGACGCATTGAAGGAGGCTAAATTTTATCCTGAAGCGCTGCTATTCTATACACCTCTTCAGTACACCCAAGAATTTGCAGATACGAGCCTTTTTATGGCGATGGCGGACTGCCACCTGGCCTGCAAAAACGACTCTGATGCAGAGAGCTGTCTCCTCACGGTAGTCGAATATGATCAAACCAATATTGATGCAAGAGTAAAATTGGCGAAATTTTACGAGAGTATGGGCATGATGGAGCAAGCCCTCAAATATGTGACAGAAGCAGTCGAACTTGGGCGTCAGGAGTCGGTACCAATGCGGAGACGGAGGGGAAATTTTGGCGCGAGGATCGAGCAGCTCGCAAAAGAATTCCGCTCCATGGAATCTGGTATCAGTGACCATGGAGAGATGGAATTGGAACCCCCCAGGTCACCGGACCATATGAACGGTCCCATATCATTCACCGGCCCAGCGCCCATTCCAAGTTCGAAGGAAGTTAGGCCAGAGGATAGAATCGCGTCCGCGATCCAGAATGCAGAGCATGTACGCTACTTATATAAAAAGTCATTGGAGCTTCGACCTTCCATGAGAATTGGAGAGGAGGATGCGACGGAAGATTGGTTGGACATTGTGGATGCTCTTTTAAGAAGTTTCCGATCAAATCGAGTGTTCTTTCCTTTGCAAAAAGGAATGATGTTCGTTGGATATTCGAAGGAAGCTCATCGCAAAGCTGGGCGCCTAAAAGGACCCGATATCATGGATGAGGTCCAGGAGTTAGCAGCCAGAATTCAGGCAGCCTTAGGTATTGTATATCTTCGAAGCGCTTCATTGAACCTTGACTGACAAGTAATATAGGAACGGCCGAGTTCGACCCCGATTCAATTCCGATGGACTATCACGGAATATCCTTTGATGCTTGGCTTGATCTCTTCCTGGAATACGCGCTTGTTCTAGCTGGTCAAGGGCATGCGGAAGAAGCATATGATTCTCTAGCAGCGGCGGCTGATGCAAACATCTGGTATCATTCGAAACCCTGCACACGCCGGATTTATGTTTGCTGGTTCAGTAAGCGACTTTTTTTTTTAAAAAAAAGGGAACATACTCAAGTGAAAAAGTTCTGACTTTTCTCTAGCTTGTGCAATTCGACTCCAGGATGAAGACGTTCTCGCAAGCATCGCCAGGTGGTTTATGAAAGAATATCAGTTCGTCACCGACACATACCGCCTATTCGCGACTCTCAGCCGTGTCTGTGGCGACCCGAGAAAGTCCCTATTCCACTCTTCCCCGAGCATGAAATTCATGCTTCGTCAAGTGAAAGCCATTGACTATTCCATCACTGAAGATCCTTCATCCACCACCACCGATCCTCGCCCAACGTTCTTCGCCGAGCGTGCTAGCCTCACAACAAAAGATGAGTCCGGAAATCTCATACCCGCCGAAGACATGGACGTCTCTCTACTCGTGCTATACGGTCACATTCTCTACGCAGGAAACAGCTTCACCAATGCGCTCAACTACTTTTTGCGCGCATACGCTCTTGACCCAGAGAATCCGGCGGTCCTGCTGTCCATAGGGCTGAGTTATATCCATCACTCGCTAAAACGACAGTCCGACAATAGGCACTACCTGATCATGCAAGGGCTCTCGTTTATGCAAGAGTATCGGAGGGTAAGGGAGAATAGTAGTGTTCCGCAGGAGAGACAAGAAGTCGAGTTCAATTTCGCGAGGGTATGGCATATGCTGGGTCTCGCGCACTTGGCGGTTAGAGGCTATGAAAGATGCCTCGAGTTGAGTGGGGAGATCCAAGCTGAGAAGCAGAAGGAGCAGCTGCAGAAGGTGGATGATAAGAACGGGGACGGTGCTTGTGCGGAAGATTATGCACGTGAGGCAGCGTATGCCTTGCAATGTCTTTATTCGCTTGGTGGGGAGGTGGAGATGGCGAAAAAGATCACAGAGAAATGGCTCGTTATTTGATACCCTAATATCTTGTTTATGGTGCATCCTTTAGGACCGGCTGGTCGCTGGGGATCAGTATATTGCAATGTGGAGTTGCAAATCGGAACGATCATGGAGTACTTCATGGAAAAAATTCAGGAAATCAAAAGGTGCATGGGCAGAAGCCATAAATCCTTGCTTGGTCGCTAAATCCGTCCAAATACATTGAGAATCTTGTGCGGAGTAATATACAAGTAGTCGAACCGGAATAAATATGCAAACGTTGGATATATCAAACTTGAAATATATGACATTCGCACATCCCGTGCTTAATGCTCCTACTCTTTAAAGAGAGATATGCAGTAGCAAACCAAAAGTATTGAGAGGGGAATCAAAATAAAATATGATTAAAAAAAAAAAAAAATTCGTGCTCTAGAGTTCAGAAATAAGACCAGCTAGAATTGGGGGAGATTGCACAATCTAAGTTAACAGTGAGCCTGAAATGCAAAAATATGCAACAAAATGAAAAAGAAGAGGAAGTCAAGTTATCCAATCTTGGTGCCACTAGACTGGCCTTGATAAGGAAATTTTTCATCGTCGCTGGGCATGGTATCATCGGTATCATCAAAAAACACTGCAGACTGCCGTCTAATTTCTTCCATGAGGCTATTTCGGCGCCCAGAAGTCGGACGCACGGGCGAGCCTGTCGGATGAGAGGTCGGTGCCTCTCTAAAATGACCGGTGTCTCTCAGGTGGCTCATAGTATCAGCCAACATACTGGCCGATCGCTGCTGGGCGTTCTCCTCGAGCGGAAGGGTTTGATCAGTCCGCGATCGAAAGGGTACATTGTTCCACCTCCCGCTCCCAGCCCATTCCGGATCTTTCATTAGCCCTTCGGCAATGACTCGTTCGATTTTCATCCTATTACTGATAAATTTGATCTTGGGAAACGTGCATTGTTGTCCTTCATGTAACATCCTTGCCAGGCGTTGTACGCTCGGGTCAGACAAAATATAATATAGATCTGATAGGACGGATTTAGGCCATATGGTCACTGTTCCGCTGAACCTTTGGAGCCAAATTTCGCTCCAGTCTTGGCCTAAGGGACGGGGAAGAAGTTCAAGATGTCGCATGACTTTAAGCCATTTGTTGAGGTCTAGCTTGATATACTGTTCCAATGCGGAACCAAGGAAACCTCCACGCCAACCTCGGCCTTTTCGATGGGTTACGGGCCGGCCAACTGAACCTCGAGAGCTGAAAAAGAAAAGGCTGATGTGAGGATTGACCTGTGGCTCTGTTAACTAACACTTCCCGAGTAGCGAGCTGTTTTCACTGAGACGTACCTGTGAAACGATGGAAAAACTGGCATTAAAGTGGACATCCAGAGCTTTCAGTGGAATATCCGTCCGAAGACTCCCATCTTTCCATTTATGCCCAAATGAATAAGGCGCAAGTGTACCGTCCGGCTTTTTCATCATCAATACAACAGGATTCAAGATTCCTGGAACTGCAGCAGAGGCAAGGACTGCACTCCAAATAACACAGTTCGGTGATGTAAGATAATTTGCTAAAATCGTAGGCGAATGAGGATCTGAGGGTACACATGAAACGTTGAGAACACGCCCAGTTCGTTCATATGCTTCACGAAAGGTTGTAGAACCTCTGCAAAACCAGCTGCACTGTTCAGCCCACTGCATCACATCGAAACGTGCACCGGTTCGCCAACAGCGTACTGCCCAAGTCGTTATCCCATCCTGGCAAGCTTTAATTTTATGTGCTAACTCAGGGACAAGAAGCTTTTTGAGCTCTTCGTCGGTTCTCGTCGCCACTAATGCCGCCACGAGAGCTCCCCCCGAGGTGCCGGAGATGATGTCCGGAAGGACATCGTTATCAAGCAAGGCTTTGATAACACCAAAGTGGTAATACGCCAGAGTAGCTCCTCCTGATAGACACAAGACGGTACGACCAAAGTTTGTATCAAGGTGCCTGAACAGACCCTGTTTTCTTTCATCTGATAGCTGCTGACTCGTCAAAACCAGCCTCAGTGATGTATGTGCTTCTTCAATAAACTCTTGAACCAAATCTTTAGTCCCATAGTAAGTTTCACTATATAGCCGTGGATTTTCTATTCCGGCAAAGTTGGTTTTGATGCATCCCTCCAATAGGGTGCAGAGTTCCTCCGCCGCAGCCTTGCCGTTGATTCCACCCGCTTCAGTTTGCGCCCTAAGCTGCCTCAACTGGCTTACTACCGTCATCACAGTGGTGTTATCGTAGTATGCATATTGAGGGCGCTCCTTCCATGCGTCATTCCCCAGATATTCGTCCAACTCCTTCGCTGCATTTTTCCAATGCTGGTAGTCGACTGTAGAATGAAGAGCCCTCCTCAGTCTTTGTCTTTGTCCCGTCCACGCAAAGAAATGCTCATAGAGCGAAATGTAGAGCCGCGTTAAGATGTATAACGCCCCGAGGAACACGATCCATGACAGCACAAATAGCAGGAATGGCCATTTCAGCAGCGTGTACACGACGCCTTCTCGCGTTTCGTCTTTGGTCCTCTGAGGAACTTTTGGCAGCTTTCCCGGTTTCCGTACCCGCCGGTGTATAGGCCTCCAGTCATTTATTGCGATGAGAGACAAGGCTTGCGGCGCGTTCAGAGCCTTTTCAAACTCTTCAAGATCTTCGTCATTGATGAATCGAGTGTGAAAGTCTGGGAGACCGTAGTCCTCTTCTTTTTCGTCGCCATCCGTTCTCGGAGATTTCATCTGCAGCCTTCTTCTCGAGGAGTTTGCTGTCATCTTTGTTTGGCCAATCCTCGAGGAGCCAGGGCGGTTTTCGAGCTCCTGTGGCTCGAAAACCCGCCCGCAAAGTTGGCGAGATGCACATCGACTGGCTGCGACGTCATGATTACTTCACTTCTGAGTAAGTGGCAGGTGCAATGCACCAGCTCCCCGGAATTAGCTAAGCCTGAGAGGGTTAGTGAGCACAATGATCAGCCCCCCGGAACGTGGCTTGTGCCTGCTTGACACCAGGGTGGCTGCGGGCAGCTCTCTGACTGGACAAGTTAAACCAATCTTGGCATATTACATAATATGAAACCCAGCCACAGGGTAGTTAACTAGAGCTTTGATGCATGAAAATAACCCTTTGGTGTTCTGCATACCAACAACAGCAACAAGCGTTGTCCTTCACTTCGGATGAGTCCACCATATTACCCTTCTTATGGAGAACCTACATTTGTCATTCACATCCGCTTTGCAATTGCTATTCTGTCCGAGAGAAATGGGATACCATTCTGGGGTCACTGCCCCGCTTTCCATCCGAGAGGACCACCCTGCCTCAGACACCATACAGCATGCATCGGGGAAACTAGTCACTTTTCCGGGTTGGTGTGGTTGAAATCGAGCCGTGCTGCAGCCGCCAATGTCCCCACGCCAAATTTAGATGGGTGTTTCAGCTCTTGCAGCATTCACATCCTTGAGTCTCGGGATCGGGGTGGCATCCTAAGCATTGTCAAAAAATCATTCTGTGCCTCCTGACTGACGCTTCACATGTTTCGATGTGCATCCCTCCTGCACTCTTATCCGGAAAGGTCGAAGCGATACTCCGTAACTCAAACTCAATCTGACAACTAACGCTCGGTGCCAGTTCGTCACTTGGATGGTAGGAAATTTTTTGAGTTTGCAGCGACTCCGTGTGCTCTTGTCACCCTGGTTCCAGAGGAAGGTTGATCATGCTGTCAACTCCTCCCTCTTTGGTCACACAGTATTATGACGTGCGATCTCCTGTCTCGATTAGAATCTCTCTGAGAGACCTTCTCGGTGGAACAGCGTGTCATCGGAGCCGACCTCTGGTATTTTTTTTCGCCCTGGCAGATTTTGCTCACAATGCGGGGGATTCAAATTGGCAATTTAAGGTTGCAGGGTGGATAGGTCTGTGTGGATCTTTTTGTTAAGCCTCCCAACAAATTCGCCGGCATTTTTTTTTTTTTTTTTTTTGGTGGCGGGGAAAACACGGTAGCCGAACCGTGTTTGACACAGATAACATTTACTCTGATAACAGAATCTTTGAGCGTGGTGCGGTCCATTTTCCGACAAGACACGGATAATAGAATTAGCTGTGCCCCGTGTGGGTTAAGCTGTGCTTGCAAACCCGACAAGCATCGGCCACCAAGGAGTACCGGAATCCTGAGCGCCAAGAGCAACAATTGCGCGATAGGCGCAGGGCCGAGAAGAATGCGATGTTACCAGCTTCTACCCGTCTCTGCGTGATGCTTTCAAATTTCAAGGGTCTTCTCTCTTGACAGTACTTGAGATCGCAACCATCCATATCGATATCCGTCCCTACATGACGAATTTTGTGAAGCACCTGTTGTGATGAATCTGGTGGTCATTGGCTGACACTTGGCCAAGCACCGACAATCGGTGGATTCGACGATGTCAGATTATTGCTCTCCCCCGCAATTTACCAGCCCCCTTTCTTTTGAATCCATTGTTATTGTTCCTGTGGTTGGTTGACGGCTTTTTTACCATCGGGCGAAAAAACATCATTTTTGGATATCATTTAGACACCGGGTTCAGAGGGAATACCAAGCACTTCGGGATGTACTTTGGAGGTCCGCTCACCTGACGAGGTAACTACGTAACATGTGTACGCCACAGCCCTATCATGTGGCTTCTGTCGTCATTCCACGAATGCGAGAATTTCCCCGTCGGCGAAAATACTGGCTCATATTTACGACACCATCAGACTCATGAAGAGAAATGATTCGCAAACACGGAGAAAGCGGTTTGCGTAGGTTGTTTTCCGAAAACGTACGGAGGCGTGTTCTTATTATGCTTTCTGTTGTACTTACTCCGATCAAGAGCGATGCGATCGGAGATGCTCTTCACGGCGGATGTTGCTGCTTGGCTTCATCCTAAAAGAAACGAGATCTCTGTTCACTGTTGAGAGTGACGTCCACGCAAACCACGAGATATTGAGACAGCAGGCGCACTGCCCTATGACGGATGGCTTCCCAAGACTCTGGGAATGTTGTGTACGAGAAAAACCCCCAGATATGCTTTCAAAGCAGCCTGTTCCAAAACAATATTCCTCCTATTGACCACTCGGCCATGTTCCGGGAAGATCAACCGATGGCTATTCACCTTGTGGGGCTTCTTGTCAACCAAGCAACCTCGCCTTTCACACTCAATTGCACTATAATGGGCAAACATAAAGTGTTTCCATAAGAAGAACACACACCAGTCTCCGCTACAAGTTTAAGCAGTACACCTGTGAAAGTCAAGTAAATTGATCTAGCGGTGGGTACATTGTGTTTTAAGTCTCTCAGAGTCCGATTATCATGATCTCTGAGCGATTCGCGGGGGGGTACAAACTAGTCCGGCAAAGTGTTAAACAGAGTAATAGCACGAGCTCACAGGAAACGTCAAATCTCTCATTCTCACTTAAAGTATTGTAGCCGGGAAGCATTGTTGGCTACCTGCTGACATTCAACCTATTCAGCTTTCTCTCCATATCGGCATATTTTGTCTAGTGGACTTCAGCGAATAAAGGCCTCTTCTACAGTTTGTACCTGTCCGACGCTTATCACCGAGCACGGCTACTAGTTAACCTTCTTTAGACGGAGAGATCGTTTGGAAATCAATTAAAAGATGTAGCGACTCTAACCACACAAACAAGCAAGACAGGCCGCCCCTCGGTTGTCGGCGGGCCGTTAGAGTTGATATCGGGCGAGAGTCCGATCTTCTTTTGAGAAGATTTTCAGCGACCGCTTGACGAGGACTCGAGCTATGAGACCGGGAATTTCCTGGAAGACACTAGGAAGGGAGCACTTGCGGTTGTTGAAGAAAAAGTACATCGGTCCTCGTATCGTTTACTAAAAGAGACTTACTTGAGAAGATCTGCGGGATCGCTCATATTGACAAGCGTGTGGGGGGGGAACTCTTGCTTTTACTAAAAAAAAAATTCCTCGGCGTTCCTTCGTTCAAACCACGATAATGGGTTCAGTAGTGGTTGGTTATGGTTAACTAGTTACTTTGGACTTCGTACCAGTTCATTCACACCCGAGGAGCACGGGACGTATCGAGGTATGTACACCCGCAATGAACCATCCCTCTCTGTCACTGCCGCCGGCATGAAACGAAACATCGATGAGACGCCGTGAACCACGTCTGCTGGTCCCTTGCCCCTGGCGTGAAACGAGACATCTTTGAGAGAGGAGAGGTCAAACTGGAAAAGCACGGACCTCGAAGGCAAAAAAATTAACATGCGCGCCATAAGCATCCCATCAGGACGCCTAGATTTCAAAAAAGAGTGCACAGGTGTACATACATACATGCCTGCATACATTCATACTCGTGGCTAAGCAAAAATAGCTTCACCTGCAAAATGCACGCCAAGCCAAGGCGGAAAGATCAACGAGCAGCCCGGGCATCAATCAATTCCACACGATTTCCCAGGTTCTGGGACGTGCATCCATGCAACCGCTTCGCGTCCTCTCTCTCACTCTTCTTTCCCCCCCTCATCCCTGAGGTCCTGGGCAAAGGGAGAAAGGCAAAATAAAGAGTACATTGCCATCCGTGGGATGTGAAATTGGCGGTGAGCTGATTCCGGAACATCGCCCCTCAGCGACCCGAACAACCAACCCTTTTTTTGTTTGGTTCTGGAGAGGGGCGAGGGGCTTTCCGAATAATGACCAGAAGCTTAAAAAAAAATGAGTTGCTTAATCATATCGGACGGATGATATGAGAAAGTGAGGATGGAGGGGGTAAATGCAAAGTGATTTCTTTCTTTTTTTTTTTTTTTTCAGTCTTCAAACGTCATATCAAGGTTCCTTAGGGTGCTAGGAGTGTGGAGTTTGAAACGGATCATTGTAATGGGAAAAAAAAAAAGGACAGACGCTCATGATTATCGCTCAAAAGGTGCAAAGGCGTCGGCGCCATTTGTTCCGGTGGTTTTACCCCACGAAAAAGGCGCCAAAAAGTCGTTGTGGTATTTGCCATGCATGGGATGCTGTGGATTGACGGGGCGTTGGGTGGTTGATAAAAGGAAAGCGAAGTGTGCTTAGCGTGCAGAGATCAGCCTGTCAGTGGCCGATTGACAGCCTTCTAGCGCTCCGAATGGTGGGAGAGGATGACGGTGTTTACTCTGCCGTCATCAATGCATGGGGCGTGCGCAAGGTTCAGCGCAACGAGAAGTTTAAGCGTGGCCCAAAAATGATTTGCTTGTGTGGTGGTCCACTCAGAGCCGGAGGAGGGCTTCAGGGCAAGAGGCGACGCCTGGGTTGACCTTGCTTGAGGATTTCATGGCAAACCTGACCCGACATTAGTTCCATGCAGATGATTGGGAGAGTGGCTTTATTGTGGATGGGGCGCTTTGTGTCGTCTGGTAAGGAAGCATTTTTCCCAAGAAGTTGCTGCCGCGCTGCTGCGAGGTGATGCTTTGGGTTGGTCAGTTTACATGGTATTGTCGCCACCGGAAAGTGTTAGGTGATCAGGGTTGGTGGAGATATGAGAGCCTTGTGACACGAAAATCGGGTGTGGATAGGGAGGTCTACAGTGGTCCTTATGTGCCAATACTCTCTCCGTATCTCTAGTTTTCTTGTTTGCGAATCGCACTGGAATTTTCGTCGATTTGATAGAGGGTGTGGCGCGCTGGGCGGTGTGCGCTACCAGATGCATCGTCAATCTGATTGCACGGTGGGGGTTGAACGAAAAGCATCGTGACGTCGGGAAGACGCTCGCGCAGTACGTTATGTCATTGGGGGCGGATCGCGGTTAAGCCAGAGGAGGACTGATGTCCAATGTACCCGGATGTTCCGTGCAATGATAGCTTATCGGCAGGTAACGTATCAAAGGATTGGAAGATCTTTTACCGTCTCGCGCTCTCCAGCAATGACGAAGGCGGAAAAAAGAAACCCCCCATCGATAACGGGAGATGCCAGTCAAACGTCGATGTTGGTCATACCGTTGTAACGTCGGCTAGCTGCCGTTTCGACCGTTCATGGGCCTCGTAACCAGAGCCAGTTTATCGGATATCCTGCAGGAGTATGGAGTACAGTAAGTACCTCTGTAGAACAGTAGAAATACCTGAGAAGTTTCGAATATGCCTCAGTATGGAGTACTGGAAGATAGATTGGCACTTCTTCTAGATCCAGTGCAAGGACCGCACGTTTCGAACGAGAAGGGTCTCGGTGGCCCGGCAGCTTGGGGAGCTTGCCAGCCAAAGGGCTTGAAGTGTCCATCGGATCCATGGGAAAAAACGGCGGTTTCACGCCATTGTATATAGGCATCCGTGGATACAATGGTATCAGGAAGCGGGGCCTGAAAAGGTTCGCGACTTATTATTGCCAGAGGGCTCGGTGTGGAGCTCCGCCTGCGAGATTTTCGATTGATTGATTGATTGATTGGTTTTTTGGCAACCCTAGGGAATTCCGAAACATCTCGAAAGAGCTTCTACGATCCCCTGGGGGTACTCTGCTTGGGGGGGGGGGGGGGGGGGGGTAGGGGGATTCACGGTGGGAGACTCGAGATGGAATGTTTCGTGCGAACTGGGTCGAGTGGTCATGGCCGTTTTCCCGAAGGACGCGATGGCCGATGATGGATGGGCATCAGCTTTTGCCGTGAGCGCCACGACCCACCGAAGTGCAAAGGCAATGGATGCAGTGCTGCGCGCGATTTCTCGCTGCGAGCGAAGATTGGACTTGCACTTTGATCTGATTGCTCGTAACGCTCCGAGAGCTCGAGCGCTCGGATCTCCCGAAGCTGACTATGTACGGAGTACTGTACACACATACATCCTGTTCACCTGCAAAAGGCCAACATTATTCTTGAATTGACTATTTTTATTATTTAATTATGGTATTTTTGGCTTTCCCATCACCTTGAAATCGTCCAGCGCCTACAGCCTCTTGCCTGGTTTTACATATCAACGACAAATAAAAAGGGTGGAATGGTCACGCTGAGCCAATGAGAGGGACAAGGGCCATCCACGCACGGGATTTAGAGTCGCCTGGTTCCCTGTCACTGTCTTTGGCATGTGAGTTAAGTTAAATAATGAGGGTCGCGATGATGAGGGTTAGAGCAAGACTTGGATCTGCCGTAGTGAACTCTGTAGCGTGTAGGCCATTTATTCTGAGAGGAGAGCAGAGAGCACACACAGAGAGAGAGAGAGAGAGAGAGAGAGAGAGAGAGAGAGCGGATGCAGGAGAGAAGAAAGAGACGGCTGGATATGGCCCATCGTGTGCACGCAGCTCGCCCACGCCGCGTTCCTGTGACCCGGCTAGCAAGCTTGGATTAAACCGCAAATGGGCTAATCGGAGCGGTTGACAAGGTTGGCGAAATGACCCGCGGAAGCCACCAGAGCAACCCCCTTGTCCGTCACGGAACAAAAAAGCAACGATCCCATCCTGCCTGGCGCCCCTCCTAGCACAAAAGCCCACTGCTTGGCCCCGAATACGGCCAGAGTCCCCGCTGGCAAAGGGGGTCCCCAGTCCTCGCTCAGAACCATAAGTAAAACCAAAAAGATCCCTTCCCGTCCGCTCTTGTGCCTCCTCCTCCTCTTCTTCTTCTCTGCCGGCGATATCTTCTCCCCGTCCACCTACACGCCTCCCTCCCCTCCCCTTCCCTTCTCCTCCTCGGCCGTCGTGGCGGCTTCTTCGTCACACCCGCCAGAATTGCGACAAGGTTGGACGCATCGGACAGTTTTCATCGCAATTTCGACAGGGTCCCTTCGGCAGCCACTCACAGCCGCCTGTCGCGTCCCCCTTGATCTTCCCCTTAAAAAAGAAAAGGAAAAAGAAATACCAGGCTTTCCCTTTACGGTTCTTTTTTTTCCGCTTATCTTCTGTCTGACAATATATTCTTCAGTTTTTATTTTTATTTTTGTTTTTTTTAGCCTTTTTTTTGTGTTTACAATCACATTCAAAACCCTTTCGCTTCTCACGTCTGTGCCTTGGGAAACTGTCCAGGTGACCACAAACTGCTTTTCCAGTCAACCGCCCGGTGCACATGAACAGTCCCACGGCCATCGTCAGCCTATTCTCACCACACCATTTTCCCAGTAATAACGTTCCCCCAGTATACACAAGCAGCGGGCCGGTTGGTTCTTAGACCTGTCAATCTCCTGCTGTAGGTCCTTGTCGACCAAAAATTGTTGGTGGTTGTGTCTTTTTTCTTTTTTTTTTTTTTTTCCTTTGGTGTAAATTCCCATCCTAGAGCATCCGCTGCTCTGGCAAGGCGAGCTCACCCTCACCTGCACTGACTCATTCTCGCTGAGTCGGATCGCAGCCTTGTTGGGCTGTCACTCCTGCTGAGCCGACAGGCAGCACCAGGAGCCTCAATCATCCTCCACCTGGGCCTGCTCTTCATTCTCACGATGTCGTCTCACTACTCCATAGCTACCTGTGTGCAGTGATTGCAGCCCGTTTTGACTGGATCTGGATTCTTCGCCCAGTCAACGCCGTCAAGATGGAGAAGCTCAACACCGAAGATGGCCAGCTCTTCATCAAGGTAAGTGGGAATTTTCCCTTCTCCTGTGACTCGGGCAGGACGGGTGACAACAGGTTTGGCTAACGTTTCTCGTGTGTTACTTGATTTCCTCCAGAACCTCGCCAGATTTGTACGCACTCATGAAAAAGCATTGGCCAATGCCCTTCAGATGAGACGCCAGACCTCGAAGAGCCTTGATTCTTCGATCTCCCCGCCGATCACCGGTCGACATGGCTCGTCCAGTCGTTCCGCTACCTCCTCTTCCTTAGCCGCCGTCTTCTCCCTGGGCTCCCTGAGCTTTACGTCTCACAATATCAAGCCCGCGAAGTTGACCCTCACCCCTCACCATGTTTTCTATCTTCTGTCGCGCTTCGAGGAGTTGTCCGTTCCCGTAGGTCCAATGAATATTCGTTTGGAGAATATCAACACAGAGGCCTCCTCGGCGTATGTTTCATTTTTAAACAAGCCGCGCCGGCCGAAGGGCGATAGAGACTCTATCCACTCCGTGTCAAGTGTCCGTAGTGTTCTGTCCGGCATGAGCGTGTTCTGGTCTTCCTTTGGCCTGGGATCCAAGGACTCTGTTTCCAAATCCGACAAGGCCAGGGCAGCGATCGAAAGTGACCTAAAGTACTTATATTCCGCGTTTACTAAAATCCCGTGTCTGAGGCTGGCTCCTGACCACCGTGCCCGCTTGATCCGTGGCTATGAAGAGTTCCCGTTTGACACCGCTGTTCCACTCCATGCCTTTAAAAACCTTGGTTCTCTGGAGATAATCGATGTTGATTTCCGTTCTTTCTATGGTTGGGACCGTTTGGCCGAACAGCTTAGGACCCTGACCCTTAAGCGCGCGAGCGTTGATGACGTTGGAGACTTGCTTACAGGAATTGTCTTGGACGATATTGACAAGCGGAGACGAAGGTCCACAAGGAATCCTCAGTCTCCTGTCAGTGGTGGCACAACTGCCAGTCCGGTTACGCAGCCAGAACCTGTGAGAGCATCCTCCGCTCCGGGATCCCCCGTCTCTGATCACAATTTCGGAAACCGTTCGAGTCCTAAATGTGGCTCTGCCATGGTTAGAGCAGGCTCTGCGGAGGGCCTCAAGCAGCGTCGAGAGGGGAGTGCGTCTCCTCCTCGGCCCCCCAGCTCGAGACGTCGCCACATTCGCGGAGCCTCGACGAAGATCAAGCGATCTGGCTCTGGAAGCTCGAATTCTAGTGAGTGCTCTACTGTGTATCGTCATCGGAGCATGTCGAACCTCCTAGCTGCCGGAATATTACCATCAACTAAATGGCGTTTCCTTCGACATCTCGGTCTGCCCGATAATTCGATGACTAGTATCACAGCTATAAGCCTCGCACCAGTTGCAAACACTCTACATTCTCTGGATCTGTCCTGGAACCTTTTCACCGAAGTGCCTGACAGTCTCTCGACGTTGGTGGCTCTCCGTTCGCTAAATCTATCTCACTGTATGATAGGATCTCTGCATTCTCTTTCACGAAATCCTCTTCCTGCAATCACGGCCTTGAATCTTCGTGCCAATCGCTTGCGATCTATTGCCGGTGTGGAACGCTTGCTCTCGTTAGAACGTCTTGATTTGCGAGAGAACAACATCCCCGATCCCACCGAGATGGCGAGGTTGACTTCTATTCCATATCTACGGGAGATTTGGGTCGCAGGAAACCCATTTACCAAATCACACTCCGATTACAGAGTTACTATCTTCAACCTATTCCGGCGCACCCCAGGATTCTCGGAAGATATCCTCATCGACGGTAGTGGGCCAACTTACTCCGAAAGGAAGAAGCTGGTTGAGCGAGTCGCAGAGCCTGAGAGCGCTCCTGTTATTAGACCCAACGAACAAGCCAACTCACGCGAAGACGATGTCCTGATCGCGGAACCTGTCATTACACAGTGTGCACAGCCCAAAGCGCTAGAGGAGAAGGCGACGAACCCCGCTTCCATACGCAAACAAGAACATGCGGTTGGATCGACTCGACGCAAGAAACCTCACAGACGGAGAATTGTTGATTTATCGCAGGACGAGAGCAGGGATACCCTGGCTTCAGAAATCGTCGAGCCAACCACTCCTAAATCGGAGTCGCCCTTCCAAGAGCGCCAAGACACACTTACACGCCCGGCTCTCCCGCGACTGAACACGGGCTCCGACTCCGTTTCGCCCGTGCTATCTAAAGTTGCAGGGGCGGGTAGCGCAGCGCATTTTCTTCCTGCTATCGAAGGTGTTGACTGGGATAGTAGTGGAGACATCTACCGCCAACGTTTAGAGGCTTTGAAACAAGAAGTCGGTACCAACTGGCTTACTGTTCTAGACGATGAGACTTGGGGCGGCAAGCAGAGGGATATTGGATTCCCCTCATCAGACGGCTCGGGTCTTCATCCTGTCGGCCCTATTCACCCTCATCGTATGACAGGGGCAACAGGCCACGCGATTGCTTCTAGTGGTCGAACACTGGGCTAAAACAAAAAGGCTCTTACGATTGTTCTTTTTACCCTTTCAGCGCGCTGGCTTTTTTCCAAAGTCATCGCCCCCCTTTTTTATTATTTCATCCTATCACTCGAGACGTGTTCTCAGTGATTGTACATGATTCATTCCATATTTGGATTTAGAAGAAAGTGTCAGAGGTGGGATGGCTTCTTCTGTCTTTTCAAAGACTAACCAAAAAGTAACGAAAGAAATGATTGTATGATGTGGGTGTGGATCTCTCGGTTTCCGGAAATTTTTATTTGGGTTCGGCTCTCTCCAATTTCTCCTTTTTTTTCCCTTTTTTTTTTTTTTTCCTTGGTTTATGCTGCATTTGTTTCTCCCCTTTTTGTTTAATTCGTTGTGCGGCTTTCCGCCTTTATACCATTTTGTTTTTTCCCTGCTTTTTGACTTTCATTGGCTTTTCTGTCGGAGTGCATTATTATGGGGTTATTTTTGCCTTTTCTTTTTTTTTCCCCTTTTTGGTTGTCTTTTAATGTTGAAGCGCGCTGCTATGTCAGTGTTTGCTTTCTATCCCACATAGTGGATAATCTCCCAGGCCTCTTATATCACATAGGACTGGTTGGAGGGGGAAGTGTACTGAGGAGAAGGTTTTACCAAAAAAGAAGTCTGGCCACTTGATGGCAGGTCCTTTCTGGGCTTTGAGGCTTGTATTATACTGACCTATGGGCGGCTTCTTCTGCTTGCTGGCGTTGTTTGTTGCATGGGGGCGTTGTCACTTCCTTTGCTTTTGCTTTTGCCTTTTTTCTTGTTTTTATCCAGATTATTGCGTTTCTCCCGTTTGAATGATACTGTGGATTTGGGACATCATGGCAGGTGGTGGATGGAATAATTGGCCGATCTAGCGTTCTAGAGCTGGGGGATACTGTCGACTGACTGGCTTTACATATATGTAGGTACGGGAATAAGTCTTTGGGGCCCTGGGTGGTGTTGACAATAAAAAAGATATTGTTTTATTGACTTACTTGTTGAGTCTGTGCATTGCTGCTTGAATTGAATCATAAGCGGACTACCATATCAGGAAGAAGTGGGTTTGTGGCTTGAAACTCCAAGCTGAAGCTGGACTACTAGGCGGGTTCGGGATGGTAATAGTGTGTAGCCACCCGCGTAGATGATCTACGGTGCTCGCCAGAAGCCCAATCAGAGGACAAAATGCTTTTGCCGAACTTACATATATAATGTACTCCGTACCCGGCGATAGTTACAATACGGTTCTCCGTCGTAGAAGTATGTGTGTACCATACTCTGTGCGTGCATTCGTAATGGTAGGGGAAAGACAAGTAAATCTACCTAACCTTTTTTAGCGAAACTTCAACCGTGTTCTCAACTACAGCAGGCCAACGTGAGTGACAGGAGACTCCCCAGCATGCATCGTGTCGTAACGGGCCCCGGAATATGGTACTCTCTGTCCTTGAGGTGGGGATAGCCGCCAACTATGGAGCTATTATGCTCTAGTACGTCGTGAGTGGTTCATATACCTGTCGTCATATTGCCCATATCCCCGGGAGCGTTGCTCGAAAAATTATGTCCGTGGCTTCGGATGCAAACATAAGAGTCGAGCCCAGACAGCCATCTACCGTAGCCGTCATCTGAATACCGGTTTCCGGGCGTTTGGACGTTGGGTGTTCGGTATCACAAAGAGGAAAGACGGGATCGACCGTTGCGCAAAGCTCCAATGGACTTTTAAAAAAACAACGCCCTCGGTGGGAATGGCGTCATAATCAAACTCAGACGCGCAATGGGAGCTCAGCCAGCCAGGCCGACGGTGACAACCGCTCATGACGACGAAAGCCCTGAAGGTTCATAGGATATCAAGAACCCCAATCACAGGTAGCGTCCAAATGCTAATTTGAAACTCTGCTTATCGAGCTTCCTAACCATGGTAGCCTGAGCGGCAAAAATTACTGGACCTTTTGGGATCCATGGCAAGTAAAGGCCAACTGTAGCTGAGGCTGAACCTTGTCGCTGGCATTCTCATAGACTGATCGAGATAGGAATCCAAAATAATAAGTATCATATTTGCCACCTTTCGAGCTTCTCTGTATCGAAAAAGATGGGTCTTTTTACTGGCTACTCCAAGCTCTGGATAGAAAGGCAGCGCATAAGCGACACATTTACATGCACTTTCGGCAGGGTCCAAGCAATCACATCGGCTATCTTTGCGGTGAACCTAGGTATCGAACCAGAAAAAGAGGTATGAAACCGCCGACAAACCTATGTACTCCATGCAGCGAAGCCCACGATTTGATCCCTTGGTTGCCTAGCAGACGAGCTGCGCCGCCGCCGGGTGGCTTTGCCTTCTTATCCTGCCCTCCGAAGCCTTGTGGGCCGCATTTTCATTGAATGAATGACGAGTACAGTGCTATTCCGTGCCAATCCCCGCCGTTGAAAGAGCGCAGATATATCTCTCTATAATCTTCGTCTTTGGAAAAGTGCACTGTAAAACATTACCAACCGCACGGGATTGCGACGAGTTGTATACACTTCAACTTGATAAGGATGGAGCCGCCAAATCTTGTAAGAAGGAGAGAGAGAAAACATCTTGGAAGCGGAGATTACGCATCCAAGTGCTGGAATGCTAAGGGAGCAGAATCGGGTTCCATGGTTTTCAAGTCGCTGGCGTTTACATTGAATAGATTCGAGGAGACATGGCATCATGTTCTCTGCAGGGATAGACGAAAGAGCTGACAGTCATATAAAGAGAATCTCGGATTTCTTTGTTGACCTTTGAAGAGGGCCGCCTTGTCGCTGCGTTCCTTGGTGAGTGTACGACCTCCCTGCGTGCTGGCCACTGGTAACAAAATAAATGACTACATAACTATGTAGTCTCAGCATCCTTGGACCTCAACCAGATCAGAATCATACTTAAATTGTGACCGTGAAATGTAGAAGGAGGACACATTGATCTCCACTCAAACAACCCCCTTTACTCCGTATCACATAGGCATTGGAAACGCGTGAAAGAGTTTTGGGGATTGTGACAGGTTTATATAATCAGCATTGCGTTGCCCCTGGAGACGGGCCCGGGGCGGGCAGCTGGTAAACAAAGGAACGCGACGATCGCAGTGTCGGAGACAACAGCTTGCGTGCATCGCCGATGAGACACACATGTACTCCGTATACTTGGATAATTTCTACTCTAATTGCTACTGCTGGTTTTTGAAACAGTATTCGAAATGCACAATTAATCAATATTTGTTACAGTGAATCCAGTGCCTCTATTCCGTGAGTCAGGACTTCAAGAACGACGTCTGTTCAAACTGGGAGACTTAAATCCGATAACTAGCCCAAAGCCGAGACGATACAACCCGTGCAGAAATTAGAACAATGCCTGCCTTTCGATACTCTGAAGCGGCGACGCCGTGTCCTGCAAACTGGAAGCACTCCAGGCCTTCGTTCGATATATACGATGACAACGACGACACTGTTCCGCTCGAATTTACTACAGATCTTCGTTCTGTTTCTACGTCAATACAGCAGCAACCGCGAAGGGTAAAAAGGGCAGCAACATTTAAAATACATGAAGACGGCCCCGGCGGTAAAGCTAGTGGACTTCCAACGGCGGCATGGCGGAAGACCACGGTAGGGAGAGGCGGCTCTTCGATGTTGAGTCAACCAGCTCAGAGATTACCGACAAAGCAGAAGGTTAGGCTTGCCGTTAGCCAATCACCAAGAGGCGATGAAAAGAAAACGGGAGGAGAGCGGCAGTCCTTGGTGCCGAAACAGCAAGCTTCTTCTCAGGTTAAGAAGCCCGTCTCCCATGACGGCCAAGATAAGGAGGTGGGAAAAATAGATCCATTGAAAAGAGATCGGAGGAGACAGACGATATACATACCACCTGAGGATACAACTATGCCAAGCATGTTCATGAGCATCTTTAGCCCTTTGAAAGTGGACATTGGCCAAGAAGACGAAGTCGATGCCTTTGAGGCACGAATTGCTAAGAGACGCAACCGAAAGAACTCGCCACCAAGAGAGCCTCAAAGAGCACCGTTGCAACAACCGTTGCACGTTGCGCAGGAATCTGCCATAAAGCAAGATATTGCAGGGTCAAACACTGGAAAAGAAAATGTCCCTCCCGGGCTATCACCGTGCGCCGAGTCCGGCTTCGATGTTTTTGATCTGTCGGACTTCAAACCACTTTCCGTTGAAAAGTTTGGAAAGAAGTCGCTATCTAATGTAACAGCGGGGAACCTAGATCCACCCCCACAGAAGAAGGCAATTGAGAGAGATAACAGGGTCTTGCGACCAAGTTGCCCAAACAGTCCCAGAACTCAGATATCGACTGGAAAGGCTACAAAATTGGGCGATAAACCTTTCGAAGAGGTTCCCAAAAAACGAAACGGCAAGCATATGAGCGGTATGGGTTCAGTGAGAAAGGCCTCGACCGATCCGGGTAAAATTTCAAGAAAATCCTCTTCAAAACAACAAGTTAAGGAAAGGCCACCGGTAAAGATTGCAGTCCCTCGCATTTTGAGCTTGGATATTGCGCAAAAATACCCAATAATTTCGGAGGACATATCAAATCCATATATGTATGAGGAGAACTGGCTTGCTCATCAGGAGATCGTGCTCACCCAGCTCGCAAATGCTCTTTTCGACTCGGGCCATTGTGCTGCAATTGCACAGGACGCTCAAAGCTTGCGCCATGAACTTCTTGAACATTATCAGGATGCGTATTTTTCTTTGCTTTACAAACGCGTACAGGCTTCCTTGCTGTACGGAGCCCTGCGTATTCCAAAGGATATCCTGAGCCGTGGGAATCGCCTCAGAGAAGACATAGGCATGCGCCGGAAATTTTTAAACCTCTGGCTTAGCACATATGATTTATCTGCTCTTCGAGCAGCTGCAGAGACGGTTATAGGAAGAAGGATCTCTATTCCAGTCGACTCCCCAGCTCAACCGAAAGCATCATCACAGAAAATACTCCGGCGATCAATGGAGAAATTTCTAGACACGTTCCTTATCAAGAACGAGGATTCAAACCCCATTGCACGGTCTGCGAAATCTAAGGAGAACGATGTGGAAGGGTCGCCCTTTTGCAAAACTTTGCTAAGGAGCATTATGATTATTCTACTCCTTGACAAGGCACGGATTGCACCAGGGACTTATTTGCCTCAATGCCTGTTCGTTACTTCTTCAGAGTATAAATCATCCGCGGCCTTGCTTCGGGCCCTGGGCAGCTTACTCCTTCCGACTGTGGGAGACATTGGACGAGCACTAAGCCATTTAGACTTCCAGGTCAGTTATGAACAATGCCGTCTTCAAGAACACCACTATCGAATTAAGAACCTTGCCGTTGATCTTCGAGATGGGATCCTTCTGACCAGGCTGGTCGAGTTGCTGCTATTCCAATTAGCTTCGGGTTGGAGTCAACAACAGAAATCAGAAAACACCACCACAGTTACCATGCCGACAGGGCAGGTTTTGTCTTTATTGCAAAGCGGAAACGAATGGCCGTTATCTCAACATTTAAAAATTCCCTGCGTCAGCAGAGCATCGAAGATTTTCAATGTCCAGATTGCTCTGAGCGCGCTCTCTGGAATCCGCGGCGTAGGTGTCATCGTGAAAGATATTCGCCCCGAAGATATTGTGGACGGATATCGTGAGAAAACGATTGCGCTACTATGGGGCCTTGTAGGTAAATGGGGCCTGCACGGCCTTCTTGACTGGGAAGACTTGAAAAGGGAAATATCTCGCCTCAAGACGAAGCTCAGTCAAATGCAACATGATAATCACGCCACCAGAGAAGAGGAGCAAGAAGAATTCGACAATGAACACGAAAGGGAAACATTTCTCTTAAGAAGTTGGGCATCATGTCTCGCAGGCCTCAAAGGGCTCCGCCTTGACAATATGACAACAAGTTTTGCCGATGGGAAGATATTTGAAAGCATTGTGGACGAGTATGAAGTTCTTATCAATCATGAGAGTACCATGGCAGAAGATATGGTCGAAGGACAGGAAGGCCAGAAATTCTCTTTGGCACAGAGACTTCATAGATTGGGCTGCAGTGCCCAGTTTGGTAAGTAGCAACACCCGCCCAGCAAGGCTCTTCGGCGCCCAGTGGCTCGCTGGAGACAGTAATGCTAAACCGTTTCGAATGTAGCGTCTCTGGTAGCTCCTTCAGATTTCTCGCCAATGCATGTATTCGATAAGGATTTCACGCTTGGAGCCCTGGCATTTCTATGCTCTCGCTTTCTATCTGCGTCGAAACGCGTTAGAGCAACTCTTGTCATTCAGTCTGCTTGGAGAAGTGTACTGAGCCAGCGAAAGAACTGATCATAGGGTAAAGGGAGACAGGGACAAGAAGAGAGCTGCAATACAGACTGGCTCTGGGCACTTTGGCTATTCTTGACGAGGTGTAAAGTTTTCTAATCATAGGGAAAACACACACTGTGTACATTCATTAAACACCCCACGGGCCACACTTTCATTCATTTCAGCATACACACTAACATATGAGTAAGATTATATGACCTTACCAACCTAATAATGTCGCATATCAGTCACGTTGATATAATACTCGTTCCAACAAGTCTGAACAAAGGAAACAGACTGTCAGCCACAAATCTGTTGCGACAGAGGAGATACTACTGAAGATTCAGGCCTGATTAATATGCAAGAGATGCTTTAGGCAGTGTAAAATTACTTAATCATGATCTGATAGCTCATCAATACTCCATAACCAGTTATTTTAAATATCTCATGAATTGTGTGAATCTTCTCCAGGCCAGCGAACAACATTAGTGTAGATCGTAGAGTAGCACCAAACTTGGGGAAAGGTAATGGTGTAACTGATCAAGAGAAAATAGGAGGAACAAACACTTTGTCAGTTATAAGACAGCATCGCATGTGACAGGAGCAGCAAAAGCACCAATGTAATGGCTGGAGGAACGGCACTTGTGGGCTATAAGATGGCATCAAAATTCAAGAAAAGGACAACTAGAAGAACAAGACGGGAGATAGGATATCATTGGACATATAACAGCAACATAACTGGGAAATGGTAGCAAAATCCATCAAGAGAAAAGTGTGATAAAGACATCACTTCATCAGCAGTAACCAAAACAGTATCAAGCTTGAGAAAGCATCACTTAACAAGAAGGCGGGAAACCATTCTCGCGGTAATCCCAATGGCTACAGAGGCGAACCCAGCAATGCCAATGAAATTGCCTACACTAATATTGCCACAAACTAATATTCTGGTCAGCTTTCCTAGGTTGAACTAGTGATTGGCAATGAAACATCAAAATTCTTACCATCACCGAAAGTCTTATTCTTTGCATTTCGCGGCTCGACAAACATCAGGCAGGATTTACCTTCCAGCAATTGTGAACAGGCACAGCACAACCCGGACGCAGCTTCTTTGCCACACTGACTCTTATCACCTTGAGCACTGTTGTGCTGCGCCGGCTCAATATGTGATTGCATGTTGAGCTCTGCACCACCCTCATCTACCTGCCTCATATTTGGCTGTGCATCATAAGGGCCAAACTCATAGATTATGCGGCGTAGATTCCCAGAAATATTGGAAGGAACGTAATTTTCGGCCATATGAGGCTGAAAATTCCCCTGCGGACCAGAGAAACCGACACGGACTTCAATTTCAGGTTGAGCCCCCCCGGAAGGAGATAGGTAATTGTTCTTGGTGTGAGTCGCTGGGTCTAAGAGACCTAAGCTACGAGAAGTCTTTTGCTTTTGTGGTCCCGATCTTTTCCTAGGAAGTTTCTTTGGCATTCCTCTATTTCGTAAAGGAACGCGCCTTTCACTATAACTAGATTAGTACTCCACACAAGCTCAGTGATAGTAATTCACATGAAGAGGACTAGATACATACACCTTTGAGAGGTCAGAAGAAAACGAACAATCAGTCTCGCTATCTGACCATGAATTTAATATCCGAGTGTGAGCTCTTTTCTGCTTTCGGTGGCGCAAATTCTTCCTATCTCTTTGGGGCATAACCCTTTCACGATAGATTGTTAATACTCCAGAGAAAGAGAGGGGGGAGTTGATACGTGCCAGGGTAAGAATGGAATAGTGCACAGGTATCAAGATACATACCCCTCGGAGGCATCTGAAGAAGAGAGTGAATGATCACTCCCAACGTAAGGGCCCCTCGGATCCTGCAGGACTGGAATGTGTGAAGTATTATGCTGTGAATATTTTAAGCGTCCCCTAGTTGATTTTTTGATAATTTCTCTATCTCTTCGGCTCAAAGCCCTGCCATCAAAAATTAGTGAGTATTCCGGATCCATGTAAGGGGTTTGTGAAAATAGTGAATGAGAGACACACGGGTTGGGGGGACCGAGAGGCGTTGGATTCAAGCTTTGGGATGAGTGACTCATCTGAACAAAAGGAGGCCCATTGAATCGAAATGGTTTGCGAGAAAGATTAGGTGATTCCTTTTTTAGGGGCAATCTGTCTATCTTTTGCGCGGCTCGGTGGGACACAGGTCTTTGACCAAAGCCATGGTTCCCGAGGCTGCGAGAAGGGAAGCCATCGGGGAGAGATCTTCCCTTGGGACTCGAAGAAGAATATAGGTATTTTCCTTCCCGGAGAGGCGGGGGCGTGTCGCGGAAGAAATCCGGTTGAGAATGGCCAGCATTGTGAAAAAGACCTCGCCTGAAACTCCGCGGAGGGGATTCACTGTTATCCTTACAATAATACTGATCGCGGAAACGTGTTCGCCCTCGTGGTTCTAAATATTCATTAACATATTCTTCTCGTGGTGGTATTTTGCTAAGGATAAATTAGCAACCGAAGAAGATCCAGATTCCGGAGGAGTTAAGTAGAATATAGAGTTGAACATACTCCTTTAAGCCGCAAGAACACGATGAACAAGTGGAAGAACGAGGAGGCGACGGCGCCTCCAAGCTTCCCGAGTACAATGACTCCATGCAGACATTTTTATCATCGTCCTCAGGGAGCTTGGTGATAGCCCGATCTTCAGAGTCTCGGGGCTCTGCTTCATGGCCTTCTCCGTCGACTTGTGACCCTTTATTGCTCCGGCAATTATTTTCGAGCTCTTCGAGCTTCGGTTCCATGTCTTCAGTCACAGCATAGATTTCTAGAGCCATGAGTGACGAGACTTCTGAGAGTGCTCAGTTGTGCAAGTGGAGTGGAAGCATGAGCGCTGTTAAACAGGACCAAAGCGGACCAATGTTGGACTGTTCTAATCAAGACGGCGATATCTTCAAATTTATCTCATCCAGAGTCGATTTCACTGTGCAACATTGGCACCGTGGGAGAATATACCCTGGAGTCCACCCAAGCGCCATGGTTGCAGGTGAGACAGCCTGGCGGAATCTCAGATGTCGCATTCAGTATCCAGAAATAGACCACAGGGAGCCAATCTCTCAGAGCCCTCCTGAATTGTTTCATTTGATATCTTTCTTGATTCTTTTGTGTCACTTATGGTGAGAGAGATCGCGAGTTGAAACGGAGATGGGATTTTGATTGGACGAAGAGCCTCCCAACCCTCAATGGGCGCTTCCATCGCGCGAATGAACTTGACATCACCGTTTGAACTAGTGAACTGCCCTCCCTGTCATCCATGACACCATTTTTCCTTTCCTTTTGAGATGCATGAAGCTATTTTCTAGCCTAGTTAACTCCGTACTTATTCGTCGGAACCATGAAATAGTTACTATTAGCCGCTTAGTTCGGTCGAATCATCGAGCCGCGATGATGATGATGCTGCGCATGAAGTCAATTATAGAAAATTACCAGCTCCCTTTTGCGGGAACGAATGCTTGGAGGTAAATGCGGACCCAAAAGAGGGTGGGCACATTATTGTAGCCGCCATCTTGGGCATCCTGGAAGTCATGTTCAAGATGCAATGGGGGGTTAACGGAAGATAATTCGTCCTTTGGTCCTACTGAAGACCAGGTTGGGATGGCAATGGGAAGCGGGCCCAACTGGCAGGACAGATAAGGGTTCCTACATCAACTATCTGGCGATAGTAAAGGTACTCAGCTTGCTCGTCTCAGTGCCGGGTTGATCTCGTTGGAAATCCCTATACCGTCCTAGTCCTAATGAAGTTCAAGTTCATACGTGCATGAAAGAGGTAGATTCTTCCAGCGAGGGATACCCCGTGCATAGTCTTACCAGGCAAGCATACCTTTTCAGGCTCTTTGCCTGATACATTCTAAGACATCTTTGACCAAAGAGAGAGTGAATAAAATAATGGGCTTGAATGTCATATCGAAACATAATACGGCGCGAGAATCAAGGGCATACGTTTAGCCGTGTCCATCCTAGTTTTGGTTCTGCCCTAGATGTCGAGTCCAACCACGAGCTCACACGCACAGTCGAAAGAATATCGATATCATTGCCTCGGTGATCAATGTTTGTTTTGCTTCGAATGCACTCATTGCCGGACATAACCGTTACATAGCTGCAAAAAGTCACTCCAGTCCAAAACTGCTGGAGCAGTAACTAGCTTCTTTGGGAACGGAATGAAGAAAAAAAAAAAAGGAGGAAAGAGAGAAACGCGGGTGAGGAAGCTCTCTTTGTTTCGATATGCTCATGGTATGTATGGATGGATAGGTAAAAAGAATGGACTGGAATGACACGCCATTCTAGGGTAGAAAAGCCGGACATTTGAAAGGCGGACTAATGTTCTTCCTTGCCGCTACTATTCTGGGGGTCTTGGCCAACTAGCCTAGTTCGGTTAGTGTAGCAACTGCGGCAGAACGGGAAGTCGATCCGCCAAACTTATCATATGTACGGAGTAGGTGAGTCGTCGTCCTCGCTGCCACGCAGTTCGGCTTTCGGGGACGATGGTGGTGAGCGGGCAGCTGCCAGTGACCAGGGATCCGACCACCACTGACCGCTCACGCTTGTCCCACCCTTGCAAAGTTGTCTCCCAGAATCCTCAAGCAGCGTTCGATGTTTTGTGTTGCTTACGCGAAGGCCAGTTCCTTTTTTTTTTTTTTTTTTTTTGGCTTCCAGGGTTGCTTGGCCATGCGAAACATGCAGGATTTGCGGTACAAATTGGAAATCTGACTAGGGCGGCATCTGTGAACGGGGAAAAAAAAAAGGTTCTTTACTCCATACCAAACATTCATTCTTAAAGACGCGTACTACGTACTGGTGGAGGGGAGAGGAGAAGCTCCGTTCTCTGAAGGTGATTCCAAAAAAAAAATTTCGTGTGGGCATCGTAAATAAGGGGATCGTCGGGTTCAACCCGGTAGCGCGCGATATTTATCCAAGCGGGGTCGTCATGAGAAACGGGACGAGACCCGTTAGAAGAGTCGGGAGTGGTGGTGGGCTCTTCATTATGTACTGTGTGTTTTGAGACCCAGCTTCTGGAACTTAGCAATAATATAAGCTACAGCCTGCGCCGTGGCAGATGGGTTACACAGCATAGCCCTTCTCGAGGAGGGGAGAAAAAAAAAAAAAAAAAAAAAAGGTGTTGACGAAAGGTGTCACAAGCCATGCATTATGCGTCATTGGCGGGATTTGCGACGGTGACTTCGTCTGGTGCCTTCTACGGAGTACGGAGGTTTTGTGCGGGATACTCAGTACATGTAGAGTACAGAGGATAGATGAGTGTTGGCGGGTGTGTACTGCGTAGTGCAAAGATAAATTTCAGCTCGGGTCAAAGCACACCAGACCGGCTCGGTTGATGCAGGCCTTTGGGCCAGTTATCTGACGTCCCTTTGGTGCATGGCTTTTGTCGGGGTCGCTGTCCAAAGGCGGAGACGATGGAGCTAGGTAATTTGTCGGAGATGCAGTGGTCAAGTGCAGATGAATATCAGTGCCTTTAGAGGATGTCCGACGCGAGCAAAAAGTAACAAGTTTGGGCGACGAAGCACCGGCGTCGACCAACGGTAAAATATGAAATGGAGCGACGGGTGAATTCTGAAATATGTAAAAACTTTGTTAAGATTTGCAGGTCCTTTCTGGAACTTGTGATTGATTTCGAACGTCCCATGGTTTTCCTTGCGTCTGACGTTTTTGTTCGCTGCGGTTCCCAGCTAAGGCACCGCCGATGGAACCGGCTCGATACGGCACTTCGGCGCTGGAGTGTAATATTTCCCGCGGCCGGCCAATGGGGGTGCTCGAGGTGGTGGTTGTTTCGTAAGGGGTCTGTAAAAAACCGAAATCTTTCATGTTCAGGGCCGGTATCGAGGCTGGCAGAAAAGCCCTAAACTATGCCTAACTAAGGGCGTGTTCCAGGGCCCAGTGCCTAATCTGCGCCCGCCCACTGGCCCTTTCAGGCTTTGCCCTCCGCCCGCCAGCAGGCACGTAACTTACCGGGCCAGGTTTGTCATCATGACCTCTCTCATCTCTCCCTCTTTTTGATGAAAGGTCCTCCTTCGCCCCCCCACAACGCATCTCCCTTCAAATCACCAGTTCCCACATGTTAACAAAGTTATCGCCGAATTTTCCAACTCAAAACATTACTTTCCTCCCTCTCTCCCTCCCCTTGTCTCGTTGTCGCAAAGACCCTCCTGCCCTGATGCTGGTCGATCTATCGTGCCTCATCCTCATTTCCCACACCACAGTGTAAACCTTACCGTTTGGCAGGAGACATTCGCCCTCCATTCGCCCTGCGTATCCGGGGGCTCTCGAGGATCGAATAAGCAATTCTTTCAGCCTTCGCCGCCTCCTTTTCTTCTTCCTCCCGTCGTCTCTTGTTGGCTCCCTCGTATATCACTCTCGTCTTTGTCTAACGCACCCTCCCTACCAGACACTCTGCGTCTTTGCCTGCGAGCAGGACACGAAACAACCACATTCAACATCTCCTCCTCGGCCTGCGTCGTTTTCTTTCTCACCATGCTGTCCATCCAGTCGTTATGACAATAAACGTCCTGATGGACACCAACCTTATACTCGTTTGATCTCGATTTGATCCCACCAGCCTTGCTTCTCTGAGGATTTCTCGAATTCTCGCTGGGACGCCTTGACGATTCATTTTGATCCATACAGCCGCTCGATTCTAAACCGAAATCTTAACTTCGACTTTGCACGCTTACACCCTTCAACCGATTGCCTTTGTTTCTTCTGGGTGGCGCACTCGAATTGGTGGCTCCTTTGTCTTTTCGTAATCCCTTTCGGATACGCGTTCATAGAGAGTCCCGTCGTTGTTCTTTGCTGGGAAGACCGTTCTAGATTTTCGGCATTTAACGAGTTCTCTATTGACGGCACCGATCTCTTCAAGTCTTCTCTTTCTGCATCAAGTTTCGTCCTTCTACGATACCCATGCCTATTATTCCTGTCGATATGTTACAAATATCAAATGCTACCAATACTCCTGCGATCGATGGTGATGAGGTGCCTGCTGAACCCGATGAACCGCCAGATCATCGCGATTCGAGATCCAGACCTTCCTTGATCACGACCCGTTCTGCGACCCTCCCCCCTCCGGCATATGCCAAGACCAAGACCATCAGCGTGGATGTGAAGAAGCCAGAATCGCTCCTCACTCGAGCTCTGCTGAGCAGTCCAGAGCTGACCCCTGTCGAGCCATCTCCAGCAAATCTGCAGCCAATCACGGAGCTGAGTGGGCTGACCACCTCTTCCGCCGTATCGAATCGCAGCCTTCCCTCCACAGCCGAGTTGACCAGTGATAGCGAGACCACCAGCCCTCTTCGTTCCAACACGCCGAGTCCGCCTTTGCAATATAACCGGTTGCCGCGGATTGATAACCATGTCAATATTCACAAGGGGTCAGCTGACGTTGGCGAATTGCAGGTGGAAGCGAGCTTGGGCCGCAAACGCTGCATAACTTTTGCTTGCGGTGGAAGGCTCCTCGAGGAAGAAAAGAAAGCGTCCAGCGAGCCTATGAAGGAGACGCCCAAGGTGGAACCCGCGAAACGAAAGTCAGCTCTTACGTTTGTTTGTCCTGTGCGTCCATCTGGTTCCGATGGAGAGGTTCAAAAGGACGGTGCTGCGAGCCGCAGGATTCTCCCAGGTTCCCGAGCTAGTCGATCTCCGGCGCCTCCAACGCTACGCAAGGCTAGCCAGGTATCCATAGTTCCTTCTGAGCAGAAAAACCTTTATGCTGAGGCCAGCCCTGAAAAGACCAGTTCTACAATCCAAGAGAAAGCGAAGGATACGTTAGAGCTTTCAGATGCTGTGCGCTACCATGAGTTCGGCAGCGAATCGGATGAGGATGACTGGATGAACCAGGCCACTGACTATGAGCGGAAGATCACCATGAATGACTGCATGAGAAAGGAGATTGCGATCCGGAAACTCGGTGAAGAGGTAGAGGAAGAGGATAGACAAGCGGAAGATAATGACAACGAAGATGAAGACGAAGAAGATGATGACGATGATGATGACAACAATGACGACGACGACGTGGATGTGGATGTGGATGTGGATGTGGATGAAGATGGTGATGACGGTGATGATGAGTCTACTGTGCAAGATGGTGATGAGCCGGATGATGGGAACGAGTCTGATAATGAAGCTGGATTCGCGTCTTCTGACGAAAGTGACGATTCCGGAGAGTACGGGTTTTGGACCCCTAAGGTCGCATCTGGCGGAGCTACTGACCAGCATGGCCTCAGCCGAGGCATCTCCAGACGGGATTCAAATACGTCCGTCGAGTCCCACAGCCAGAGACGTAGCAAGCCTATCAAGCTCCCCAAATTTCGCCCAGGTACCCCTACACTGCCTGACAGCACAGATTTCGTGTGCGGCACCTTGGACGAGGATAGACCTCTAGAAGCAGCCTACATTTCATGCATGGAAGAACGTCGCCGCTCGAAGCACATTCCAATTCCCCAGGATATTGACCCAAGCTTCCCTACCTCAGATCCAGAGGATGAGGATGATGACAACCTAGAAGGCGGTTCCGCTACCAGTGCTAGACCGCATGGCCGGGGCTCGGGCCCTTTTCAAGGATTCGATGAAGAGTGCTTGCGTGGAAGATCCAAAGGACCTGCCAGCCGCACAAGTCCGAATCACTCACCGAAACGTCTGCAATCTCCGCCTCCCCGTCGTCTGTTCGGTCGTTCACCCAAACGTCTGAGGTCACCGCCTCCTGCACGGCTGAGATCACCTCCTCCAACACGTCGCACATCTGTCACGCAAGCATCAGGGAGCGGCGCTTGCCGCGTGCATTTCACCGGTCTCGCTCAACGACCACACCGGATTCGGACTTCGTCGCTTCCTCGTACTCCAAATCCTTACTTTGCCCGTCTTGCCCAGCATCGTCTATCCTCTAGGACATCCTCGTCTTCCCCTGTTCGCGCTTCACGTCGCCGTAAGAAACACACCCGCGGACCGATCGACATCGTTGCTGGTCTCGAAAAGAAGCGGGAGAAGCGAAAAGAGAAATTCTGGCGCCAGCATTGTCGCAAAGCAGCCAAGGAGCAGCTGGAGCGGAAACGGCCTCTGTGTGGCAAAGGCGCAGAACGTATGAGAGAGCTTGGCCTTGAAGTTGCGGAGCGGTTCAAAGCCTACAACGTTATCCAAGATGCTCAGCTCGTCTTATCCGTCTGAATCTTTGATGTGCCTTCGAAAAGAGCCATGTCTCTGCATCCGGCCAAAAGTAAATAAAACAAAAAAGAAAAGAAAATCGCAATGACCGGCCAGAGTTAACTTCTCTCCGCGGGAACAATTGGCGCTACTTTACAGATTCACTTCTTTCTTTAACCTTGCCTTTTCTTGTACATACTCCCCCCTTCCTCCTCCTTTTCTTTTTTTCCTAGTCGCGAGATATACAGCCTTGCATCCTTTTCTCTTTTATTCCCTTTGCTCTCTTTTTTTTCCTTTTTTTTTTTAAATGCAGAGGCTCTGTATTCCTTTTTAATACTAGGTTTGGCTTGGGAACGCGATACCTTCTCGGCACTGAGGCAGAGGGCTTTGCTAGTCTACAGGTTTAAATGGGGGAAAGGGGGATTGTCTACTTGATGGTTTTGCCGATGCTCTTGATAAAGATTGCTTTTATCCTCCTTTTTAAAGTCTGGAAGGTTTCGTTGAATGCGAAAATATTATATTTGTAGGTAGCCGCCGAGCGAATGCATACATAAACACGCAGAACTGGTCGATTTACATACCAACTGTGGTACTTGATGTTGCACTCTCTAAGCTCCTGGGAGATGGTCAAGGAGAGATATGAAATTATTGCTCAGCCACAATGCTTGTCAAGTTGACTTTGATTGATATTAAATAAAAGACCAGAAGGTGAACTATCATCACTTCGTGAAGCCACTGGGGCAGTGCCCACTGTGCAACTTGCCCAGACCCAAGGGTTATCCAGGAAATCCAGATGTATGAGATGGGAGATGGAAACAGAGCACTTTCAAATGTCAAGGTAAATCTGGTAATAATACCATCCCGGTAATTGATAGACTGCCTGATAAGGTGCTGGAATTGGGTACAGGCTTAAGAACGGGACATAACAAACTATTTAGCACCTTCTACCTGTGAGATTGTGAGTGGTGGAAGTGTAGCAGTTCAAGTCTCCAGTGCTTTTGAACTAAAATCTACGGAGTATATAAGTGATAATAATGATATGTGATTTTTGGCTCAAGTCAAGCATCTGCCAAGACAAATCTTACATCAGCAGCCAGCCCGACAGACGCATATCTGGCTAGGTCTTTTCCAGACTAGCGTCTCTCTTGATGAACTGACCAAGTTATCTTCCCCAGTTAACCTCTCCGACGACGAACGACGACAACAACAGCAGCCATTCCCTCCTCCCTACATTTCTAACTCTTATTGATACAAGTGGCTTTGAGCATATCCTGAGGAAAAACCGCTAGTGTTATAGTTAAGCCTTACATTGGCAAGCTTTCACAATGTGGATCATCAACTGGTGTAAGTACCCGAGCTCCCTCGCTCCCACACACTCTCCCCCGGCTTTTCCTATGTATCATTCCAGCTGTGTTTCCATTCATTATTGTCTCCTGCATTTAAATGAGAGAGCCAGCTTCTGGAGCTGTCCTATGTCCCTTAGCGCAGTTACGTGTTTAAACTTCTTCTACCTTTGTTGCAGACCATGTTTAGCTGACTCATGTGGTTTCTGTGCGTGACACTATTGAATAGTCTATGATATTCTCGCCTCCCTTGGTTTGTTAAACAAACATGCCAAATTGCTTTTCCTTGGGCTGGACAATGCTGGAAAGTCTACTTTATTGCAGATGTTGAAGGTATGTAGTGATTGATATTTTGCCCCTGTTGAAGTGTGGCAGTCATCTTGGTGCGCACAATGGGTTGCTAGGATTTGACCTGCTAGCAAGTGATGTGGACCATATGCTGACTATGGAAACCTTTACGATACAGAATGGCAGAGTCGCCCTCTTGCAGCCAACCGCACACCCGAGTACGTATTTCAGGATCTAATTTGCTTGGATGTTAAGCTGTCTATTGCGCTCTGCGAAGGAATAATTTTTGGAGGGAAGGGAAAGAAGATGAGGAGTTTTGTTGTGGCAGCAGCTGATCCCCAGTTTTTTGATTAGCTTCGGAGGAGCTCTCGATCGGAAACAACACGTTCACGACCTTTGATTTGGGTGGTCACATCCAGGGTAAGCGGTTGTTAAATTTGATATCCCATAGGCTGAGGTATTGACTTGTGATATAGCTCGTCGCCTCTGGAAGGATTATTTCCCTGAAGTCAACGGGATCGTTTTCATGGTTGATGCCGTCGACTACGAGCGTTTCCCCGAAGCCAAAGCCGAACTCGATGCCCTTCTCGCTATGGAAGAACTTGGCAAGGTTCCTTTCTTAGTTCTTGGTAACAAGATTGATAACCCATCAGCCGTGTCTGAAGATCAACTCCGAGCTGCTTTGGGATTGTTCCAAACAACGGGCAAAGGAAAAGTTCCGCTGGAGGGAATAAGGCCCATTGAAGTGTTCATGTGTACCATTATCGGACGATCTGGTAAGATGTGATATTCTCGCTCTTCAATCAGAAATAAAATTCTAACCGCTTTTTCCGATCATCTAGGTTATGGCGAGGGTATCAGATGGCTATCACAATACGTTTAATTATGGAATGGAGCTCTTCCACATGATGATGCTTGCTTACATGTCATCGACGACCGTGCTTATGGCCCCTTTTTTCGATGAGAAATTCAACCCCCACCCTGGCTCTCTGCCAGTCACCACCAACCTGACGCTTGGGGTTAACTCGGCTTCTACCTATCTGTCTCACTATTAACGATCACCTCCCATCTCGAGATTATTTCCCCACTTCCCTTTTTTTACCCGTCAGAAGCTTTCTGGAGTTTGTTATTTCTAGTTAGTTATTGGATCCGATCAGAATTCTTTTTACCCCTTCATTTTGGGGACGTCTTTTCTCCTCTCGCTGATCCCATATTCATTTTAGCTAGCTTTCCTATTTTTTTCCCCTTGTATTAAAGGCATTCAGCGCTGCGCGACCCCAAAAGCACAGAACAAAGACAAGTTGCATTTAGGGTGACAGGAGAGAATCCTAACATAGGTCGAACTGAACTAATTAAATTGAAGCAGTTCCCACAAGAAATCCCCCTTTTCTGTGACTCCTATTTCCTAACATCTTGTCACAGTTTATTGTTTTGATTTTTGATAGTTTAATCTTTCCATTGTTTTGAAACCTGGTTCCGGCATCATGTATAGACTAAAACATGGCCAGTGCTCGTGGCGCGCGATATCTTGCAGTTCTCCGTTTTCATAATTTTTAATCTCTATAGAGAGGGAAAAAGAAAGGGCGTTTTGCTACGAGGATTTACCTGCTTTTAAGTTCCACTTTAAAAGTATGACGTCAAGCTTCGACATGGCTGGAGAGGGGCGGAGCGGAGCGGAGCGGATAACAAGGGAAGTTCAGGACATAAATGGCGCTTCCACGACTATTCCTTGAATTCAAGTTGGAACTTGTCTTTAGCCCCATGCCATAGGAGAATCATAACATTGCCTAGTGAGAAACCCCAAAAAAGATTCATGAGAGTAAGCATAAATCATGGCAAACTGGCTAGAGGTGCTTTAACTCGCCAAAAAAAGAAAAAAAGAGGAGGAAATTCTAATAGACCCTGCAAGCCTGCCCCAACGAGTTATATAAATAGGCACATACGGGATAGACCGGCGAAGAGGGAAAAGGTGAAGCGATTAGCGATGGGCGGCGTCTGAATAGGCGAGGAACCACTGATGCTTTGCATTGAGGAAGAGAATATCTAAGTCAGCTCGTGTAGACTTATCATACGCCTGGGGTCAAAAGCCTTGACGGATCTCGTTAAACCCATAAGCCCCTGTCCGTTCTACCCCCAACCTCGCCCTCATCTGCTGTGTTTTCCCACCCTCCGGGCAAAGACAAAGAAAGAGATGAAAGGGGCAAGGAGAATCAAGTATCACTGCTCATACATTGCTATCGCATAAACTAAGTAATAAGCGAGGAAAGAAGAGGCGGGGAAAAAGAAAAAGAAGAAGAGTAAAAACAGTCAAAGTTAAAAGGACGACCTTGTTTTCGCATTAAAATGATCACACCACCTACACTCCCTCAGATACCGATGCGAAAAAGAGAAGAGCAACCTTCTTTCCACTCCGGCAAAAGAGGGGAAATCGGGGAGTAAAGAAAAATAAGAAAATTACACCAAAGGACATTGACAGGACAATTGAAGGGAAAAAAAGGGAAGCAAGGTCCAACACTCGTCGAATTAAAAGCACCAAGTAATTGTCGTCGAGCGGTCGGAAGGTATCGAATTGTTTAAGATGGATTTGGCGGTGGGAGATATCGGGTTGGAATCAGCGACAAGGGCGTAATGGGAGTGCGAAACGGTGTTGTGAATTATGCGGACAAGACGGGGATTTCTAGTACCGTGGAAACCCGATTGGGAGGGCTTGGATCGCTGGGAATATTGACAAGAGATATTATCTCCGTCCGAACCTGTTACACATGGAGGAGTTCGTATGATTTCTACTTCTTTTTCTGTTTCCTAGGGGGAGTGGTGGGTCTGCCTGTGCTGATGCCCCCGTAGACGTACTTTTGTTTCTTTTCCGCTGGTTTCAAAATCTGGAACGCGACTTTATGTTAGTTTTGTGCCAGAAAACTTTAGATATATCCAGATATGAAGACATACTTGGAATGAACAGAGAAGGCTTTCATCAACACTCATCATGGCTCCAGCGTTATCAAATTCCCCGCAATAATTCGGAGCGCTAAAAAGTGTGACCAGCTGACGTTTGGAAAAGAATTCGTATCCGTCTTCGACTACTTGGTGAGCACGGCATATAAGGTCCATGTCATGTTTCTGCAAGAACCTTGAAACCACGTCTGGTCCAAAGGTGAACGATACCCCCCGGTCATTTTCGCTCCAGCCTGTAATGTCTTTATCGGGATCAGACCAGAGAAGGTCGCAGAGAAGGCCACAATCCGGAATCTATTCGCAACATTGAGTTAATAACCCGGGCCTTAAGCGGCTCATAGCAAACGGACAAGTAGGATCCGACATGATTTTGCGCATTCCAACAAAGGACGGATAACTCACATCTGTAGGGCGCATGACGCGTCGAATTTGTTCCATCGAGTTCAAATCAGGGCTCAACCCGCCATGCATTGTGAAAATCTTCTCGTCAATAATAGCAGCAATGGGCAAGCAATTGAAACAATCGGTGAAAGTCTTCCACAGCTTGATATTATATCTTCGTTTGCATTCGTCATAGAATCCATAAATACGGTTGATGGATGCACACTCATGGTTGCCGCGTAGGACGAAAAAGTTTTCGGGATACTTAATCTTGTATGCAAGGAGAAGGCAGATTGTTTCTAGCGATTGTTTACCTCTGTCAACATAGTCGCCTAGAAAGAGGTAGTTGGCTTCTGGGGGGAAACCGCCATATTCAAACAGGCGCAAAAGATCGTAGTATTGGCCGTGGATGTCGCCGCAAATCTAATGCAAGAAAGGCAGTGTTAGCGAGCAAGGGATGAGGCAGCGAGGACCCCATCCACTGGTGGATGATGGCGGAGGACAAACAACCATACCTTAATTGGCGCTTCTAGCTCTAAGAGTATAGGCTGCGAGATGAAAATTTCCCGGGCTTTTGTGCAGAGATGTCGAATCTCGGATTCCAGCAGCTGAACTTGCTTGCCAGGGCGACTACCCCTCACCTCCAACAATCTATCTATGATAGAGTCCAAATCGATCTCATTTTGGTCAGCCATTTCTTGCCGCGACTAGCAGCAAGCTCAAGGCGGGGGGAATGGACAGAAAAGAAAAGAAAGACGGGGAAACCGAGACGAAGGATTCGCGGCGGCGGGAGAAACGAGCGGAGGAGGGATGGGGGGGGGAAAAATTAAAGTAGGATTCAGGTCGAGCTGCAGAGTATGCGAGCCGTCGACTGCTCTCACGCGAGCTCCTTCGGTGGTTTTTATGTGATTGGGCAAGGAATTCACTTCAGCTGCCTTATAACCGTGAGAAAAGCAAGATCCACGGCGTCATTAACAATAGACCACCGGTCCGATTCTCAGCTGGCGCAAGGAAAGATGCAAAACCAGTAGAGGGGAGCGACGGGGGCACGGCAGCTGAGTGCTGGTCGAGGATCGGACCGTGATATGGGGACAACGGAAAAACGTAAGCCAGACGACGGTGACTGAGGTGGGAGGGCCAAGTTTGGGAGATCAAAACAACACTGAGAGTAGAGCTCGGTTGATCGGCGGGTGAGAATGACAATACGGCAACTAGTACCCAATGAATAGAGTATGGAGGATTCAACTGCACGAGAGACGGGCAAGCTTTCGGGCTGGTGGGCTGGTGGGCGTTGAGATCACTATCATGAGATTCTGTTGTTGGATCATGAGCGAAGAAGAGAAGTTTGCAGGCAAGAGGCTAGCGTTTAGTTTACGGTACCGTACGATACGAGGACGTTGCTTAGTCATATATTAACCGGTCTTGGCATCATTTTCCACTTCTCGGGCGGCGAGCGGAATACAGCAGGGAGCGAGCCCGACGACGGAGGCAAGGCCGAGGCGCCTTGGTGATGTGGGTAGGAAAACGAAGAGGAAGGCTGCAGAGCCACAGTGCGATCCGCCCTATTGGAATGGGCATGAACTACATGACGCTCTCGCGAAAGTTCCACGAGGGACCGTACCATGGTGTCTCGTTTCTGGCCAATAATACGGAGTACGAGGTACAAAGTTGTTACTGAAAATAGTTTCTGAACGGCCAATCCCGCTGAAGACATGGCGTTTGTCCGACCGCCTTGTGTGGTCTCGAATGGGAGCGAGCATTGCTCCGTACAGAGGATAGGCTGAAAGGGCAGCCATTTTTCCCCACGGGTCAATACGACAATGACTGTGTCACTGGCACTCTCGTCCTCCCGATGTCAGACCGCCACTACACGAAGTGTTCGGCTTGTGTTAGTGAAGTTTATCCAGGGTTCGTCTGTGTGAGCTGGAAGCCTGGAGCTCGAGGATTCCTCAGGGAGAGTGAAAATATATCATGTAACTTTTTGCTGATGAGAAGCCGGTTATCTACACCTGCAACATACACCGGTTTGACCTCCATCCTAGCACTGGATGGAAAAGTCCTGACCACAGTGGGTTATTTTCATGCTTGACGGTCTTCTCCTATGTATGAATTGTGTTATCCTAGCCGGTACATTTATATCCCCATTGCCCCTCTAGCACGCATACTGGAGGATACAAAAAGAATTCAATAAAGGTTGGCTTGAAGTCGGCGTTGCTAAATACAAAGACTCAATGGCCCCGGAAATGGGAGTTGTTCCTTTGCTATCCTCATCTCCATGAAACACGGTCAACAATGCAAGATACTCCCTCATTAATTCCATGTTGCAAGGGGCCCTTCATCTGGTGTTGATGGAGATAAAGAAGGGAAAAACAGATGAGTGTAGCATGACATCTTGAAACAAATGAAGCACTACGCGAAGCGCATGATGTTAGATGCCAAGGTAAAGGCATGTTTCGAACTTGAGAGGAGCGTTGAAGGTACAGTACTCCGCACATGCGTCAGTTATCTTCTCCTTTTTTTTCCCCCCCAAGCACAGAGAGATTTTCGCTTGCTCCTCCAACCATGGTCAGATTCGATGTATGACTAGAAGTGATGATTGTGAGTAGAGCTGGACTTTCAAGTACTGTTGGAAAATGTGTTAAGGGTGTTTTCAGAGTGCGAGAGAGTTGATTTTTGTCTTGACACTCTGTGGCTGTCCAAAGAGCATCAACATGTGTTTATTTACTTGTCCTGCGCGTGGCCGAGTTCATACGCACATACATCTGTTGCAGGCGCTTGCATGGCGATCACTCGATTTAATTCGCTCGGAGCAGATCCAGGAGGTCGTTAACGATCGAGCACTCTAAACAGAGTACAATCAATCTATCACGCTGGGCTCCGGAATATATAGAGTGAAATGCGCGGTTACTGAGCACCTAGAATTTCATTGTGAATATGGGCGGGGAATTATCTCATCTGGTCTTCTCTGGGCGCTCAAAATAGGGTGTCTTTCAACCGGCAATTTGGGTTAGTCATGTTGGAGCTGCCATGTACGGAGTAGTTACGTAGCTAAATATGGCCAGTAAGGAGTACTCCGTACGTAGTAACTAATCAGCGCCGACAATCGACTATCAATGAATTTAACCGCTTGCTTGTGAATTCACCGCTCGACTTCAAGAGCGGAGAAATCACGCTCAATTCTTATTTAGCCCCCATCTTGACTCTGTAAATACCGCTTCATACTATCCAATATGTCAGCCCGCGGTTCTCTTGCCAGTTTCCCAATGATCTGTGTCTGAACTTGTGTTCCACCCTGAGACCCTCAACCCCCTGAAGACGAACAAATGAGATGACCATCGGTTATGGAGACCTTTGTCCATGAGGATTCGCCACTGGCCGATTATCTCGAAGGTACATCCAGCAACTCTTGTTCCCACAGCAGGGTACTCGCTGACAGCGCTGCTCTTTTTCCTATTCTAGGTTCGGGTGAAGCGCGGTCGGATTGGGATCCCCAGGATATAACATCGCCATCGCAGGAGCCCCTTGACACTTCTCCTCGAAACTTCGCACCGACAGGAGGCACGAAACTCCAAGACCGAATACGGAGCAAACTTCCGGCCCCTTTGCGCTTGAAACATTCGAACAAACGGGAGGCTTTGGCAAGAGTTCAGGAGGCCTGTGTTGTACGTCGTCGTCAAGAACATTGCGTTTAGTCGTGGACTCTTTCTCACCGATTTCTAGGCCGCTCTAAGCGCAGGGATCGGGAAGAGCGATAATGAGAGGTTTCTTGAGCAGTTCGGATATATTGTCGTCGCCTCGCAGCTCCTCAATGAACCAACCCCACCATCATACAGCTCGATAACAGGAGCAGTGACGCAGAGTGCAAAAAGCACCGAAGGACAGCCTACCTCTCAGCCCGTCGTGTTCGACCTCTATGGTGCCGTATTCTCTGCCCTCGCCTCATTCTCTGTCGTTTGGCTTTTCCATGCGACCCGCCCCCGCCATGGCACAGGATGGAATATTAAGAGAATTTTCGTATTTGTTTTCTTTTTTGCAGCAGTTGCTGTATCGTTTTACATATTTGCTAGGCGGCAATGGCTAAAATACATCCGGCATGAGGCGCTCAACGTTGCAACGGTCCTTGTTGGGAATTCCCAAAATTTTGACTCCGTGGTGGCTGCCTCTGTTCTATTGATCCAGGAAGTCGAGCTCGTATCTCGAGGATACCGACTGTTCGTGATTTCGATCCTTACATTCCCCTTTCATTCTTGCTAACCATCTGATAGAAGTACCCCCATGCCGCCAGTAACCCGTTTAGAAGACCAAACCCAGGCCCGACGGTGCCTCAAACTGCGCCGCGTTCTGTCCAAATATATGAGCGAGTTGTTGGGACAATATCTCGTGGCGAAAAAGAAACTGCGACTGTATGCTGATGATACTAACCTAGGAAAGTATTACGATATCTACGATTTTTCTCCAGAGGAATTGGACGAAGCAGAGTTATCTTTGACGGACTCCAGCCCTGAGGATAAAGCATCCTTGAGGTCGCTCCGGATTCTGTTTACCCGCCTCTATGCAGTTAGAAAGAGCATGCTATGTTGTTTGCTTGCGCTGCCAGCAGATGGCACACGACTGGACGCTAAGAGATGGAGTGTTGCCATTGAAGAAATGCAACACCTTTCCGCCTCTAGCGGCGTCTATATCCAGAGGCTAACAGATATTCTCCATGAACAAGACTGTAAGTATCACATTTCGGCGCTATTCCGTGGAATGACTAAAACTGTTAGGTGACGTTATGGAAACCTCGCCGAGGCTCAAGCTTACGCCTGCTACCAGAGAGCGGCATCGCGCTCAATTCCGGCGACTCAATTCCTTATCGCAGGGGATACGAAGCCTCCATGCTAAGATGCATCTCATCCGTGAAGAGTCGAATGCTTGCCTTGAAAAAAGTGGCGAGGATTCCGAGCTTAATACTACGCTCATTTCTCAATATGAGTCAATTGGAGCAGACCTGAGAGGCCTACTACAAGAATGGGAAGCAGGAAAATCAACTTTGCTAGCAAATATTGAACGTCCTGAACGGCTCTCACGTCCATCGAGTTTATTGAAATCTCCTGCGTCCCCCACCTTCAGTCTTGGTGGCGCCACTGCTGTTGACGGTAGTCCCGCTGCTGCACTTCGTGCACTGAATGGTGAAGATTTAAGCCTTCCAAGTCCTGACCATAATATGGACGACGAAGAGGTATTCGAAGCTGTGGCTCTTCCACGAAAACGAAGCTCGATGACCAGAGAAGCGAGAATAGCGCGAGTGAAAGAAGATCGGGCTAAGCAAGCTGCTGCTAGAGATCGTGCAGATGCAAATACGCGCATGCTTAGAGAACTGGAGACCGTGATTAAACTTCGACCTCGAGGTAGAGGTGGGACGAGGGTCACCAGCATATAACAGCTATTAACTTCCTACCTTGCGTATCTTCCCTCTCTCCTGATCATTCGAATATCTTTTTCACTATCTTGATATTATTCAACCATTGTCTATGCATATAAATTTCCCTATTATACCAAGTTTTCACGGCCCCTTTGAGGGAAGGTTTCCTTTTGTTTGATTTCAGGGTGCATTCGGCGTCAAAGTCTTGTTGGCTCCAATTACGTGCACGACATGCTTTAGAGACCAATCACGGCAGAGATGGGGAAAGGACAGAACCCATACGTTAACTCTGTTCTTTGCCGACTTGAGTTTCTGTGGCACATTCTAAGTCATTGTAATATAAGTAGACATGCTTTATTGTATCATTGCATGTAAAGATATTGAGAAAGAGGCTGCACAATCCTGGACACTTTCCCATCCATATCACAGAACAATTCTTCCAACGCTTGGTTTTGGTATGTGCTTTGTATCTCTCCTTCTATTGACTCTAATTGGAGCCTGAAGCAGGCCAGCGGGACGGGTGCCAAGCCTTGATCTCGAGGCAGAACGCGAAAATGAGCTTTGAACAGAGCAGCTAAATGGACTTAGCAACGCGAACGCGCCAACAAAACGCGCTGCATATTTGAGTTTGCCTGCCCGCACAATCAGCCATCCAGGTACCTTCTTCACCTCTGTCTGTGGTGAAATAAATAGCTGAATGAACGCCTGGTCTTTCAAAAAGTAATATATCAAACCATTCTTGCATATTTCTCTATATATTTCTCTCCTGTTTGATCCGCCTCTATTATTCAGCTCAAATTAGGCGTTCATCTAAGCTACTTCCCCCGCCTGCTATCCTTATACTCCCTGCACCCTTCTTAACTGCAATCGTCATTAAAAAACTGTCAAGAGTACGTGCTATCTCACTACTGATTCTTTTTCTTGAAACCTTCTATGGCTAACAGAATTTTCCCTGAGCAGTGCTTGAAGCACGTTTAGAGCAAGCTAGCATGCTGAAGAGGGTACGCTATTTACAACCATGAACCCGCCACTCCTCCCTCCCCCCCAACAAAGAGAGCTTTACTCATTCTATATCCAGGTCGTCGACGCAGTCAAAGAACTCGTACAAGACTGCAACTTTGACTGCAGCGACACTGGCATCTCTCTCCAAGCCATGGACAACTCTCACGTCGCCCTCGTCTCCCTCAACCTCAAAGCTGAAGGCTTCTCTCCCTACCGTTGCGACCGTAACATAGCTCTCGGAATCAATCTTACCTCTCTCCAAAAGGTCCTTCGAGCTGCACAAGACAATGACATTATGACCCTCAAGGCGGAAGATTCGCCCGATGTAGTTAATTTGGTGTTCGAGAATGCACAAACTGACCGGTTAAGCGAGTACGATATCAAACTTACGGACATCGATCAGGAGCATTTGGCTATTCCGGATACGGAGTATGCGGCTATGGTGGATATGCCAGCAACGGAGTTTCGGCGGATCTGCATGGATTTGGCCAACTTATCTGAGTCAGGTATGTGGTTTCTCTCCGCATAATTCTATGCTGCTGTGTATAAATCGAGTTTATCCTTGGACCAATACTCTCATTGCGACTAACCTTTTCGATTTTCATACAGTCCTGATCGAGGCTAGCAAAGACGGTGTCAAATTCTCCTGCCAGGGTGACATCGGCAACGGGTCTGTCACTCTCCGTGGACACACCAGCGTCGACAAGCCTGATCAGAACGTCACCATCTCCCTCACTGAACCTGTCGCCCTCACATTTTCTGTCAAATATCTTATCAACTTCTGCAAGGCTACTAGCTTGTCCAATACGGTGCGGCTCAGCATGTCGCAAGATGTGCCGTTGTTGGTGGAATATGGACTGGAGGGAAGCGGAAGTCTGAGATATTTCCTTGCACCAAAGGTAGGCTCTTCACGCGAATTTTGATGCTGCGGTGCAGATTGGCTAACATGATTGCCTTTTCTTTACCAGATTGGCGATGAGGAGTAAATTTGACGAGGTAAAGGGAGATCCGGAGCCGGGTGTACCTAGAAGTGCTTGCTAACGCTATGAAAGTTACGTAGTAATAAGGACTCTGAAAGATCCTTATTTCGCATAATGAAATACTACTGAATGCCAATGATGTTGCAGATTATATCGCCTGAGTGACTTCTACGTGTCAGCAATTTGACGTAGGAAATATGTTTAAAGCGACCCTTGATATGGAAACCAAGCTGTACGGAAGACATGTTATTCATTCTATTTGCAGATTTGTAAAAGTACATGTCCATATCTTGTCCCGTCAACCTGACTCACCCGTAGGTATGTAAAGCTTCAAGCAACACCCAGTATTGCTGCCGGGTCGATATCTAGGGGAGACTCAATAGCAACGATTACAGATGTTAGTAGTATCCCAGACAAAAGCTCTTTTCGCAATTGCAAAGAAAATGGCAGTTAAAAATATATACAAACTTACCTAGGAGAAAAAGGAAGTGAAGCGCCGTCCCCACCAGAGTAATCGGAATCGAATGATACCAGTTCTCCTCTTCTCCAAGAAAAGAAAAAGAAGCAGTACGCTGCGTATTGCACTAAAGTGTCATACCCACCCTAGGGTGAATACACACAATCTTCGCAACGGCTCTCCCATGGGGAAACCAGGGACAAGAAAACCGAAATTTTCCCCCCTGCCCCGATGTTTCTTATGCCTAGTTGCAAGCACTTCGTGCCAGACCCTCACGGGCAGCACCGACTCCCCAGCCAAGGTCTGGCGTGAGGAGTGGGTTGACAGGTGAAGATTCCTCCGAATTTCTCATTTGCATAGAATACCAGTGCCTGGGTTCTGAAAAAAATCAGAACAGGGTAGAACTGGAGACAGATGATCAAGAAGATGATGACCTGCTGTGTGTAGCAAAGAAACGCAGCTTTGGTGGGGACGGCGCTTGAGAGAAGGGAAGAAGAGAGAAGAAAGTGAGTCGAGCAAATTTTTGGCGAGCTTTAAACAGCAATATGCCGGCTCTTACCGCTCCACGCCCCTCTGCTTAGTCAGCGAGTCGCTGCCTGCTGCTTCTCGACGGCGGAGGAATTATTGATGGAGGAGAGTTGAAGCAGAGAGAAGATGATGACTGGATCTGGATGAGGCGATAGGAGTCCTGCTGTGTTCAACTTCGATTTGAGAAGGTCAGTGACTGAGCGGATGAGCGGCCATAGTAGAAAACTATTGCTAAACTTTGCAGGAGTTCAAGCTTCATGCATTGACCCTTTTAGTTAGCTGGATCTTAACGTGTCTTTGCTGAGTTGTTTGCCTTGTATAACCAGACCTCATCTTGCAGTCCACCGTTTAATGCGAGTATGGAATACAAAGTTTTGTGCTGTGAATCAGAATCACAGGTGTTCTTAAACGGTGTCTCCAGGAACATGTTCCCCGCAAAGTTTATCAACTGGAAAGTCTCTTGCAGCGTGGTTCGACCATTCTCAGTACATAAAGGGATAGGATAGGCATCCACTGCCCCTCGCACAGAAGAAATCTGGAAACAGCATGTCCTGCAAAGCAATAGCCGCAACATGTTGTTCTCCATGCTCATTTGTTTGAAAGGGCAGATTTATGCACTCAGCCACATAGCAAGCCGGAGCAATTCTGTGTTCTCCGCAGTTAGATTGTTAGTGTATGTAGGTGATCTCATCCATGCATATCATGTATCGATGCCACATGGCTGGTAACAGTTGCATTTTTTGTCAGAGCGAACATCACTTGTAGTGGATGTGGAGTCGAGGGTTGAGGACCGATTGCGTCGTTAGTAGGACTCCGGCCCCGAGAGCCTGTCTCGGGGGTTTCCAGGCCGGCAAAGCCCTTGGAAGCATCAGCACCAGGCGTACTTCGTGTCCCAGGCCACAGCCACAGCCAAGGCCTTGACAGGGGCGCCCATCAGGTAGGGCTGGGGCTGTGAGACCGCACCGATTAGGAAAGGCGCGCGGTGGGAAATGAGGTGTCAGACCCGCTGTCGCCAAGCTCTCGAGACAAAACACCAACAACACTTGACTTCAAATCTGACCCGAGACCTTCTTTCAGTTATTCTCTTTTTTTTTTTCTTTCTCTTCCCTTTCCTTGACCACTCATTCCTATTTGCCTCTTTTCATTCGTTTTCACTCCGGCTCTACCCCGCCTCTTTGCTCTCCCTTGCTCTGTTGACTTGTCTAACCCTCTTTCGTGCGGTCTGACACAACACGGCCTCGAGCAACGCCTTGGGAGCCTGACCAGGCTCTCATCACCTTCTCTCCAGTCGCACCCCGTCAGACATTTCGGACTTATTGTCTGCTCCCTCTTCACTGGCCAAGAGCGCCTCAAGGAGGGGCACGACTCCCCCCAAAGTCATCGCTTTTCCAATGCGGCACGCCCCCGGGTAGAACCTAGCGCGTTTCACATTTGTATGGTCCGTCCATACCCGGAGAGCACATCAACCTGTCCCTGGAATTCAAGCCTGCAACGTCCATCTCTTTTGTTGTCATCGTGCATATCGAGGACTGAAGAAAGACCGGTGGCTCCATTCGGAGCGATTCGCCAAAATTCGTTCATACAGGAGCCAGACGTCGCTCCTTCGAGAGCCCGGGTTCGACCCTTCCTTTCGTGATTCTACATCTGGCTTCCGGCCAAGAGAGGGATACAGAGATCCTGATCTGCCGTCCAAGATGTATGTCCCTAATTCAAAATGGACTTGGTCTTTTGTCTTCGTGACAACCATCCAAGCTGCGTGTATTCTCGCTTTTGAGTCGTCAGTACTATCCTTCCCACCCTGATATAACTATGCGAGTGAGTTGCCAACTGTATATTTCAACAGTTATGTTTTTGCTAGGTTCCAAACACAACTCAAAGGCGATGCAGAGAGCCAAACCCAGTCAAAAACTATTCCCACCTTTTTAACACTTTATATCTTTGGATTTGTATACGAATTAGTTTTGGTATACGATGCGCTGCGTCTTAAAAACACCATCCAAGTGATTGGACTTTGCGTTTGCAATCTGGGCCTCCTGATCTATGGCGCTGTCCAGACGGACCAAATCAAGGATGCCGTCAATACTTTGAGTATGCTAGGAAATATCAACGGTGAAGTCTGGGGCGAGATGAAGCCATTCTTGATTGCAATTCCTTGCATCATAGGTCTTGGAACCGTTCTTATGGCTTTTCTTGCCTGGAAGCTCTATGACGAATTTGCATGGACCATCTACAAGCATATCAGCGCCGACCTACGGATGAAGCGTCGGTACCTTACATATCAGGTCCGTAAAACTTTATCAGATCTGGCATGACAAAATTCTGATGGACTGACGTTTATATGAATAGATTTACATCGCTCTGCTGAAGTTTGATTTTTTCTTTTTCCTTGGTTTTACTGTCCAATTCGTTGTTATTGTTACCGACAAGGCGACTGTTGAATTTGCCCTTACATTGGCCGCCATTCCAGTCACGATTCTCATTCTTGTCATGGCTGCGTTTTGGACTCGGCGGGAGAACACACCTGGAATGATCGTCATCATCGTAAGTGTCATCGCAGCTTCCTCTCCTCAGCCCCCCTGATTCGTAGCTAATATATGCCGTTTTTCCAGCTGCTTTATTTTGGAGGTCTTGCATACTTCCTTTTCAAGCTCGTTCGAATGTACTCTGCTGCCCGTGAAAAGGCGTACCTGCCAGCCCGACGATCGTTGACTTTCTTCGCCGTGATCACAATCATCTTGATTATTATGACCATAATCAATGCATGTGTCTGTACTCACAATTTCAACAAGGGGCTGAAACCTCATATCTCGGGGAGAAGATCAGCTCGAGATGATGAAAAAGGACGTGGAACCGAAATGCATGGCCGTCTTTCTCACGGGCCTGTCCCAACTCGCATGACGATTGATTAAGCAATGATGCAAAAATAATTACCTAGGGAAGCTGAGGCTCCAACAAATGCCATTCCTTTGCAATCTCGGCTGCTTTTACTTTGCGAATATACCCATTTGACAGCGACGTTGTGGCCGAAGAATTGTTTTCATCTCAGAGAAGGAAATCTTCGAGTCACGATTAATTCATTTCCTTTTTTGGCCGTCTGATCCACTTAGCTCTATTCATTGATGATACCAGCTGTACTATTTTTTTTTTGGTTTGTTAGAAATCTGGTTCGACATCCTCTCTTTTTTCTTTATCATCTTTTTCCCCCTATTTTTTCTCTTTTCTCTTCTTTTTTTTTTTTTTTTTACAAAATTTAAATCAAAAAAAACTTCTCAAGAATGTCTTCCCCCCTTCGAATTTCTTACTGTACTTGGTACTATTAAGAGAAAGGGGACCATTATTGGGAAGTGGAAATGGGGTTTTGGGAGTTTACATAGCGATGAAATCAGATACCTAATTCTCGTGAAGAGCCTTTCCATCCCTGCCGCTGAGATATTCACTGGTAGATACTCCGTAGCTGTGTAGGAGGATGACTTGCGTTGAAGGTCACCGTGTCTCATCGGGCGGCCCCTGAGAGCAGCCGTGACCGCCAGGGGCCAGAGTGTTGCTTACCTAATCATGATAAGTGTCCACTCTGGCACTTTCAGGTTTCGCCTGCGCAGCATCCACGGTTTTCTCCCTCCCAGTCCATCGCTTTTGCTCAAGCTCGGGCGTTGTCTAGTCAGCCTTCTGCGTCCTGTCTCCTGACTCGCCTGTTCTCTCACCCGGAGTCGGATTTTAGTCATCCCATTTCGTTACACAATGGTAAGCGGTCCCAAAACCACCTTCATTGCAACGTCTCCCGATCCTCTCGACAACCGTCCACTGCATCTGCGGTATCTTTCAACGGCAGAACGGGTCCAGCCCTGAAATCCCTCTATACCCTTTCCTTCCTCCCTCTCTAGCTCCCAAGAAAGAATTGTCAAGAGAGCCACAGAAAGAAGAGCACATTAGTTCGCCATGGCCAAACCACGCAAGTCTAACCAGAAGCCTCTACCCCAGGTTTCTTCGTCTCCTCTCGCCTCAGGCGCCGAATCCGGCAACGAAGCCGCCAAAGCTTCCAATCCTACCGGCGCTAGCACCGGCAGCGCCGCATCCTTGAATCGTCCCTCGTCGCCAACTCCTCCCGGCGGACCGCGAACTGCCCTTCGTCGTCGCGCAGCGGCTGATCACAAGGAGTCTGTGCGGAATGCGAGACCGGCATCCACCAGAGCGGCAGGCGCGGGTGGCTCGTCGGGGACCATGTTGAAGCTCTACACGGATGAGAGCCCTGGGTTGAAAGTTGATCCAGTTGTTGTTTTGGTGTTAAGTTTGGGATTTATTTTCTCTGTT